TTTGCATCATTTTCAATTTCTGCATCTTCTATTTTTCTCATTGATTCACTAGGCGATATACGATTACTTTCGTTGTAGTTATATATTAAGAGTCCGGCTAAAATTAAGCCAACAACCTGTTCAAATGAGATACAAATTGCAAATTTACATAAATGCAAAACAAGATAAAGAAAGAATATCCAATGAATACCAAAAAGTCTCTTATATTAATTCTATAGCAAAGCATTCAAAATCAATACGTAAGTATTCGACTATGACTCGATATAATATCGATGCATTCTAAAAATGCAAAAAAAGTCCTGCTCATTATTTCTACCACGAATTATTAAAACCACTTTCCATGGCCATATAAATTGAAATAGGATTACCATCTACTTTCCGTACAAACATGCATGTAGCTAGCTAGAACAAACCTCCCAAAATTTGTAAATGTTTTTCTACAACTTAAGATTATTATCTACTATTGTAGCTATTACAAGTAATGATAGAACATGTCAATAAAAATGTGGCGTATAATTCCATATCAACTGGAATTAAATCTTGAATTATTTGATAATTATGGAAAACTAACCGACAACCAAGCAATAAACAATTTGCTAAGAAATTTTAAAATACTCTGAAAAAGCTATAGACCATACCACACAGTAGTAGAAGCTAGCTTTAAAATTTATAAGTCGCTATAGGAATATAGTCATATGAACTTAGTATCTGCGAATAAACAGTTGTACCACATAAAGAAACGATTTTACTCTTATGATACAGCAACAAAAGTAACACTAACAAGCAATCCCCAGATAATCTACTAGCAGTAAAATCTTTCTTAAAGGAACAATTTTCATCTTTCATACGAATATCCCAAGGTGTAAGAAAGTCTCTATTGAGCTTGTGAGTAAAATCCAGCGTTTGTAATGATATTACTATGTGAATATGTAATACGCGTATAAGGATGTACATTGTACAGTGCAGTTGTACTTCCTAACTCGCTAGTATCTTCACCGTGCTATTATCCCCAAAATATATTATAAAGCACATCCCTGAATAATTTAAAGTAAGTTCATCGAACAATTTTTTTACTGTAGAAATGCCAACTATGATAGCAATTAAAACATATCTCTCTAACAAAGTCATCAAGCTAAGTTAAAGGCTAAAGATGTTTTTGTCAATGCTCAATATCTTACCTGTATAACACCAATAGTAACGCCAATTCCTGTGATGACTGTATTATGCTGAGTCATGCTGTTTAGTAGAGCGCTTAAGCATCCCTAACAAATTGTAGAGAAATTAATCAAGGAAAAACTTAGTATCTCCGTCTAACCTAGTACCAACGGATTGATTAGATACAACATGAAAGCTAAGCTCAATAACGGCTTCATTATTATTTTAATTCTCATACATAAAATTAAATAAATAGCTTAAAACATTATAACTTTTTCTTTATTGGTTATTGGTTAAATTGTTACTATTACTTATTATCTTACATTTACATATATTCCATTAGCTGGAAGCGTGACATTGCGAACAAATATATCTTCTCCACATCCATCAACATAATAATCCGGTAAGCAACAAGAAGAAGGGACAGGGAACGGTTTAAAATTTTTGTTAAACCCCACACGGAAAAGGCCCAATCAGTATAATTTCTAGCGCCGCAGCAATGTAACTATCAATAAAGATAAATTGTCTTTTTCAGAATTATCAAATTTAACGTATCTTAGTGATTAAAATCTATTAGACGAAGTGTCTCACTACTACCAAAATATGTAATAATTTCATCGATGATTTTAAGATTCGCAATAGATGGTACAAAGATGAGAATAATTTAGAAGTTTTATTTAAATATTAAGGTATTATCGTACTGTACAGTATAAAATTTACTCTAATAATTTTTGTGTGCGGTACGCTGGACCTTCAAATAAGAAATAAAAATGTGTCAACTCAATCCAACTTACGTTATGTTGAATATTGTCAAACGCTCTAGTAACTGGAACCTCATTTGGCTGTCCGTATTTTGCTATGATCGTGTTGTATAAATTGTCTTGTAGATGTGATACAATCTGCAAAATAATATTCATCAGTCAGAAATAATTTAAGGCAGCCATGTTCTATAGGACGGCTTTTGAATTCGAGTGAAAAGTTCTCACCCATCCACATAAATACATATCATGTATCAATATTGCAGGATATATCTAAAAGTTAAGATCGCCTAGTTGTAAGGTAATTAGGAAACGATCTTAACATCTACTCAAATAAGAAATGCAATCTGCCTGATGTATAAGTGTATCATGTCCTTTATCTAACCATAATGCCAATAATATCATTCTACTGAGCATGATATTGCGATGTGAGACTAAGATGAAAAACGAACATCTATGAAATTTTTTTAATTAAAAAATTACCAATAATTAAGTTCAAGAAATAGTAAAGTAAAATATTATCTTTTCTACAAAATTTATGTGTTAGGAAGTATTCAGAATAAACGATTATACTACAAGTATTGCAGTTGCTATCGCTACACTACCCTACGTTGTTTGATTAGATATTTAACTTAAATGAAATGGCTGATTCTGCATGAAAATTGTAGCCAGTAGTGACTACACAGTGGATAACAATGAACTACATTAGACATAACTACTAAGCCAACTTTACTAGCATTACCAGTCAAAAATATTCGTTTTATTTACTGATAAAACCGACAACTTCAGTAAGTCTATTGGTACTATAGATGGGCGCATTTTATGGCTTTCATTATGTGGTAGACTAAATATCGATATCGGTACGTATTCTAACATATTTGTATCAAAAATCATTGCAAGGCTATATTTTATAACAATAGCTACAAGAATGCAATAATTAAACTAAAATGCTATATGTCTAGAATATACGACACTTACAATTGGACGATTAACACCTGCCCAAATGCCACCGGCCATTTCCAAAATGCAGACCGTAAACATTGTAGCAAGGAACTGAAAGAAATACAATAGATTAGAGTATACCACAAAATAAGAATTACAGTTCTCTTATAAAACATTCAAGTATATGAAAAGGATTATTCCCGCTCTGACATTAAAAAATTGTGTAAAATGAATCAACATGTAATACTTAAGTCTTACAGCGCTTAGAATCCCAATATGTTCTTGATATGCCCCAAGCCAACCTAAAAATCCTAATATGGCTATAATACAGCCACCAACAATAACCAAAATGGTTCCAGATCGGAATAAACTATTAGTTATTACGGACACATCGTTATTAGAAACCATAATCCAGATACCAACTCCTATTGCTGCAACTCCAAAACCCTTATATTAAAAATAATAAGAAACGTTCTATTACATTCCTATATTATAACCTAGTTTCATTATAATAACTATCGGCGGCGGTCATACTACAAACATTATATACTTTATGATCTTTATGTGTATGTTCGACTCTTCAAATTGTTGTAAGTAAAAGTACGCTGTATGTCACGAATCAGTAATAATGAAATGACGATCTTAAGCTAATTAATAGATCGATCGTGAATAGATTTGCAATAGCGATCATTTCTGAAGAAAATTTTCTCAATTGTTCAAGTTTATCCCACAAACTATAAGTTTCAATAATGAAATGGACATACAATAATTCAATTTTATATTCCGATATATATGACTATATAACTTATATAAATGCTGGTATACTGAATAACATCAGGTGATTTTGAGTACTTTTTCAAAGTCTTACAATTAAAAGTAAGAATATCATAGATAATGAATTGTGGTATTGAGTATCAATTTCAAAATCGGAACTTAAAAGGGCATAAAAAATACGTTATATAAAAGATATACATAAAATAAATATATACGGCACAATTCGTTTTCCTGTATTGATTTCTCTAGTTTTCTGAAATGATCAATAACATCTATGATAAAGATGGAGGAATGCGCGAAAAGGGGCAAAAATAATTAAACTTAATATCAATCGATACAATTATAGCAGAAGGCTCACAGAATTAGTTCTGTACTATTTCATGATTGGTCTTAGGCTTTAAATTTTACACTCAACTACAAATTGCAGCATATCATGTATTCTTCTGTCGAAAAAGCTTATATACTAGTCTCAAGTGTTTCCTCTTAGAGCAATTAGCGTGAGTAAATCGACTGGCTGTCTCGTCATAATATTTCTTATCAACATTGAATAAAAGTAAAGAGATGATCTTAAGCGTGATAAAAACATGATAAATCGATATTTAATTCATTGATGTTACCAGTGACAAATAGTATCAAAGAACACTCTTTATTTAAATATAAATTCGTGATAAAAGGCTTTATTTTTCTTTACTAATAGCCCTGAGGTCTTTATACCATAAAAGCAAATTGTTCACACTACCATTTTCCCTTTACGTCAACAATTAAATTTTAAAATTTCTCTTACAGGAAAAAATAATCATAAAGCGATTCATCACGATCGAATCATTTAATTTATTAAAATAGCAATCTAAATCTAACTTAAGTAAAACACTTATGTCTCACTACCGTACCTACTAGTCTTAATAAAATCAAAGGATAAAATTATAAAAATAAAAAAAGCCCTATGTTTCTCTTTAATGACTACTCCAAAAAATATCCCACTCAACTAAACGGAGTGATATAAGTATTATTTGATGATATTCAGTATATAGCCCAGATATTTTAAAAAGATTGTAAAATTACGAAAACATTTACATAGAAGTGCTTGATAACTCTATTAATGAAGCGCTAATCGAATTGATAGTAAGGGAATTAATCGAAAACAACGTTTCGCTTTTGCTGAAGAATCCATGGCTTTACATAATCTTACTGCGAACTAAGCTATTGCATTAAATTCTACTATCTTTATACATTTTAGAATAGCATGAGCTTACCCAAAAGAGAAAATTAAAAAAGAATAATGTCCATCGGGCGTAGACCATTTTTCCAGTAGCTCGAGATTCTTTTAAATTCGTCATTTTTCCTTATCTTTTTGGCTGAAGTTATGTCACGAATTTGTTAAAGATATGATGTTTCTTTAGTTTTTTTATTATTTTATCTCTTCTTTCTCTACTTGTAAATCTTTTAATTTTCGATGACACTTTCCCTCTTATTCACTTTATCCTCATTATTTCATAGAATTATTTTATAATCCCATTGGCTAGAGCATTCTACGGAACAGTAATAGCTATTTAGATGTTGTTATAGTAACGTCAAATGGACTATGTCAATAAAATGGCATTATTAAGAATCCATTTATCTCATAAATATTCAAGATCCTGCTTGATCAAAATAAAACTTATCCTCGTGATCATAAGCAAACATGCCAATTTATTCAGATGCTATCGCACCCTAAAACAGCCAAAAAATTGCGCACTTAATTTATATAATTATCTACAACTTTTTGTATAATTAGAAAGAGGTGACGTATTTACTTTCTACAAATATTCGTATATCCTAGACTTATGAATGAAATTATCTATCAAAGTGAGTTAAGAAATGGAGGAAAATTTTATAAAGTAAAGGTATAATACCTTTGGCTTACAATGAATTACATTTGTAGTATAGATTACAATACATTTGTGGATAATTTATTTCATAGTAAAAATAAACTGTGAATGTGTAAACGATTTATAGGTTCTCATGTGAACTGATGAATTGAAACTTTATACTAACGTTTATTCAAAGTCCAAATAACTTATAGGATACCTAGAAATGGTCTATTTTATGGGAATATAAATTAATTAGGATTAGTAGCACAAATATGATACCTATTTGTTAGCGTTATATTAAAATATATCTTTAATTGAATATTGATATGTGTAATATGTAAAAGCTTCCAATCTTTATGAATGTATCATTCAATTCCATCACGATAATCTCCTTTCTTGGTATTTTATTAATGAAGATCATCACGAAATATTACTATAAAATGTAAATAAAACAATCCTGTGGTATTTAATAATACAATCAAATTGTTATTAATCAAATTGTCCAGAAGCGTAAACTTGATAAGTAGGAATTACTTAACTCTAGAACAAGCATATGAGTTCTCCGTTTTATGCTTTGGAAAATTGAATTTAGCATATGTTAGACCTTTATTTCAACTCGATATACAAAATCGGATACTAAGTCTAGTATAAATTAAAAGAAAATTTCTATCTTACACAATATAAACTTTAACAACTGGTATTTTATGATACATGTCGAACCAAATATGACATCTCTGGCAATCGAAAGTAACCGTAAGGATAGATAGCTTGCATGTAATACTATCTATCTTTTTTGTCTAACTCGGATAAATTCTGATACGAACAACAATCTCGAGAAAGCAGGAAAATAAAGTCTCTTACAAGTACTACTAGCACTTAACAATACTTTGATACTTGCAACAGTACCTGATTGCTGCAGTAAGAAATGATATTCAGATTTAGGGCCACTATAAGCTATTCGAAGATATTTTCATTATTAATTGAACATATGATGCCTACTGAATCAAAATAGAATTATGCCAAAGTTTTATAAGCCTACTAGAACAATACGTAATCTTATTGATGGTCAATCAGATATATTGAAATATGAAATTATGCGGGCATACAGGAAAAGCATTAGAGGTATACTAATGTATAGAGATGTATAGTATTGTATACGATGTACTACAGCAAATTGATTATAAAAATGTGTCTAATGAGAACATAGAAATCAATTTCGCCATTTGTACATGTGATATATTGCAGTAAAAATGAGCATTTCTGAGCATATAGAGTAGATAATTGCAGAGTATACGCACTGTAGTATAGTAGCTTAAGTTTGAGATTGTTCAATAGTATTACCTCTGCTGTAATACAGTTAACGCTTATATGGATTAGCTATCTGACCATTCCTATCTTGATCCTTCTTGTTGTTATACGTTCGAAATAAATCTTTTTCTAATCCTGAACCATTTAAAATCATATTTTGCCGATATCAATTAAACATGTATAAACAATACAAGCATATCCTGATCTATTTTCAATACTCAGTCAATAGGAGTTAGAGAAAGCAATACATTATTATCACGGCACTGTATAGATTGCAGCTTACTACATAGTCTATCCTATATACGGTACTCATCGGCTAGGGAAATTATCCAGACTTTTAATTCTCTGATATAAATTTTTCTATGGCAGCTATGGATACTGTAGATAAAATTTATCTTTCATTCTTTCTTATCATATACTGCTTATACGTTTCACTTCGAATCCATATCGTTAAAAGAGATGAAAACCTTATTCGTGTCTTCGCATGTTATTCGAGATCATGAGTACCAGAGATTATCAAAATACGACTCGTATATCATTACTTACAGTATCTGAGATTTTATTAATCCTATCAATTTCTTGCAAGATACCTTTAAGTTCGGGGAGTATAAAACGATTCATTCCTAGCTGTATGTTTCTTCTCTTTGTTCATAGGCATAATCAGTACGTAAAAACTTTTCTTGGTATAGCAGTATCTCTCTCATATGAATCAAACAATATCTAGTAAAGCGTAAATTGTTTTCCTGGAGTCGTGGATGTTACATTCGAATAGTGATGCCATTGCACTGTATGCGTCTAGCGAATCTCTCAGATATGAATTAAACGATCTCGGCCTGCTTTCCCTAAAAACTCCCGGCTTTTATATCCTCAATGGTGGATTGTACCGTTGAATGTCTTCAGAATCTATAGTATACCTTCCTAATACTTAAAAGTTCTGAGTACTAACCATAGAGGTTCTAATCTTCGTGTGGCCATCCAGTCATGTTTATGCCAGGGACTACTCAATTTATAACATTACCGTACTCTCACTTTACAAAAACCTTGCTCTTTACCATGGACGACTAGAACCTTATGCTCTTACTTTATAATCTGATCATAAAAGATTATAAAGCAAGAATGAGGACTTTATAAAATGAGAGGAGTCGGTAAAACGCAAATTCTTTACCTGATGTTATGTCCAATAAATTACCCTTCAGATAGTATTGTAATTGCACTATAAATTGCAAACGCGATCGGTACACGAGTAATATACTCCTATCTGTCTGGTATCAATGTCATTGATTACTCTCCTGACAAAGAATAAAGTAAATTGTTCTGCTCTTCTAAGTTGCTACTGTCCACTACTATTTTAGCTTAGGTCTAGAACTACCTTCTAGACTACAATCACACAGACAAACTTCACAACATGGAGCTACTTCTGCTTCATTCCGACTAATATGATCAAGGTTATGTTCTCGTGAAAGCTACAAAATCAATTACTAAGGAGCAACATTCCCAATCACGAGTCAATGACCCAAGTTTAGTCGACCTAACCTATATAGGCAGAAATGTATTCCGACACCAATACTTACAGTAATCTATACTACTATTCAAGGTACATTTGTGCCATGACAATACTGTATATTAAAGCATTTGTCTTCAAACGTTTATTCTTTTCCTGGTGAAATGTATATTCAATTGGGATAGTGTTGTCGTTGTACTATATATTGTAAGTACTATCAGTAATACGAATAGTGCATGTCTCCGAAAAGCATTGAACAATATTTAGTAAAACGTCAATTCTTTGGTGGTATAATGTACATTGGGATAATATTGTATTTGCACGGTCTATTGCAAATGCTATCCGTATAGCGTACCCGCATTAGTGTATCTCTCTGATATCACTTCAACAATGTTTGGTAAAAGACAAATTATGTTGCTGGTATAACGTCTATTTCAAACGTTATCCATTCTATTTTCAACTTTGGACAACCCAATCTGTGATATGAATTCAACAAGTATATGACGATCTATCCTGATCTTTCCATTTGGAACAGATAGAATGCATACTTAGTAAAGAGAAATGAGAGAAATGATACCCTGTATCGATTGCAGTTTCATGGGTTAACCAATAATGTAATTTAGCGTAGTACAGAAAATCCTATGGCAAACTGTGGTACGACTTCGTGTTTTATTATCTTGTACAATGTACATGACTGCCTCTCAGTAAAGTAACATGTGACAGCGATGGAAGTTTCTAAGCCAGAATGAAGCTGGGATGAATTGTGTTGGGATCATTTCTCGTTGGCATAAGCAAAATCGCTTGCAAGAATTGAATGTGGAATAAGAAAGATAACTAATAGAAGGATGGAGTAAATTGATTTCTTGATTTTGTAAGACATCTTGATATCCATTATATACTACTATCTGATTGGCTAGTGATGATGTCATGTGGAGTATTAATGTACTGTACTGTAGTTGTTAACAGCAGCGACCACCGACCCACTGGGTTTCTTGAGCTTTGGCATTGGTAGCAATTTTGCCATGCTATACACAGGCATGAATCATTTGATCATGTCTGTGAAGGGATTATGACTGCATAGTTTATGTAGTCCATGGTAGTGGGCATTTCTAAGCCATATCCATTTTAAATATACCGTGGTTTTGCTTCTCCGTCATGCCATTCCACTAATAAAAGCGTGTTCCGTTGCCTTGACCACCCATGGTCTTGTGCTTTCCCTTACATGTACTTTATAGTAAAGTATCTCTTTTATCCCTGTACACTGCTTACTATTAGACCCTAATGTGCTGTATAGTACAGTAGTATCATAGCGCACCAACTCAATCGCAGTACGGTACTAGAAATACCTCAGCTACGACGTCACTTGCATAGTAGCACGTAGCATCACGTCGCACGTACATTGGGCAAGAAATTGACCGTGACTCTCGTCCAAAGTGACTCTCGTCCAAAGTGACTCTCGTCCAAAGTGACTCTTGTCCAAAGTGACTCTTGTCCAAAGTGACTCCTTCCTTCTTGCCAAATTCGCCATTTCCTCTTTGAAAAAAGTTCCAAAATCAACCATGGGCTCATGCACTAACTGTCTACGAATAACGTTGATCGCCTTCAATACCATTTTTTTGGTAAGTTACTTGCTTAGATGGAAATGATTGCTTTCTCAGTCTCTTCTATGGCAGCATTCCGTAGTGTTTTGAATCGGACTAATGTTATTATTGCAGTGTCTTGTTCGAGGTGATTGTCGCCCAACGTGATAGGATCAAATTTGTATTTTTTCTTTATTTCGCTTTTGGACATGAATTTATTCGTCTACCAAGACTGCTCAGAGAGCGTTTCACATTTTAAAATTATCCAAGTTCCATTTTATGCTAACTCAATCATCTTTGAACAGATGATTGAGTTCATTTGCATACTTCATTGAAAAGGAATTGACTATCAAGGATTGAAAGACCGACCTTATGTATTTAAAGTGTTAGTACCAACTTTCGTTTACAACGCTGTACTTTCATGTTGACTTACCATAACCCAAGAGTAAATCATCATCGCTGTTGATACAAAATCACATCGCTCGATCATTGTCATGTATTTCCTTCATTTTATTTTAATACCTTTTCAAGATGAATTGGACATTGTTGATCGTCTTGCCTTTCTCTTTCTTTCCAAGCTTGAACTTGGACGTACCGCTATTGCAATATACTGTACATAATATTCGGCCTTTGTTACTACAGTATAGGATGATGATGGACATCACCGCCATACATGATCATACAACGAGAGAGGCTGTGAAGAGGGATATTCACAGCATGATAGAAAGGGTTTAGTCACGTAGTGGACTCCATGGAAAGAATTGAGCGCTTGTAATCGATGAATTTCATCGACACAGTAATAATTTCAATATTCCAGCGAGACGAATAGGACGGTCGATATAGGCTCATGTTACAATCTTGGCTATAGTCGTATTTTCACAGTCAGTACGATAGCATGTTGTTAGGATAGTAGATATTCATGATTTGATTAGAACCAAGTTCAAAAAATGAAAAGCCTTGACAACAGGTAAACATCGACTCATTATGCCTGATTGAATTCAGTATGCCATGATACGTGCTATGAACAAGTCTTAATCCAATTTTACGCGTATTTACTAATTTGTAAACTCAATCGGAGATCGAAGAAAGTCTTTACTGTACGGTACTGTCGATACTCCAATTCCATAGGAGACTGTTACGAGTAGAAATGACTTGATTTTTCAATGAAATTGGGCTTTCATGCTTGAAATCTACGAGAGACGTAGACTCACTACTCCTGACGAAAGGCGATGATTCGCATTTAAGTCACTGGAAGTAAAATATCGAGTAGGACAAGCCTGACATAAAACAATACTAATGTCAGTAATGGATCATAGCTTGACTGTGCAAGACTACAGTCGTAGCAGAGAGTAGTCCATGCTATTACTAAGTAAAACCATCACGTTAATGTGCTATACACGATAGTAATAAAAAAAAGTCATTATAATTAATAATTATTAGCATGTTATTGCACAAGAATTCGCTCTTGCTTTATTATTATTTTATTGCATCGATCAACAACAAGGCCTCAATAAGTCGCTTATCCATAATAATTGATATACATTACATGCTATACTTGACTATTACCCAATTGATTGAGTCCTTTATTAAGGTTAATAACCCGACCCCTCCAATGGCTTATGCATCCAAAATTAACTGTGAATAACATGATCACGGATAATAAACATACGTCAATGAAGAATTTTCTCGACGATGAAGATGAACATGTTTCATCTTCGTGTATAATCTTTTAATTTCTAATGCATAGTCCAAATATTTACTGCTTTGAATTACCAACGCTATCATCTTCATACTATGATATTGAGCATAATACAAGTAGAAACCGCATACGTACGTATAAATTATGTTCTACACTTTATTATATCCTAGACTAGTACTCGTATATGAAACTAATCTTTCTTCAATTCTTTTGCTTAATTACTGTACAGTACAGTACCAGTATATTAATGGAATAAATAACATTTACCTTACTATCTAAAATAAGTGATATGATTATGAAAGTTATGCAATATTGAAAAATAATATAATTTTTTAAAATTGATAGCATACGACGTTGATAAAATGCCCGTACTACACATAAATCACTTTTTGACTGTGTTTTTCACTTTGTAAATATTTTATAAATGATTACAGCAAAAAATTAAAAACTTAATTTTCTTTTTACAAATGTTACAGCTTAGTGGTATAGCATTGATTGGGGCATCGGCTTACATCTTCGCTACATCCGCTGATATTACTACCATTGCAACAGATGGAGGAATCTATGTTACCGGAACTGCCTTGGTTATGGCTGCAGGAATTCTAACATTCATTGCTAGCATCTTTGGCTGTATTGGTGCTATGAAAAGGAACTCTTGCATGCTAATTACTGTAAGTTAGATGGTAATCTTATGAATGACCGTTCTTCATTCTCTTGAGTTTGCTTTTGAATTACAATGTTCTAAAATATCCTTTCACTTATTGGACTATTCAATACATTTGCACATTTCCATGTCCAGTATTTCATTTTCTTGTTAATAATCTTTGCCATGGAATTGGGAGGTGGCATCTACGCTGCAACGAATAGTCCTGCGGTAAGTGCGATTCTTACTGTACAGTACAGTGTACACTCATCAATAAATTTGACATGCATCGTTTTCGTGATAACTACTCTTACTACAAGTAGAGCAGTTACCCCTTTCATTTTTACGACAGAATTCCACTATCATCACAGATGATCTTGAAATAAGTTTCTGATATTAAAGTAAAGTGATTCATAGTCCCTTATTGATCTAAAATTAATAAGTATTTGTTTTACTCCCAACTAAAAAATGGGTAACTTATAGATAATAAATGCCATCACGAACAGTTTCCGGTCAGACATTTCCAGTAAATACGGCGTTGGAAATAACGGTCCTTTAACTACTGCTATTAACCATATTCAGCAACAAGTAAGTATTTTATATACTTTATTATTCTATGAAATGCAACTACAGTGGAAAGAAATTTTCCTTAAATGCTAATCATGTTAAAATAAAATAAATCTATCTTCCATTAGTTTAAATGTTGCGGTGCTCAAACATATACCGACTATACTGGCTCTGAATGGGGTAAACAAAGTAACGCAACAATTGCCAACCCAGTTCCGGATTCATGTTGTAGGACCGTTACACTAAACTGTGGCTTAAACAGGACAGACAATACCAACATCTATACTAATGTAAGAAAATAAAATAACCAATACTGTGACTGATTTCATGTAGGAAAGAATTCTTTCTAACCAAACTTTAATAAGTCTTTTTTTGCTTGTAATAATGTAAATTTAATATTTCTAAATTTTCGCCATAATAATCATTAGTCCTGCCGAGTTCAACTTACAAATGCGGTTGCTGAAAATATACGCATCGTCTTAGGAGTTGGCGTTACCATTGGGATCATTCAGGTAAGGAATGAATTTTCCTAACAATAACTTTACTGTTAAATACCATATTTAAAAATTGATTATATTCATGTGTTCGTCGCTGTAACTGTAAAAATTATACTTTGAAAAATCCTGATATGTTTTTAAACCATATTAGGTTTTCGGTATGATTGCAGCTATAATGATGGTTTGCGACATAAAGAAAGAAGGTGAAGTTGTGTAATGCAATATCTTAGGTGCCATTATTCATACCAAAGCAAGTGCAATCTACAAGAAAAGTATAACAATATAAATTAAAATTCCGTGATAAGAGTGCCTGTGATTATTTAAAGCGGCATACAAAACGAAAAAGCTTCTATTATCTACCACTAGTGATACAGATAATCCTAGGTTGATTTGCCGCTTGTTATTAGTAGTTTGATGTTAACGGTAATCATTCTATAAATAAAATGAACTCTGTATACGACAAGGGCGCTCAAAGCTCGACTAAGAGTTATATATTGGTGTAAGGTATAGAGATGTAAACTTTTATCTGTAACAATGCATATTCCCTAGAAGTTGGTAGTCGAATTAAGATAGCTCTAAATGTATTTGAACCTGAACCGAACCAGCGCAAGGAACCTAGAGAACCGAGCCGGATAAACTGACTTTAATCGGTTTGTAAGCGGTTCGAACCGAACCTCTGACTGGTCTAGCTCTAATTATTAAGCTATCAAATAAATAAAAAGCTAATTTGTGTCTGATAAACGATAAATTATTTTCGAGATAGAATCTCCTAAATGATGAAAAAGTTACTCTTGCATTAAAGCATAGAAAAATTAAGCAAGCTATTAATACAAGAATTGAACTAGTGTATTATCAACGTAAGACATCAGCTAAGTATCGTTTGACTGCTCTTGGCTGCTTAAATTGAATTGTTTCAACAGCATTCAGTAATTCAATTTATATGAATAATTTTGCATCAATAGCCTTAAACGATTTTTATTATCAGTATAGAAACCATCATTACATTATGAAATAGCGCATGACCATTTGTAAACAGAAAAGAAAATGAAAAAATACTTAAATCAATTGTAAATGTGCGTTATTGATATACAGTAATCAGAGGTATGTACTGTATCTTTCTTAATAGAAATAATCTCTGATACTGTTTGCTATAGTCACAAATGCTAGCATCATTTTAATACTTTATGGAATAAAGGCATAACATTATTATACGTTACTGTACGTCCATAATTTTGCATACATTTTTATACCAGTATTTACACCATTTACATAGTATTTATCATTGTATTATTTAAAGCGCTTATAAGCTTAATAATCATTTCAGGACTGCAGGGTTTTAGATTGTTCCATCATAGTGATCATAACGCATTATTCTTCCTCCTCCATATATATTTTCCAACAGAGTCTACCGTAGGCAACAAAAATTCAGAATGTTATTAAAGACGATGTAATCATTCTTACTTTACTATTTTATCTAGCCAAAATATAATATCCTACAGTAAATGAGAGAATGACACATGCGGCTCACTAAAAATAAATAAAAGCAAATCAGGCAATGCATAAATGCGTGGGTGTCTAGCAAGTTTACTTCCCTTTATGATATAGTAAAATTAATTTACTACTTTCGTGGCATCAAGATTCAATATGTAGGAAGGTATTATTTATAAATAAATAAAATATTCGTTTCCAAATACTACGGCAATGATCAGGAAATCAAAATCAGATTCAAATCCAATTTTGTACGCAAATTATAAATAAACGGTATACAATATTACTGTACATCTTTGAGCGATGATTTATTACTTTAAAATTTAATTATGGGTATTCCAGTTTTATTACACCTTATTATTTTAAAGCTTATAGAACAAAGTAGAGAGCGATAATTCAGAGCAATTAGAACGGATAATTAAATATAGTAATAAAGCAGATGTAAAAATTGAAAGCTAAAGCTCTCACAATATCCGTTACCATTCGTATTACCCTAGCAAACATATTTAGCTCTAAAAGCGTAAATAACTGCATCAAATCATATCCGGTAAGGTTCTGAAATTATGACATTTTTTTAGTACCTGATTTTCTTCATCATCAAATATCATATGAGATATATTAAATAATCATCCATAATTCAATCGACTGATACATTTAATAACAAATATTTATGTCTAACGCATACGCTATTGCAACAGTTTGATTATCAAATGGTATACGTATAATTATCAGCAGGCTTTAGACGAACTTATTATTTTGCGTTCATTCTAGTACGCGAGTCGATTCTGTAGAACATAATGTGCAAAATAAATTATTATTAAATCTTAAGTTGTAAATCTTATGCATGAAATGCTCATATTTAGATGTGATATAAGGGTAAAGATGTACTTTTAAGATAGATACTATTTAATAAATACTGGATAAAAATCGTCATTAAATAGTGTATAATATGACGTTTAACTTGTTACATGCGAAGTTTCTTTTAAATAAGCACATAAATTAACTATTCCAGATGTCAAATGTATATCTAATGCTATTAATATAACTGTAGTGAAGCCTAGTAAAGTGTATAGATTATTTAATCTTACTCGCTTCTAGTTGATCATTTAATCTAATCATTTTATGTATTAACTAGTATACTTTTCATCCCTCATATCTACTGATCGATGATAAATCAAAGAAGCCCTTGTTCAAAGAGTGAACCTATAATAATGCTACCATTATAAGTTAATCAATTAGATTGATATTTAAAAGAATTTTTCTGGTATCTTAATTTGAGTTATTTTAAGCAGGATTATCATTATCAGTTTAAATAGCGATTTGAATTCAGAATAGTTTTCCATCGCGTCCTCATGACAGAAAATTAATTTAAGATTCAAAAAACAAATTTCAAAGTAAGAGAATAAATCATAAACCTTACTTAATCGTCAGCACGAATTGTTAGTGTTAATTAGTAGGGCCAATTCTATCGTAATTCGATAAGCAAGTTTGTTCACTACCTTTGTCTAGCTGAATAACATAATACAAAATTTATATATAACGTGACGTTAGCCCATGAACAAATTGTCATTCTTATAGATTAAATTATGATATCCATTATCCATTCAAATGTAATTCAAACTAGATTTTAATTACAATAGTAATATCCAATCTTCTAGTAGAAAAATGAATGAAATGGAGGGAGTTTCCATTGGAATGACACATTTAGATACTATATTTAAATAGTGGAATTATCTGATTGGGACACTATGACGTCACATCACGTTACTATGGTGATAATAGTCTAGCTTACGTCAATTCGATGTGTTGATTGAGGCATATCTTAGCAACGAGTTAAAATTAATAAAATAAATCAATCGTTTCAGGTCCTTTCTACATTATAACAGAGGTCCTAAGTTTATTAACAAATTTCAAATACTATTATATATATAGTCTGTTAGCGTTCGAACAAACATAGATTTTCCTTCATTCTTCAACACCGACTGTGTTTATTTCATATTTTCTGCTCTAATCCTTGACGGCTGGACCGTAGCTAAAAATTGAATTGATTCAATATGGCTGACTGTGGTGATCTTGTTCGTATTATTTTAATCGTCCTCAATACCATCTTCTTTGTAAGTTATTGATTTCATTCTTAACTTTCTACCATTAACTTACCTGCTAATGCAATGGACAGCCTGTATTTGTGGAGTTATTTACCGAAAAATAAATGCAAGAAATATCAACAATTCAATTGATCAGTAATCAGCTATAGTAGTTCGCCATGGCGTTTCATGTTTTTAAGATGAAAAGTAAATTCAATATCGTAAAATATGTTCAGGGATAAGCGGATATTATTAATATTATTCTGTCAATTTCTTAGCTAATTAATCTATTCGATACTGTAATGACAAGCCCTAAATTACTCTCACTTTAATATTATTGACATCCCTATAGGCTTGTTTAATTTGTCTTGTTTTCATACCTTATTACACTTGAGAATGATTAATCTAAATTTATTAGAAAAGTAACGAAGTTATAAGCGATACATACGTGTAAAATAAATAATGACTACTGCGGGAATGGCACTACCGTAGAAAAATTTTCATCGTGCCAAAACATATGTATAATCCTTGACTTCTCATGAAGTAAGCTTAGCACATGATTGTTTTTATCACGCATAAGGAAATTGAACATGATAAATATTAGTATCCATTCTACAATTATTTATTACCAGAAATAAATCGGCGAACAAGCCTAATCCAATGATAATTTGAATATTACTTCCTTAAAATTTCATCATCGCAAATAGTTTAAATTTTCAGTATATTATTCTGCTTCAATAAAATGACTGTATATTTATCTTGATCATTTAATGCTTATAGTTATAAAATTTAATCTTACATTTGATATATAATCCAGGGGATGTAACTCAATTAAACTATACGCAGTAACTATACGTAATAGCGCACAGTTTTATTTTAATTATAACAAAGTCAGAACTTCTAATATATATTATGGCACCAAATTTTATGCTCATCATAGTCATATAATTATTTGTACATGGCTCTTCAGAAATGTTTATATCATACCATTGATAAACTTATGTCAAGAGTAAATCAGATATGCCTACTCTAGCGAGTTAATGACTTCATTTATTTCAAGAAATCGTTTATCATGTATCGATCTAACGGTATATACTTCCAATATTTTCAATACTAAGAGAGGCTGCCTTCTTTTTTATTACTTGATCTAAACTAAGTTGACGATGACACTGGCATAAGTAAGCATTAAAATTTATACAGTGAATTAAAACGTTTTAACTTTCTTATTAATTAGAGAACTATATCCAGTATTAGTAATCCACATTAAGTTTTGATGAGATTTGATAAGAAAATCCCATTTGAAGTAATTAAATTTTGCCTTAATATATCATTTTCGGTTAAATTCTCCTTACTGTCTCTAGTATTGAAACTATCAATTACTGCAGTCCGGAATTACTTGATAGGCAATAATTACATTTCTGAACTTTACTGCATCGTTCTATTAGTTACAATTTCATTAAAGACTTATCAAAAATTGCTCCACAGAAAACATTTCGTGTTTTATAACTTAGACAAAAGTGAATCAAATTTAAGGCTAGTCTACAAGTAAACCATCTTTCTCTGTGATGTACAAACTCGCTAATAATAAAATAATTAATAAACTACCGCACATTGAATTAATGTTGGGCATTTATTATTTTTTATCTATAGCTATGCGGTGGTGCAATGATCGGTTTAGCGATCTATGTTTTGGTTGTTTCCGGCACAACTATTACAACCGCTTTGGGAAGTTCTGGATTAATTCTTCCAGGTGTGATTTTACTGATGGTAGCTGGTATTGTAACCTTCATCTGCAGCGGATTTGGATGCTGCGGTGCTAACAAGAGAAAGAGATGGTGTTTAACAAGTGTAAGTCAATTTAAGTTTTGGTCACCATGTTTGATTAGGGTTTATACCTCGAAAAAAAGCTTCATTAGTTATAATTAGATTTGATATTAAAAGTTTCACTTATCTCTTACTGACCTTTTAAATAGTACCTCATCATCCTATTCGTTATCATCGTATTAGAAATTGCTGGCGGAGTTTATGCTTATGTCAATCGTGATTTGGTTAGTAAAGAAGAAAAGATAGCTTTAAAAGAATTTGAATTGGATTTATGCTTTGATTGCATACTGCTGTTTCATTGTGACTAGAAATTCATTTCTTCACTTTTTTAAATTATCAATTTAGATTACCACAAATCTAACATCTAGGCTTAATTCTGATTTGGCAACCTACTACAACACACCAACTACTCAAACAGCCTTTAATACCATTCAATCTGGGGTAAACTATGGACCACATTTTGTCTCATAATCAAATACTAAAATATTTAAATTAAAATTTTCTAATTAATAGTAGCGAAGATTGTATAAGTCATTGAAAATAACTATAAGAGTCTTTGAAAATCAAATACTGCAATGATTGATCGATAGCTTTTAATCCTTAATTTTCAATAATTTATTACTATAGTTTTGATTATTCGTGATATATGTATGAAAGAGTAAGATTAGCTGCTTCATAGATTTACTGCTTTCAAGCCATAATTATAACGATAGTGTTAAATTAGCTATACTTATGTTGTACAATTCATCTATTTGTCTATTACTATAATTGTGATGATATTAGCATTAAATTGATTAAAATGTCCAATTAATCGAACTGTTGATCGCATTTCAGCTGTCCTGTTGTGCTGTCCACAATTATACAGAGTGGAGGGGTACATCATGGTATGGCAACGTTTCCGCAGTGTCGACGGTTACCTACCCTGTCCCTGATTCTTGCTGTCGTTCCAATGTTTCGGACACTGCCAGCTGTGGTTATACTTATTCCACCACCAATAACATCTATACAACAGTTAGTAGACACCACAAGTTGAAAATGTTTTCGTATATCTTATCATAACTATACTAATATCAGAGATCATCAAGAAATTTGCTTTTTAGACATATCGTTCCAGATAGATATTAACTATCTACTTTCCTATCTACAGGGTTGCCTTGCCAAATTGCAAACTCTTGCATCCGATAATGCAAGCATTCTTCTAGGCATTGGTATTGGTGTTGGTGTCGTGCAGGTGTGTTATGTTCTTAAAGTTAATCAACAAGTAAATGTAAAGATAGGAAGAAGTAATTGATCGACTATAGCTACATTACATATTTCAAAATATTTAGTGACTTTTAGTAGAAGCATCATAACGTTCAGTAACAAACATTTTAGGTGTCTTAATTTGACCGATTATGCGACCATTTCTCTAGCTGCATCTATTGGCAATCACATAAATTTTACTTCTTAATATTTCATTTCATAACTCATGGATGAAAATATTTTATACAACTATGATTTATATAATAACTACACTTATTAATATGTCTTCAATTAATCTAGAAATCTATATGTAATTATTTTCAATTATAGATCCTTGGTTTTATCTTCGGGGTAATCTTATGCAATAGCATAAAAAATGATTGATCCAGTATTGAAATCATAATTAAACATAAGTAGAATTATAATTTTGTGTACGCCCCTTGCTACCTTTAGCTTTTATTTAACTAATTCATGCTTTAACCTGTTCATCGTAATCAAAATTATTGTACCCTTATCAATCCGAAAAGTAATACTGTACATGTTATTGTTGAGAAGTTTACAGTATAAAAATTGACTGTAGGAATTTTCCTGTATTAAGTATGACAAATTGTAGCTTTCATAACATGTACAGTATATCTATATTCATCTTGTTATGTGCAATTCAATCAATGTGTAACTACAATTGACTTGTAGTACTAATATTGTTTTAATCATTAAGACGTTTTTAAACAATCAAACATCATTACATGTTTGTATCTTAATTTGAGTGGTAGGCATTTTCTGTAATCTATCATAGCAGTGCTTTATTACCTCTACTGTGCTAGTATTGTTATTAGTTAAAAATAAATAAAAGGTAATCTGGATGAATTTGTACTGAAAGGATGGTTTCTCACCTCGTAATCCTGTCACGAAGAACATAAAAATAATTTCTGTTGAAAGAGCACCATGTACTGTGCTTACACTTAATGGTTGTTCTTCTCACTGCTGACTAATATAAATTTATACATCTATTCATAGCCAATGAGAAGATTTTTAATAGTTTCTCATTATAAGAAAAAATAAATAACTAAATCGTTATAGTGAAATAAAGTGTGACTAACGGTAGGTTATTATAGCATAGCCTACACAGCATACGCGTATACTGAAATATTCTACTTAGTAAACCATTTACGGGAACCATCGCGAACGAGAAAATGCACTGATACCGTATCTATACTAGAAATATAATGTGGAGCAGCTTGAGTTCTTGAGTGTGCTTTATTTTATTTTATTTGATTTTACGTCTAACAAGAATTTAATTTACTTATAAGAAAGTTAAAAACTATACGCAGTTTAAATTTTCTATCATCATAGCAAGCAAAAAAGCACTGAAACTGGACAATCCATGTTCTAATTTATTTTATTCTAATTCTTTTTAGTCTAGCTTTATTTCATTTCAAGATTAAGGTTTGATCGATAAGATTTAAACATAGATACAATTTGTCGGCTCTATAATATACTTGAAATAAAGACTATCAACCCAGCTAAATAGTTATTTTAAAAATTTGATAGATGGATACGATATTATCCGATAGTTCATAGCTAACATATAAAGAATCATACTGCAAGTGAAAATCATTTTTGGACATAAATTTTATCATTATCAATTTACATAATTACTTTAAAGTGATAAAAAAGATTATAATGGAACAATCTATAGCTAATTAAACATTTAAGATTATTATCATGCTGTAGAAGCAAGTATCATTTCTTGGACAAAAAGCTTACCGCATCCAAGATAAGTAATTGCTTTAAAATGTTAACAAGCGGACATTATTTAAAAATCCGCAGCTAATCAAGTATTACGATAATTTTACTAGGAAATAAAAAAGGATGATTACGATCAGATCATACTCTATATCCACTCAGAATTCTAGGAAATTGGTACGATCCGAAGGTTTATAACTAATTAAATGCATATGATGATAGTAGTATAAGCTAAAACCATTGAATAACAGCTTATCAAATCGAGTCATATGGTACTGCATAGTTGCTCTAGAAGTTATTATTCGACTATTTATAGGTAATCTTTATTCTAGAATTAATTTTTCTATCAACATATAAGATAAAAACGACACTTATTGCAATATGGGGGAGGAAAAGCTACGGTATAATGACAAGTTTAACCAGAGACGAAATTTCAACTGAAATGATACTATACATAAAAAATTTCGTTACTTGTAATCATGCTAGATATCGAAATGTAATGATTAATTAATAGAATGTGAATTAACTTTGGAGTTTATAAATCTCCAAATGTTTTCGTCGATGTAATTTAAAACAAAATGACATTATTTTATACGAATACTAAGTTAATTTATACTTAATAAGTAATGCGTATTATCCATGTTCTTTTTCAAACACGAATATTTAGTAGGTTAATCTTTATCTTCTTTTAAGTCGCAATATAAAATCATGGAACAAACCATACCGAAGATCTGTAAAAGAGAACGTTGAAAAGCGAACGAAATATTTACAATCAAGTTGTTATAACAATTTTTCATTAACATTTATAAGAGATAGAATTTATCGATATACGTATTTAGTAGCGTATCAACTCAGAATAACTTTATCTTTACAATACATGTAACTGTATACATATAGCATTAACTATTTTTAAGTTTACGGTGCATTCACTGTAGTAATAGACTTAATTATTTATAACTTGGTTATATTTGGTTATAGGACTAAATTGATGCGTATTGTTCTTACGCTATATTAAAAATCGTATAACAGTGATATGTGCTCGTTAGAATAATAATGTGTACAGTATATTACGACTATAACAAAGACTTCAGCGATATCAGCGAATCTTATCAACTTTATCATAAAGCGATAAATAGCAAGAATAACAATATCTAGAACATTTGAAGTGACTATTTACCTGCAAGGCACCAATACCGACACCAACTCCCAAAATAATGTAGGCATTTTCTGATATTGTATTAGAAACTGATTGAACGCAACCCTATTGATTGGACATTGTGCGATTTTTAAATTCATTTACCCTTACTATTTCCCAAAACTTTTATTCATTTGGTATACGAAAGTTTGTCATACTTACATTCAGGTTTATTCCGGTTAGATTTGCACCACCTCTTTGTACTTCATCTAATCCGCAACCTGGAACGTAAACTTTGCAACAAGAATCAGGTACTGGATAAGCGATAGTTTTACCGGCACCCCAGGTTGATCTTGCCCAATCGGTATAGTTACTGGAGCCACAGCATTTAAACTATATCGCGAAATGAATTTAGAGACTTCATAAAATATTAGGAGGAGGATAAGCGTGTGCACACAATACTTATTATATTAAATTGATGCGATTAAAAGTCATCTAAATATTTTTATTCGGATTTAATTGCAAATATTAATATCACATGATGCATGCAGAATGAATAAAATTTACAAAAATTTGATTTCCTTTGCATAAAGCATATATATATGCAGTATTTATCAATTCCGTTTTAACATTATTAATGCCAACCTTTATATTACTTTTTATATGTGTACAAATTCAAGTAAGCTCTATTCTATCTGGAATCTGGAAATTTCGCACGGCACATGATCTGATGCAATTTAGTGCGATAGTATTTTAGATATGTAAGCTACCTTGCATACAGTATAGTAAAGATCGGAAATGAATTTGTTTACAGTTTCAACCATGAAGAATTTAGATAATCTTAGCTATGTCTACAAATTTGGGCATTTGGCGTGTAATCATATATTTAAGTACGGTCAGTATTTATCCTATTTATGATCTTGTAAATTCACTCATCTTATATTCTTATAGTAGCATTAGTGAAAATGTTCATACAGTTACGGTAGCATGATCTATATCTCTAGATTCTACGATGCCAACATGATTTATAGGAAGTTACTTCAGCTTTTGTTTGCACTTATTTGGTTCAATGAATAAATAATTCGCTAAATCTGGTCCAACTCAAGATCGATTAGTTTTATCTTGGATATTGTAACTTTAGCATACAGTATGTAATTCTTGTAAAACTAGTAAATAATGTGGAATTAACGAAAACAGTCCGTTAGGTAACTTGTAAGCTGTAATTCTTTTAATCATGGATATTTAGGTTTAATAAGTTAAATTTTATGCCGTCCATTAACTTGTATACAGAGCTAATGGTGTACACAAATTATCTTTAGATTGTAAAACTTGTTTACCTGAGTTTGAATTGCATTGAGTCCTCTTTGAATACCCAGATTGTTAGGTGTATATTTATTTTGAATATCGTTAGATAATTTAGTCCTTAATGCATCTATTACCTAGTTGAAATTAATAAATTAAGAGATTATGACTTTGCAATTGGCAGTCTAGTAATTGATAAAGTTTAAGGATTATAATACCTCTTGGCGATGCACAACCGTATAAATTCCGGCAGCTACTTCAAATCCAAATATTAAAAGCAATAGGATAAAAAACTAAAAAGATAATATAATATAATCCATTGTAAATGTTAATAATGGTGGAGATATGCTATTACACTTTGCCTACCAGTGAATTCGACTGTTAGCTTAATTAGGTTCCAATCATAAATCTTAAAAGAATTCATTAAATTAAACTACGGTACTGTCAGTTATGACAGAAGTGTAATTTTGTTATAACATACTCCAAGTAGCATTCCTGGATGCCGATTAAGTGAACCACAAAAGCCTAATATGCCAGCTAGAGTGGTGATAATACCAGCAGTAAGCAAGAGAATAGTTCCGATAGTAACTGCGCTATCCGCAGCAATTGTTGCTATATCCCAGTAGGTAGCGAGGTTATATCCCGCCAAACCGATCACCGCGAAACCGGATAACTGCGAAAGAAATATGCAAAAATAGGGTGTAAATTATTTCCTAAATTTTAATAAATTTAAATTTAAATATAAAATGAAAAGATCAAATTAGACTCATATCCGAAAAGGTTTATACCAGATTAGCTAATTAAATATTAGTAAGACTATTATCTTGATCGTAAGCAGTCTTGGAACAAATAAAATCATTAAAATTACATTCAGGAAGTAAAGATCTACTGCAGATTGAGCAATTGATCTAATGATAGCATGTCAATTATAATCATTCTTTACAAGTCTGAAATACAGTATAATAAATTAAATCCAAGATTTGCCCTTAGCTTAGTTTATTAAATGTAACATTAAATTCTTAATTGTAGGCGTCATTAAAATAAAATAAAGTTATCAAACTAGACTCAAATTGTAGGAGATTTGCAATAGCTAATTTTATTATGTAGTATTAATTCCTTAAACGCAGCCAATCTCAACACAATGAAATTATCTCATTAGACATCAGTAATATTTTAAGATATCCGCTGCAGGCCGCTTAATTAAATTACGTAAAGAATTATGTTACTTGCTGATATTGGTAATAAGAATAAGAAACAAGCTGGAAACCTATTTCAAGTAACTTTCATATTCTACTTATGGCAATATTAACAATATGATTTAATTGAAGAATTTGTAAGAAGGAATAAGTACAAGCATATTAATGATATCAAATAATATTTAATCGGGTATTTACGCGTATACGTATACTGTTGTAAGAGTGTAAAAATAGTATAATATCTTAAGTCATAAATTCGTGCAGTATGATTAGATTTGAATTAAAGTACAGCAACAAAGCTTCGCTAAGTGAATAATAATTTCAGTCCAGTGTTGAAACTTAAAGCTTGAATAACGGAATAGCATAACTTATAACACTAATCAATTAGTTAATCAATTAATCAAGGAAGCGAAATCAAGTTTTATAGCTTTTCCAATCGAGAAGGTAAAAAGTAATAAGAAGATAATTGTATGATTAAACTATATTAATAACATAGGATATTGCAGTTGCTTTTTAATTATTCCTATAATTCGTAAGATCACTATACAATCCACTTTTTTTACTAATTAAGCCACCTTTCACAACTTGGCTGTGACCGTGGTAAAATGTTAATATAGAAGGAAGTTGTGCTAATTCTAACATTTAGCTGATTTAAATAAAAGCAAAATTATAGTATTATTGGCTATTGCGTCATGGGTTGATCCAATTGATTTTTAATAGCAGTTTTATCAATTCTGTATGTTATAAAACTGTCTATCGATTAGAAAAGAATACCCAATATTAAATGATACGCTCATTTTTTTTAAAACTATCGCGAGTAGTGAATCTACTATTAGATTGAGATTGAGTAATTTAGATGCTTTAGAAATGAAAAAATCTAAGTCAGAATAAAGTAATTTTAAGCTATTACAGTCTTTAAAAGTGCCATGAAGCCCTTTCTGATATCAAAGATTTAATTAAAAATATCCAATTACTTTGTAAAAGTCATTTTAAATGCGGCCTTCTACAAGAAATTAGCTGTTTCGTACTGTTTTGCGTTATAGAAAAAGGTTACATCAGCGAAAACCGAACCTGGTTCGCCTTATCCTGTGATAATTGGATAACTTAAAAAGTAAACAAAAAAGTTTTAAGATTCAAAGATTTGTAATTTTTAAGACCAATTTAAAAAAAAATCTCTATGTTGCGAGGAAAAAGCCATATCAGGGAAAACCTAGACCGGTTAGGCCTTATCCCGTAACATTTGAATAACTTAAGAGTAAAGAGAAATGGCTAAAATTCAAAATTTATAATCTTTAACACCAATTTTTGAAAACAAATCTTTAAATAAGATATAGAAATGATAAATGGTGATTAATTTCACAAATTTTATCAGCTATTTACGTATATTACTAGCGGCTTGAAAGAAGATTTCAAGAACCTTATACTATATAATGTACTAACGTACAACATTCAGCAGGAAATGACTGAAGGAAAATCTTTACTTGGTGCTCCTTCGGATGAGTGTAATTTAATCAGTATGATAAAATTGAAAGTTAATCCATAGTGTTAGATACCTGTGATATGCCCAATTATGATTACTTAAAACTGACTATATTGATACCATTAAAGACGAAAGTTTTTATGAATTACATTGTAGTTCCATAGTGAGAACATTATAACTAGTGAGAATAGCTAAACAATAAGATACCAAAGAGTTATGCTAGATTAGATTTCAGATAGATTTTAATTTATGGTATCTCAAGATACTATTAGCTTAGGGTAAGGAATTGAAAACCACGATAATAGTAGCTATGATTTATTGGACCAATAGCACCAAAAATAGCAAATCTAAATGTTAGTAATACAGATATTAATGCTATTTCCGAAATTTGAAATTACTGCAATGGAGATGAATGTGAATGATTGAAGATACTATGAAATACTCATATTCAGAAAAAATCACCATAATCTGTGAATTCAACTACTACAATGTGGCTTAATTTTTAGTGACACGTTATTCTAAGTAAAAAATAACATTATGATAGAAAAAATTCAATTTTAAATGATGATAAACTGGATAGTTTGCTGTACCATCGTAAGCAAACTATGCCATCACGGTGAAAAGTATCTTAAAAGGAAAAGGTCGTTTTATTATAATCTATGATCATGTATCTAAAGTAGGATTTTGTGGCAATTTAGAAGTTTTTAAGCTATCGTTTTAGTATTAACAGAAACATGTAGTAAATCAATTTATGTGGAGGTAGCACTTGATGATAATTTAGAACTTCCAAATCATCTTTTAAACATTAGAAGAAACATATAAATAGGACAGTCTGATCAAGTAGCATCTGATAATTTTATACAATTCTTTTAAATAATAGAAGGAATAGATGAATGAGATGGAGAACATGAAAATTATACTTGACGATCGTTTCAATACTGAAAGAAACGGATAAATAGGATAGGAAATATTAAAGTAGTATACTTGTATGACGATGATTTTAGAACTTAAAAATGATCTTTTGAGAATTTTAGGAACTGATTTGCGTAATACTTTATCATTAAGCGGTATCTAACGATGATTTAGAACTTTTTAATATTCATTTCAAATGTTGAAAGAAATAGATATTTACGATAATCTATGCAGGAGTGTAATTTAACGATGATCTAGAATCTTTAAATAATTATTCCTTTGGATATTAGAAGAAACCGATAAATAGCTTGTGTGATAATAACTTTTAGTGATTTAGAAGTTACGAATAGCTTTTCAATTTTAAAGAAAGGAATAAGTAAGACAATTTACCAACGTTAAAGAAGTATGCGTATTTTACCATGTAATCTATAACTTACCACAAAGATAAAATTGAAGACAATTAATAATATCCTTGATAAATTACCACAACCCATAGTGTCTATAATTTTAACCAGTGAAGAATATAAATGACCTATAGATGACAAGCCTTCAAAGTTAAGTGGAGAAAGAAATAGAGATGATAGGAATTCCTTAAATCTAATGTCAACGGTCAATCTTAACCTAAGCCTGTACTAGCGGCCTAAAGGTAAAGTATCTCCACCTTTCCAACGTATTGCTGGTACTGAATTCTATTTTCTGTATCACTATGGCTACATGGGATAATGCATATGACATGTTCCTAATGATTTCTTTTTTATACACAAGGATCAAAAAGAATTATTTTTCTTGATTGATTGAATTATAATGGAATAAGGAGTTACCTATGTTTATTTATCTTAGTAAGGAGGGATTATCTTACAATATTATGTCACCATGATTAACTGATGAATTCTAATTAATTAGTTAGCTGTCAATGGATAGTTAACTTGACCTTCTATGCTGGGATTAAGAGGAGAGAATAAAATATTTGACCTGCCAAAGCATGCAAGTCATAGACTTTAATTCAGTTATACCTGTTATATTGTAGATTAGCTTGATAGAATCAGGTAGTAGAAGGAAAATAGGTATGATTAAAAATAATTCGAGAAAGAGAGCTAATAGGACAGGCTCATATTCGTGCTCAATATCAGAAATATCAGAACGTCCATCAATCTTAAAATCATCTTATGCTATTTTGTAACACTTTCATAAGCAATTCTATGATTTATCAGAATAGCTAAACCGATTCTGTTCTCAAATCTGACTACAACATTACACCTGTTACGTGATATTCCTCGAAAACTCAAGAAATCATCAACCCTTTAGCCCAGAAAATAGAATATCTTCTCAGATCATTTTAGTAGAGATTTATTTTTGTTTCAAATACTCTTACTCTATCTAGCTTGATAAATGACTAAAAAAATAGTAGAAATGTAACACCATGACCATCATAATACAATACGAACTCGCATCAAAATAAACATCATTAGCACAACAATTTAACCATTTCCATTACGGCAACGCCTGTTTTCATAACTTAATTGAATAGCAATAATAGGGATATTTTATTTTCATTTGTTATTCTTGGCTAAAGTAGTGATGAAATTGAACAGGTAGAAGGATACAGTTTCAACTTAAATAGCTAGAAATCAATCGCAATCATGGAATTCTTAGCTATATTAATAAATAGTCTTTTGATATGCACTTAATAAATAACTATCGCAGATGATATTGCTAATTTATTATTTGATAGACCATCGGTCGAACTTTATCTATCCTTGAGATAATGAATAATCTTTAACAATTATTTATAGAAATTTCAAAATTGCGATATATTTCTAACCTACTTCTACTGTTTAACTAAGTTATATAATTACCAACATCTGAGCATGATATTACATCACATCATCTCCTTTATATACCTGTACCGAAGACTTGGAACATCTCTAAAGTCATTTTATGGGTCTTTCAAGAATTTGTAACGTCTTTATTATCCTATGTGATCAAGCTATAAGATTATCTATGTCAGAAATTCATACGTGCGAGTACAAATCTTATACTGACGTAAAACTAAATTATCTGCATTCTATTGCTGTACGATCGGCTATCATATCGATAATTGTACTCCTGCAGTCTTTAATACTGCATTGAAAGTTTACTATAGAAAGTATGACTTATCTAATCGTTACATTAAACTGTGGCTATGTATCCCAAAAAGTGTTACTATAGGCTGATTAATGAGAAATCGCGCTGAGTTCAATAAATCTTTATTCTAATAAACGATTTTAAAATCATGAAGTCATTGTTTCCGATTGAAAAATCTTGACAAGGGGCAAAATACTATGTGTTACCAGTAGAATAGAAGAGTTTATCTCAAAACGCTTTTTACACATTGATTTTAGCAAATTTACCCCTTCAAGATTACTTTAATAGTGAACTTGACTAAATAGAGCAATATTTACTCTTGGAGGGTTTATATTCATTCATTCTTGTTGGAAGAAATAGGGTAGTACCTAACCTAACGATTAACATTTGATTAATCATACGGTCGCATATATATTTTCGATTAACGTCGATCGACTTCATTCATTTCCAAGAAATTACCGTAAAACATGTTGTTAAAAAATTTTGAAAATGCCTGGTGCTTCTTTTCAGTCGAATATTGACATCGAACGTCATCAGGTTCGATAAACATCATCAGATGATAGTATTAATAGTATTCTGTTCATTATAATCTGCTGCAACAATGATTGAAATGGTATCCAATTCATTTTATCGCCTGAGTTATTTAATTGGTGATAGAATCAGATATAAATTAATATTTAACAACTTTCAATCACTAAATAAGTACCAAATTATTATTATAACAACTGACCGACTAAGACAAATGGCTTTTCAAAAATGTCAATAATAAACAACCACACCTAGTCATGTATATTGAGGGCTAGCTATCTGAACTATTGTCATCATTAACCTCGACATAAATACCATTTTCGTTAATGTCATCTTGAAATGATATTATGAAAGTAGAATTCCTTCAGAATATATAAGCTACGTGACACATATTTTCAATTCAAAAATAAATTGTACTTGCTCCAAATTACATCTAAATTGATACGATCGATGAATGATTGACTCTTTAAGACTTAGTAATCATGTCTTAACTTATTCTTATGTTAGAGGGCATCGCAAGAATCTTTTTATACCATATAAGATCTTAAGTTTATAAATAAGATTGGTACGGTAAAATATTTAGTATTAAAGTGTTAGTTGATCAGTAAATTACAGCTATAGTAAAAGCTTGATATCAATTCTCTCCATACATATTAAAATTTATTTAATTTTGAGTTAGACACACCCAAAGAGGAAAGAGTGATTCACAAATAAAAAGGACATGATTAAATAATCTTGTCAATCATCTATTGATAACAGGTTGATTTTGAATAGATCAGTAGATTAGGTGAACCTTGAAAGATAACCCCGAATAACCTTGTAACCAGCTTTGACTCAATTAGAACGTTGCTGCTGAATTACATTTTGACATATTCCGGTACAACTAGCAATTTATTTCATCATCACTAATATCATCATTAAAAGAATTTATATAATATTCCTTCCTACTTTTTCTTATCTTTTCCTCTATTAAAGACTAGAATTTAATCTATCATAAGAGCGATGGCTATTAAAGGTGAAGTAAAAGCTAAAGGCAAAATGAAATATGCCCGTTGGTCCCTTTTTGCCTTTAATATCGTCTTTTGGGTAAAAAATAGTTTAATTAGATTGATAGTGTATAATTTACTAGCGATTCGATAGCTTAAAGTAACAAGATAAATCAAAACATATTATTCATATTTTTAAGATAGCATTTTCCCGTAATTCTATTCTCCTAAACTGGCTAATTGGTTTTCATATTTTGCGATTTTTGAAATCGATCAATTTAAATTTCCCATGTGCCACGAATTAACATTAAATTATTACTACTAGCCTAGTAGCAAATAATCATCTAATACCGCTAAGATCCTGCTACTTCTTTAAGATGTACAAAGAATATAGTCAGTCGTCATAGATTAACATTCCGTACATCTTATTTTAAGTAGAAAGCAAAAATTCTCTTCCAAATCTTGGAACATTTTCAATCAGGATTTAATACAAAAAGATTGTAATTAAAAATTTCAGACCTAAAAGTAACATTTACTTGCACTGTTTTCATTTTTTCTCATCATCGTTTCATATATTAATAGTTCAATCGGGCTACTTAGTATCCTGGTTTCGACATATAATAAAAGACCAACTTTAAAAGTCTCAATCCTAATAGAAGATTAGGTCGTATCTATTCACATTATTTATTAGTATTACTTTATCCTTAGCAGTTATAACATCTTACATATCTTACAGGCATTAGGTTGCTAATATAGTTATCCTGTAGATATATTCCTGTAGAAATTAATTTATAATAAATGAAACATCATTTTAGATATCGATAAATAATTTACAATTGATTGAAATATTACTTACTGTCGAATAGAAATCGGTACAGTACTACATATCAAAATTATTTAACACCATGCTATAAATTAGAAAATGCATTAAAAGCGTGGTACTATACGTCGATAAAAAAGCTATAGAAGAGGTTAGTCAGGACTACAATTGTATACAAGAAATGCCACCCTTCTACATACAGTTATTTGCTGGTATTTTTTGATTGAGCTTAATTTTAATTTCTCTAAAATACTTATTACAAAAGATATGTAATTTAAATAGATTAAGAATGGTTTATAATTGTATTTGATGGATGTATCGTAAAACTATTTCGTAGTTATACAGCATGTAATTGTTTGTGCATGAATTAAGTTTATATCGCACTGTACGGAAGAATGTAGATATGAACACAAATCGAGATTGAAAGTTTTAGTTTATCAGATCGTGACGATGAATAATATGCTGCAATCAGCTGCGATTTAGGTCTATCTTCAGATTATAAAATTATTGATAATGAAACATATCTAGTAAATTTATAATAGGGTAAAATTTGAATAAATTTTAATTCCGCAATTATTTATCTCTAATTCCAGTGATAAATTTAACTTGTTTGATTGTCATCAATTTAATTAATAATAAAATATAAAATACAAACGCACTAAATTAATTTAACTAATTTTGCTTAATTCTTGAATTTTATTTCCAAAATACGGTGCAATAATTTCTAATTTAATATGATAACTAGCTAGAGCTTCATCACCTCCAGTTTATCACTTACGATAGTCTATATGCCGGCCCACTGTTGCACTTTATCCATAATTACTAGTTTAATATACAATTTAGTATTTGAAAAGCTGGTAATAAAGGTCGTTTCGTTTGTTTCTTACGAACATAATATCTAATACGCAATATCCCGTATTTTAATGCAATATTTAGCTTACAAAAATCAAGGTTATCGTCAGTTTAGTGACATGTTAAAATGTTTAATTATTAAAATATTAAAACATTCACCAGCATCATTTAACTTTGATTTTCACTGATAGCCTACAGCTATGCTCGTATAAATATATATTACAAAATAGCCATTCTCAATGTTATCATTTAATTGATCTTTTTATAGATTATGGGAATTACGACTGTTGGTGTTGGAGTCTGGATATTAATTTCCAATGCCAACACATCGGTTTTAACAAATAATTTATTTAGAACTGGAACGATTCTAGTTATTGTGTCTGGATGTTTTATTGGCTTAATCGGTTTCTTGGGATGGTTCGGTGCTTATCAAGAACATGCATGTCTGATTGGGATGGTAAATAATATTATTAGCCATTTCTCTATTCTAATAAAGTAAACTTCATATTTCAGGCATTATCAAGCAAGTTATAGTACCTTTTTTGATAAATATAACTTGCGTTTTATCGGATTATCATGATAAAGCACAATATTACCGTATCAAAATTTAAAATAAATTTTATATGATGGACGTGATGGAAACAAAATTTTATTTTGCAGCTGCTAAAACCAAATCAATCCCTATCAGTTGTAATTTTATAACCTACATTCGCCTTATAAGTCCACTCCATGGAATTGTAGTTGCTAGACATAATATTGACTTTCTATTTATATTAGCCAGATTTAGAACTACCTAATGTGATGTTAACACAAAAACGAAATATTTATTTAGTAATAAAGTCATACTCATGAGCTTACATTAATCATTAATTTACACCTAGACCGTCTGTAAGAATTAAGATGCAAGCTAACAATTCATTTAAAGATAAAAATGCTGATATAGAACATTACAGTTATATCTTCATTACTGAAATCATAGCTGATATCACAGATCATAGATCAAATTAGTATAACTTATTTTTTGTTTCTGTTCAATTTTGAGGCTAAGAATAACGAAGAAACGCAGTGCAACAGCGTACCTTAGTTTATTCTTAAAACTTAATCGGACAAGTTGCTCTATCTACTAATTTAGCTAAGGAAGGGGCAGTTATAATAGTTTGATATGTCCTTAAGTTGATATGGCTGCTAGAGCTGAACAGGACAGTAGTTCATTATATTATCACAGTATTTCATTAATAATAAGATATAAGATTTCGAGCAGAATTTATAACCCAACAAGTACATTTAGCTCTTTTAATACAGTATTTAATGCAAAAATAATTGGATGAAACGATAAAAATCGCTTTTTCCAACGATCTATCTATGGGATCTTATTTATTTGAATCTAATGCTATATTCTGTAAAACAGATCGGTTTTGTAACTCACTCTACTTGTTTGCTATAGTTTACTAGCGGTTTAATTATCGTCTGCCTATTAGAAATTGCAGCTGGAGTTTGGGCAGGTGTAAATCAAGGACAGGTATAACCATTTGCCAGTTATCGTAATCATTTTATCTGAAAAAATACTTTTTAAATACCTTTACGTTATGTTAAGAGATTTAATCTTCTATCACTTTTGTTCATGGCATTTTCTACATATATTAATGATAATGGATGAATGAAATAGGAAATACAAAAATTAACCACGTCATTAATAACTGACGTAATCGAAAAATATGGTAAACCATCGAATGCACCACTTTCTAAGGCTTTAGATGCAATCCAACATCGAGTAAGTTCATCTTTAATAATATTTCTGATAATTAGCCAAGTCTGAAGATTAGATAAAGTGTCGTTAGTGGTATTTGCTAATATCAACAATTAAATGAAATAGAATACTTTCGAAATTCATCTGCGCTTTAAGGGTCCTTTAATCGTTTACCCTTTACTAAATTAGAAGATAATAAAGATGAGCTATTGGGACTATAATTTAATGATACAATTTTACTTAAGAAATGTTGTTACCATATTCCCGCATAACTCTTTGATGTGATTATTTACTAGGAACTTGAATGTCTTCTTAATTACCTATCTTACTTAACTACTAGTAAAATTTTATCGTTTCTGGCTTACGTAATATTTTATTTAATTTCAAGCTTTTTTTTTCATAATTCCATAATCAGTTAATTAATTAGTTAATTACATATTAAAATGAATTAAATTTGAATTGAAAAATCATACCATTTTATCCTTTGCGAATTACCACCAAAATTTTAATCTTTTTTCACATAAATTAAAAGTTATACTAGCTACTAGATGAGCTCTGTCTGATAAATGATTTCTTGTATTTTAGAAGTTATAGAAATGCGAATTTTAATATCTTTACTAAAGTTGTAACGTAGAATTTATAAATAATACAGCACTACATTATTTCTAAAATCTCAAATTAAGTGATTTTCCGTCTCACATGATTGCTTTCTAAAACATCTATTCACGATGACTTGCCTATAGTACTTTTGCTGTGGTGCTAACAACTATACCGATTGGGCTCAGTCGTTATGGAATGCAAATAAGGATTTTAAACCCTATGCAGTACCATCATCATGTTGTAGACCTGCATATTACGTGGATGGATGTGGCGAGGATTCTAGAGTACGAAATGTAACCAACCCAGCCGGAGGAATTTATACTCGAGTAAGAATATTTACAGATTGGCTGCATTAGATAGCGCAAACGTGCAACTAGCGCGATATATTCGCATGAACGTATTTGTGTATATTTCTATCGACTATTGTAAAGAGTTCTAGTATGAGTACCGTATAATGTCAACACTGATATTATTTTACTTATTTATTTATACATCTTGTATAAAATCCACCTAGCAAGACAGTAATGAAAGACTCTAGTATAGCGAAGATGCAACCACTATGATTCTATTAACAATAGACTATAGCTATTAAGAAAATATAGGGATGATTTCGCGAAATCTTAAGTGTTATGCCATTGATTTATTACTTTAACAGGGATGTCAATTTGCTATTCGGCAGCACATCAGTGAGCACAGTGGAGCTATTCTTGGTATTGGCATCTCGGTAGCAATTGTTCAGGTACGAATATAAAACTGAAATAATTGTTCTATATGAATGATTGCCAAATCATTTGATAGATTCCACTATTAAGCTATCACAAATATTTGGTATAATTTTCTTGCATTATTTTATAGGTATTTGGAATTTTTTGTTCAGTTTTGTTACTTGATTATTATCGCCATTACGAAGATGAACCAAGTGATGTTGATGAAGAAACTAGTCTGAAAGGATCCGAACCAAAAGAGAATTTAGTCCTGAATGAGAAAACGCCAATACCATCCGAGGATTCAAATAAGATTATTGATGAAAGTACAGCTCCTGTGCCACCAAGTAATGGCTCAGGTCCATTATCAGGAGAAGATGATCATAGCAAATCGCCGATATCATCTGATGTTGAATCCGAGAATATCCAGAAAGTTCCAGCTCCTGAAGAACCTCATAGTCCAAATGTTGCCCAACCTACAGCAGAACCATCTCCAACCACCGATAATATTGATTCAGCACCATCTCAAGATGCTCATCATGTCGATGCATCGGTTAAAGAAGTCGATGTAAGCTCAGAGTCGGCACAAAAACCTGCTTCGTTACCAACAGATAGTGATGATCATCATCAATTAACGGGAAGCGAAATACACCATGAGGAACATGAACCTTCGAGTTCAACAATTCATGTCGAAGTCAACGTACCTGCAGAATCAAATCACGCAGATCCAGTTGATACAGCAACTACAGTCCATCATCAAGAAGAAAATGAAGACTTGGAATACGAAAATGCAGCATTTTAATATCGTCATTTCGATTGTATTATCTAGTACTAACTAGAAATCATTTCGTATATGATCTGACATTGTGTCGATATCGTTATGATAAAATTTGACAATATATATTTAAATTCAGACTATAGACCTATACTAATACTCGTATTACGATTTAATATTTTGATCAGGTACACCTACGAGTACATACTGATGACTATCGATATTAACATAAAAATGTTGATTTATTTCATGTTGCAAATTTTCAGTAGAAAGTAGAAATACTGCCAGTTTACCATAAATTTGTAGCCTCGTTTTTTCAGGACTTTCAATACAACTCAAATACCATAAACTTAAAATCGATAATGATCTTATCAGTGTATCTAATAATTAAATAGCCAACTTAGATAGCCCATCGTTGAAGGTCTACAGCAATTAAACTAATGCTATAGGATTTCTTTATGAAGCCATTATATTATACTAGCTCTCATAATTGAAGGCCTATTCAAGAATTATAATTACAGAAAATGACTAATATCTACGTTATAATGATGTAGCTATTGATTAATGATGACACTAATTTAATCTACTTTTCCCTAATATTAATTATATATTACGTCATGGTAGCTATATAAATGTATTGTAATAATTGTTTGTTTCTTGGTGCTTGAAATAGCATATATGCAAGCAATTAGTTTAGTTTAATTTTCTAATCATTTTTTACTACAAGTAGTGAACACTTAGTAATCATTTCAACTATGCCAATTTAAATCCGTAATAAGTAGGATAATCTATAGTAAAAATGGCTTATATCCAATAACATGTTTTGAATCTATGAAATTATTTCAGTTACTAATATTATGTAATACGGGAGGCAAATAATATATCGACTTCCAAGTTTTGATAGCTTGTTTTATGTTAATTTTAATAAATTATAGTATGAGATATGCGTATGCCTTAGTTAAATCATTCAATCCCCATGAAGTAACGAGACATTGGCTCATCATCTTAACTTGATCAAATGGAAATAGCGAAATATCTAGCTCGTATTCATGTCCAATTATCCGACTTCTTAATGTAGTATGAGCTGTTACGATGGCACAGTCACTAATTCAGCAATGTAAAATGATCAAAAAATCGTCGTGACGAGATTAAAGTGAAACTTATATCTAATTTTTTAATTCGTCGCATGCTATGAACTATCTTTTATCGTGTTGTAATTTAAAATATTTGAACGTCAAGCCAGGATATACTAAAGGTAATTTTAAAGTTGCTAAGACAAATCCTTAAAATGTAGATGAGTATATGTGCATATAGATACTATACATATTAATATGGTAATGAAAGAAACACTACTGATGTAGTCCTGTTCATTGCAGAATAAGAAATTGTTGATAAATTTATATTTATGTATGTTGGATCATTAATCGTATAGTAACTTAAGATTTAGTATTTTGCTCACTATAATCAAAGTTTCTTCACAATTATAAGTTTACTATCACCATCCTGATGCTAACTTAACAACTACTTGGAAATGCTGTAGTTGCCTAATAAAAGAAGGTTATGGAATAGAAGTCATTAAAAACCGTTGCACTTAAGTTATTGGAATACGTGAATAGCTGCATTAATATTTTTTTTTAAAGCTAATTATGGTTGCGTAATAGCATTAACATCATACTTGTATTAGTCGAAATTGACGAAAAGATTAGAATTTTGGAATCATAAAGGATGACCAATTGCTTACGCTTTAACTAGATCTTTTAATGTCATTTAGTCTCATTTCGGTAGAATGTAATCCTAACGGTCAAAATTATGTACATTCTAGGTTATTAATCAAAAGTTAAAGATTAGGCTAAAAATTATTAGGAGCTTCCTAATTAAGCTTTCATTACTGTGTAGTAGGATTACCAGATTCATGAAATAATTCATTACAAAGACAGAAATAAATCATAAAAATACGAGTTTTTACCCTGTCAATGTTCATTAAAATCTAGTTTATCACTTATACATGGTATTATGGTTAACAATTATAATGATTGGTAATAAAATAATTTAAAGTTCTTCGTGTTTATGCTGTTGTTTTCTATCATATTCATTTTGAAGGTCACGTTGTCCATCATTATCGTCTTCTCCTTCACTATCATCATCACTCTCTTCTCGTCGATCATCGTCTTCGTCCTCTTCGTCCTCGTCCTCACCCCTTTCTTGTCTTCTTCTTAGCTCTTCTTCTTCCATTTTTTCTAATGCTTGTCTATCTGCTAACACTTGGTTCCAATCTATTCTTTCAGCGGCCTTTAAAGGTCCTGCTGGATTTTCTATAGCTCTGACAATTTCTTTCAGTGATGCAATAGGTAATTGCTCAATATCCTCTTGTGTAAAGTAACCATTCCCATCAGGGTCAAAATACTTTTCAAACACTTCTAATGGCGGTCTTTGCCAGTCTTCGCAAAGTTCTCTAGCTCCATATTTCATGAACATTTCTTTCGTAATTTTTGCTTTTCCCTTTGCAACTAACCCAAATAACTTTAAAATGTCTTTTCTGACTATTACTAAGTTGCGGTACCCTAAATCGATAGTGTGATCTCCTTCTTTGTATGTCCAGTGGATAGGTGCTTCACTCATGGGTGTATACTTCAAAGTTAAATTTTCACAGCCGCTCGAATTAAATGTTTTAGTTGGAGAAAATAAAGTAGTAACAGAAATGCTCCTCTTATATGATTTCACTTGGTGAATGTATCCTAAAGGAGAGATCAAGAATTGCTAAGTGAGATTATTATTGAAGCTACATTACAGATACTTAAATATTAAAGGAAAAAATTCTGTATTTTGAAGAAAAGCATTTGCATTTATTTGAACTATAGAGTTCAATGGTTAAATAAAAGAGTTACAGTTACTATTTTTTTGAAATCTCGCAAATCAATAAAACTGCTGAGATTAGAAATGCGACTGAATAAGATAACAGATAAATTGTAGGCTCTTTTATTATTTAGAAATACATAAAACTGATACAACTCTCATTAGCATCTTATAATTAATGTCGGTCAATTCCCTATTCAGTCAGTAAGAAGAGAAATGGAGCGTTGTAAAATAGCATCGATTATAGGTCGTCATAACCTGATCGATTTGAAGTGAAAGAAGATACAGTAGTTCACTTTGATTATCTACTTATTATAAGGCAGCATCACATTCAGATATACAGACTCCTTTATTTAATCACTTTGTCGAGGTCCTCTGGTCTAATTGTATCTATTTTGCGAAGATCTTACAGCCTGCTATTTCTAGGATAAGGTTTATGACTACTATAATCATGAATACGGCAAATGCATTCTTAGCATTACCTCCTGGAATGTAAATACAATCGCCAGCTCTTAACGTAGCATAAGTCCACGGGACTCGCTTTAGAAGAGGATATAAATTCATGTCCACTTTATTGACGTTGATTTTAGAATAGCCGGATCCTGATCCTGGCGACTTTAATAAGAGAAGATATCACAGAATGATAATTATTAATTCATAGTCAGAAATTTGATACTTGTCGATCATATACTGTAACAAATTGAAATGAAATAAAAAAATTTTTCACATAATTTTATCCTTAGCTTGGAAATATAAATCTCAACGTAATACCAATCTTATGGATTTATAAGTTAAAGTGATTGATTAGTTACCGTTTTACTACAATTTTTTTAGTGATGATGACTACTAATCGTATTTTAGTCCATATTGGATATTAATTGAATTCTAGTGTGGATTATACGGCAGAAAATGCTAGTAGGTACAGGTACATTAAGTGCTATAGTTAAAGGTGAAATTAATTTGAGACTTCTTTGATATATCATTTGTCTATTTCTAGAAAATTTATCATTTTCTGATCGCTTACGGCTATAAATTATAAATATAGTAGACGGTAAACGCTTCTAACACTAAAAATATAGAATCCTGTTTTCTTATTACTTACATTTTGATTAAAATACAGATACTTATAGTATCTATGATGAATCATCATGAAATCCTACATGAAATCAGATATAGAAAGAGGTAATTTGGATTAGTATAAGAGATTTTTATGATGCTTTTTAGGACTTTAAAGTTGTTCTATACAGTATACGCGTACATGACGCTTCATAATTTGATTGCTAATACAGAATTTTATGGATGTTAAATGAATAAATAGATACGTAACTTGATGATAGATTTCTCAAGATACAACGTCAAATTTTGTTAAATTTAATAGCGCGGAACTTTTTACAAAGAATACTGTGCTTACTGATTAAAATTAAGTTCTACTATTAGTTCTACGTATTCTCAGTGTAACAGGTCTTTCTATCATTATTTATTTAATACTATTTATGCTATTCTAGTACTGCATACCTTTCTTCCATGCACCATACAATGAATATTATGATCCGCATCAAAGTGGATAATAGAGCTAGTGCCACCAGATCCAATCCATAAATTGGTTTCTTGAAGATAGGTTTTAAATGTTCCGCATAACACACTCGGAACGATCTATAAGAAATTCAATTAGCATATCTTTATTTAATAGTACGAATCGTAGGGAAATTATTTTAAAATTACAATTTCTCTGATCTAAAAAATACTTCTTTTAACTCAAAGGACTTCTGCGATCGTGCTGGTGAAATTTTACTAAATAGAGAGGCAATAATAAACTATTCCCTCGATCATTAAAACATATCTCGGTCGTTTCTAGGTATTCTTTCTACAAGATTTGTATTTAGCGTAAAATTTAATTGGGAAGCAGAATTATTCCTTCTATTGCGTTATAATACGGACAGGAACACGCAGTATTCTATAGTAGATGAGAAATGAAAAAGCCGAATCTGCTTCTATCTTAACTTAAACGTCGATAATGCCAGGTTTAGGAAAGGGTTTTTCAATATAGTATAAGATTAAAATATTTATCATACCACATTTAACCTTTACATTTTAATACTCTATGACTACTTATGCCAGTAAAATAATACTTTTGTAGAAGTACAGATATTTTAATGAGATAGTAGAAAGTATGTTTTTTATCAGAGTAACTCATGCTAGTATGAGTTACTATAGGATACCTGATATCGCTATACATTAATATATTCAACAAGTGTTTCTAAATTTACTTTCGTATAGTTATAGCTATAATAAATTGGCAGTTATAAACTATCATACGTACGTATGTATCTTCCCTATTAAATATAGCTGAAATGACCTATCCATAATTTCATATCTTAGTTTGTATATTAGACTGCGAAGAGAGTGGTTGACAGTGTGGTTAATTCTATGTGTGCAAGATGAATACATCCTATAGCGAAAGACTAAAGTAAACTTATTTTCCAGAGAGGACATTCAGTATGATAGTAGCTGGAAATGAAAGTCCTTACACTCTTTTATTTCTTCAACATACTATATTAGCTCACCAACAATTTTTGGACCTCCAGAATTGTTTATGAGTGATTCGGACAGTACCGTTGCTATTCAAGGGCTATAATTTTTGAAGTTATTAGATGGGATCATTCAATTTATAAAAGTACAGAAAGGATATAGAGCTTAATGGTGTTCTTACTAAGCTATCAATGAGCCGATGTAACAAACATTGTCAGACAACAACAAATTGAAAAATCTGGGCTTCATTTTCTCTTACAATTTACTTTAGATTTTAATTTCATTTGTACCTGAACTTCAGGCCTCATCGCGTCTGGTAAAACGGTAACAACGTAAATATCTTCTTTCTTATATTGATTTAGAAATGCTTTAAGTACCATTCTTCTTGGTGAATAAGATCTATTTTCTACTTTTTTCTCTACTAAAACATCCAAGTTACCGTAGTTTTTAAGTAAATATTCATCATCCCATAACTTAATAGCCGGAGAACGATTAATGGCATTACGATATACAAGTGGTAGTTTATGTTTAACGTGATACTCCCAAAAATCTACTGGATGTAGATATCGATCTATATAAGGTCGAACTGGGCCATCAGGTGATCTCTGATTGCCAAAACTCTGTAAATGGCCAGGTGATATGGTACGCCACGGTCTAAATGTAGGCGGAAATTGTGGCCCATCCGATGGTACGGTATTAATGGAACAAATTTTTAATAACAGAAGAACGATCAGTAACTTCATTACTAATCTGTAGTCGGTTAAACTTTCTGTAGTGGAACAAGATCAAACAATCCGATAAAGGTTGATGACTTCCCTATAAACTATCGAAAGAAATTTTTTGCCAATATTCTTTTAGAATGAATTGAGTATACGTGCTTAGATAACTAGGAATAATATTAAGCAAGGTTTCACTATACAGCATTTGAAATAAGGTATTATTTAGAATTAGATAGTAAAGTCCATGATCGTATATTCCCCTTGAACAATTATTAATACAACTTTCTTACTTCCATACAATATTGACTTATTGTCTCTTATAATTGACTTGACTAGTTGGTCACGTCCGAGAATGGGTAAACAATTATTATAAGTCAGTGCCTAAAATATTTTATTGTTATAAGAGCTATTCTAAATTTTAGCGAATAAAATACAAAAAATCTCCAAATTGTATATACATTGTGCTATTAAAATTATTACCATGACAATAGTATAAAACTATTCCTCACATCGTTGTAAAAAAATGAATGTTTCTTCCTTATACTAAGTGATAAAACAGCAAACAATGAATAGAGGAGTTAATGATCGAGAAATATTAAAGTACTAGTTATTCCAGCGATACGATAGAAGAAAATATTAGCTATAAAGAAAAATCAAATGAAAATCATTGAAAACCACGAGCTCAAAAAATTATGATAAGCCTATTATTTAAATTTTTGTATCATAGCTGAAAATTTTCTACTAGACTTCAGCATTCCCTATCACTCAAAAAGCATTCGTGCTTAGATATATAGTATATTGCATCCTTGGATTAATCCGTATATTCAGGCATTTAATCACTTTTAAAACTGTGTAACCTAAAATCTAGTAGGGTTAAAGTTTCGTACAGGTTATGTTATAACAATATTAACAATTTACTCTAAATGCATGGCAAGTTTTCCTACGCATGCTTTTAAGATGTCCTTTATTAAATTATAAAATTATCGAAGTTTGTTATTCGGTAATTTAGTCTGATATGGATATATGCAATCCATTTAACTTTCGAAAAATCACCTTCTAGAAGGATGATTGAATTTAAAATCTCATTAAATGCAGATTTTACTGGTACTTTATAATGCTTACTGGAGGCATGCAAGATGAATTAAACATCTTTAAATCTGTCTTTTAAATAAAATCTATTTATGAGCGTAGTATATAAAAAGGCATATTAAATTGGTATATTAGCTATTATAGGTAATTCTATCAATCAGTATATTAAAGTTCCATATTGACTGTTATCATTCATTCACAAAGAATTATCGCTAGCTTCTATAATATAATCATTAACTTCTTTATTACTTGAACATATCCATAAATAGTCGGATCGAGATCTTCTAAAATGAAATTAATTTCAATCTGCTATAATCGTTGAAGGCTGAGTATGATCTATAGTTTTGCATAGATAGCCTGCTACTACAAATTCATAATTTGATGACTACCGTCAAGTGAGAACTGATTTAAAGATTTAGTAAAGACAGCCTAGAAGTTTACGATAGTTATAACCATGCTAATATACTAATGATTTAACACGTTGAATACGTATAATCCAGGTAGCCGATTTTGGGCCCGATATCTACACCCTCTTAATATCACAAATATACGCGTATGTACGAATATGATGCATAATTGTTTTAAATGTCGATCTCTCGATAGAATTAACATTCAATAAGGAATTAGTTAATAGGTTTTCAGTTAAAAAAAGTAATGCCCACTACGAATTATAATGAATATTCACAATAGAATTGAAACAATAAGTAATAATTGTTACGCCATAAACGTCGCGACGACTTTTGTACGTGACTGGTTTTTATAGGTCAAAAATTATACTATAGCATTTAACGTACATCGCTGAGCAAACACGACTATATAGCATGTACAGTTTCATGATTCATTCGCATATCAATCTCACTAATTACAACAGGAGTTGTCATTCTTAGTTGTTGGTTGTCCGCGATAGCAACATAGAGTAACTCGAAGTTACACTATAATCAAGACATCTTGCGCTAGAAACTTTGAATTGATCATACTGCTCCGACTAGTATCCATAACTGACGATTAAATTCATTAGATAAATATTTTTAGCGTATAAAAAAACTCAGTTCTTGGTCGAACACTTTGGTTTTACCATTATTGAAAGAAACAACTATGAAGTTATTGATTTTTCTTGCCTTGTTAAAATTTTGCTTTATCGATGGAACGTTGGTAAATGATGGTCCGGTTTTTCCACCACCGTATCGTCCATGGCGAACTAGTCCGCCAGGTCATTTACAAAGTCTCGGGCATCAAAGACCACCCGAAGGTCCAGTAAGACCATATGTCGATCGATTTTTGCATCCAGTTGATTTCTGGAAGTATCATGTTAAGGACAAATTGCCTTTGGTTTACCGTAACGCCATTACTGGTTCACCCGCTATAAAGTTATGGACCGATGATTATTTACTAAAAAATTATGGCGATTTGGATGTTTTAGTTGAGCGAAAAGTAGAGAATCGATCATATTCACCACGAAGAATGGTATTAAAAGGATTTCTAAAGCAATATAGGAAAGAAGATATCTATGTGGTAACAGTTTTACCAGATGCGATGAGACCTGAAGTTCAGGTACGGTACTATAGTTTTAAGAACCGAACTAATACTGTAGAATTAGAATGATATACAAATTGCTGCTCAGCAATAAATTGTTTTAAAGACTGCAATACGATGTCTTTTAAGCCATTTTAAAGGTTTTCTACTATATCATATCGATCTATGCGGCTGTTTTTTTCTGATCAAAGACTCAATCTTCTAACTTAGTTATATATCGCGATGCTATACAACATAAAGAAATTTTAATTGTAGTTTTCGCACTCGAAGCTATAAGGGAGGAGCAGCTACTAAATTTTATTGCCATAACGTAATCAATCATAAATAATTGGTAGTTCTTTAAATTTTCTAGTTGACCCGTACTATTGCTACAGTGTGTAATACTCATATTCATATCCACAGCCTTCTCTTCAGGATAACACCTGTTGGACGATACATATATAGGGTTTTATCAATGTATAGATGCTTTTTAAGTGCTAAACAAAAAGCGCGTAGTGATGGATATAATTCTCAATATTGTATATTTCAATCTAAGCCATTGGTTAAGGCTGTAAAAGTGGACAAATGTATTAGTGGTACAGCCACCCCTATCATTTATGTATACGAGCTTGAAAATTACCTTAAATATTCTAAGTATTTAATAATCATAGGACCGTAAAAAATTATACGACACTCTTGATGCGAGAAACTATACAGAGATTTACGCGGAATATCGATTAGTTATTATACCATACAGTTGTAATCGATCTTTTCACCTCATAGTACATTCTAGCGATATTTCGATATACAAAATTTTATCATAAAGATAATCTGTTTTGTTCGGCATAGAGTACCGTATGCTTAATATCTACTACGGCTACCTACTTTAGGTTGCTATGATATTATATTTTGCTATTGGATTCATTTTCAGCATTGATTAAAGACTAAGGAAATTTTTGTTACAATGTGTACTACAGTTTACACTGCTGATAGTTTTTTCTTTATAGCGATAAAAATACTCTCTATTTAAATTTTAGATTGTTCCAAGCGTTTTATGTGGAACTTTTAAAACCTATCTGCAAGAGACAAATTTATGGATTGGCTCTGGCGGTACAAACTCCATAGTTCATTTCGATGCTGATCATAACATTCATTGTTTAGTCCACGGAAGAAAGGTAATTTAAGTAATCTGTAAATTTGATATCAGTATTGAAGTTATTTTTCGATAGCGTTATTACAGTATTTCTGAGACTGTATTTGCCAATTTCAGCCTTGTTTGTAAAATATGTTAGAATCTAGATCATAGGCCATAGGATTTAGAATTAGGTAGTAAAAAGAGTAATGTGTAAAGCAAGAAAATACCAGCCAAAATATTAAAAGAGTCCTTGTTTCGCTATTTCATTATTCAATCTTTAATTCCTTTTAGGATTTCATGATGATTCACCATCGATATTACAAGTATCTCTATTTCAAACAAAATGTAAAGTCTAAGATTTTACCTGAGATTAGTAATTCATCTGTAAATGTACAGTAAATCCTAAGCTAAATCTTATACATGGAAACTAATCGATCAACATTATTTATTAATAGGATCCAGGATCTGGTTCCGGATACTCTAATCTTAACGTCAGAAAAGTAGATATGAAAAAGCGTCCAATGTTAAAGCGAGTACCCTGGACATACGCCACATTAAGAGCGGGCGATTGTATCTATATCCCAGGAGGTATATTGACTATAAACAAATTGTCGATAATAGACCAAAAGATACATTTTTCGCCAAGAGAATACGGCTGTGTTAACTCTCCTTTTCTCTCACCTAGGTTATATTCATCAAGTAAGATCGTATAACAGAACAATATCTGTAACGACGCTGTTTTCTCCTACAAGTTTCTTCAATTCAAGTGGCTGTGATGACTTAGATATAAAGCATTTACCCCCAATGAGTGAAGCACCAATCCATTGGACGTATAAAGAAGGGGATCGAACGATCGACTTAGGCTATAAGAATCTTATGGTTGTTCGTAATAACTTACTTGACCCATTTCGTGAGAATGAAAAAAGGCGTATAACCTTTAAAGAATTTAGCAAGGTGTTGTATAAAGAGCTATCTGATTCTTGGCAAATGGAAGCAGATGAATTATTTCGGAAATTTATTGATCCTGAAGGTAAAGGTTATTACACAAAAGAGGATGTATTAAATATGCCGATTGAAAATCTTAAAGGAGTTGCTAGAAATATGGAGGACCCTGCAGGTCCTTTAGAACCTGCTCCCAAAATAGAATGGGAAAAAATATTAGAAGAAAGATTGGCTGAAGAAGAGAGAGAAAAACAAGCACATATGGAGGAAATGGAAGGCCGAGATGGGGCAGATGACGATGAAGAAGAAATAGATGATGAAATGGAAGATGATAATGATGAGCCAATGTTCGAAGACGAAGGCGATAATACGGGAAAAGAACAGCGACACAAACATGAGGAATTATAAGTTCCCAACTGAAATCACAGCAAATAACATACGGTAGATCTAAATAAAGTTGGAATGTGATGTTACCTATTTAATCTATGCAATAGTGCTGGTAAGGAACATGGCATACTCTGTTAGGCAAACTTTTCGCCTTGCTCATTTACACTTAATTAAGAAATAATCGGAATTTGTGGAATCTATTAGTGGGTTGAGTCCGGTAAAACCTACAGTATTGTACTGCGCATAGATGTTAGTTGCCAGCCTGATAACATAATAATTTATTGTCTAACCCACAGAGTGATTTTAAATTGATGTCTCTTTTATATAGTTAGGAATAATTAGAATAATAAAGTAAAGTCACTCAAATACTATGTACACTATTTTATAATAAGAAAATCATTTTAATTATCATTATTCATGTTGGGTTTATAGCAATTCAGTAAATATTGTAGCAATCTAATAAAATAAACGATTTCGTAAACTAGCTAAAATAGAATCTCAAGTTAGTCATAGGCATAAAAACTGTTAGCCACGGTAAAGTAACGAAAAATAAAATCTTGCACGTCCTTAATTCAGAGAAGAGATCGAAATGGATTTAAAATAATTTAAAGAATACAATTTCATAACAATTTGATATGCTGTGGTTTGAGAAAGCATTGCATACTAATGGTTTTATAAGTTGAATTTTAAAACTACAAGCATTATCCTCAAACAGTAATAGCCTAACACAAAGTAGTGTAACTTATTTAAATTACTGAGAGGAATAAAAATTGACATTGAAGATTGTTCTCAATGAAAAATAGAGGTGAGTTCAGAATACTCCAGTTCAGTAATCTGCCGCTAAAAATAGAAAGTTATTTGTATCAATATTTTATGGCTGATGTTATAAGCCATTAATGGACATTTAACCTAGATAACGTAATGGACATTTCTTCAACAGAGCAATGGGACTATCGACTTTAAATCAAATCACAGCAATTGCCATTAATTCACTGCAATTCTCTGTCTTTGATATAAAAAAGACAGAGAATATTTCAACGTAGAGCCTTATTACATTACAAATAGACTATAAAGTAGCCCCAATTGGTTTTACGCCATTGAAGAGTTGATGTCATTAACAACGTTGGAGGGTGACGCATTGCTAGTGCACTACGTGCGAATAAACCACGAATCATTTAGGCTAGAACTTCTATTGGCTAACTACTCGACTAAGATTGACGCCCAATAGATAAGATTGAATTCACTGCGTCCTATACTCATGAAACAACCATTCATAAATTTCTCTGAAAATTCATTGGCCTTTTACTCTTAGGGTAGCAAGGCTATAGGAAAAGTCTCATTCTAGTCTAGTACATCGTCTACAGCGGCATTGAAAAGTAAAATTCAAAGGCAATCCTTTCTTTCTTCGTAACCTGTCTCTCAATGTAGGTTAGAAATGTTGCAATATTTGTTTTTCTTATTTGTGGCCATAGCTTGTACTACCACTCATAAAACTATACAGTTGTTATTAACCATAAACTTTCGACTGAACACTACTGAGTTTGCTTTACTGATATAGAATTTAGTCTACATTTAGCCTACGCATTGAGTTATTGCAGTAGTTACTAGGAGTTTACGACCATGATTCTTTGTGATTTAGGAAACACAGTTACTCCTTGCTAAGACAGTTGTAAGAGGAGAGAAAAGTAACAAATTTGGGTAAAAAAAATTACAATTAATATATGAAGGATTTCGCTAGGCTATGAAAAATGGCAGCCATGATGGGAACCGACTCAAAATTCATTGGTGATAATGTTAGTAGGATGTTACTATGCTATGATATCATAGTCTGTATGTAGGATGACGAAATAGATACGAATTGGTATACTTTTACTATTTTTCCGTCAGATTTATCTTCTTAATTTTGCGGCTAGGTTCAGAGAGTTAGTTGATGGTGCTATATAAGCTTAACGGGTTGTGAGGCACCCGATTATTTATCCGTTACTACAGCTATGGTCGATTTCGTTGATGACCATTATTGCCTGATATTCTTATGAATACCGATATTATACCTGCACATATTGATATAACTATTCTTTAAAATTTATCTAATAATGTCATCGTTGACAGCAATCAGAAATATGCTAACTTTTTCTAAAATTTTCATACTTGTGTAACGATAAATTGAAGCAAATGAGTGGTCATAATTTGGTTAAAGGTAGTAATATAATTTTTGCGATTTCTTAAATGATTAGGCTGTAAATTATCTCTATTCTTTTAGGCAAAGTCAGATGAAGAGCCTTCGATGACATCAGGTAAGTTTGTCCAATCTACTTATTAACGTAATCAGAAGGCCTTGCTTCTCTATTGAAGCAGCCGCAGTGTAAAGTATCCTAATTCTTGCATGTTGTTAGTAGCAATTTTAATCAAGGAAGAAAATTGTATTATTTTATGAATTTTAGAAAAAGATTGTATTCTAAACATGAAAAAAATGATTGCCTTTGCAGTAAGTTTATCATCCTGGAATTAATTTCAAATGTCATTAATGAATACAAGTATAAATCTCTTTTTACATGATGTTATGTACTGGTAGCGATCTAAAATTGCTATATTAAAAATTGGAGATTAATATTTGGTAACATGAGTATTGCTAATAAGTATCAATTATAAATGAACTTTACTTGCTGCATTACTTTTCTTCTATATCATAAAACGTAATCTTTGGGACCCGGATATGCAGATCTCAAATATTTTGTATCTCAGGTATCCATACCAGTTTTTATGACGATAGTTAATTGTTTCATTTTGCCTACTGCACGGTACTTACTCTGAGAACAAATAGAACAGTAAAATTATAATTGGTACACTGGTGATACAACCCAATATAGCCTTTTTGTTAAGTTAACATGAACGAGTATCATATTTACGTATCGGTATTTGATCTTATGAATCTGTTATCATCCTAGGACCAGGCTTCCAGAAGAAGATTTTACTGAGCGACGCCTTGGAGGTATTAGCAGCTCTAGACATGAATAAAATTAACTGACTTGCCTTTGTTAGTCTATTCTAGTAGTCTACTTAGGTAGATCACATAAAATGACTGTGTGATAATCTTCCCACATAATGTAATATTTTAATACAGTAATTATTTACACGTAAAGCATAAAACTTTCGTATTTTTTGGCAATAAAATTTTTGACAATGAGACCATAAAGTACTCTCTTTGTAATAATTATTAGTTGCCAATGTTGATATTAGTTTTTTTTGTATAATTTTATATACCATCAAGGGCTATGCTTAAAAGTATTGAATAGTAATAATTCAAGCCCCGTTGTGAGTGATTTAATAATTTGGTAAGATTGCAATTATGCTATATTTTACCAGTGAATTATAATACAGCTTTTATGATCGTCGATAATTATATTTCGACTATTAAGGAATCGAAAAAGTTTTAATTCTATCCAACTCAAGCTTATAAAAAACTGCTTTCTTTACTGTCTTAATAAATATTTACCATTATATTTTCACAGTTGATATGATTACATTATTGTATCATGCACTCAACGTAAAGTAATCTTTTAATTTTACAGGATGAAAGCATGTTTCGAAGCTTTAGAACGTAAATATGTACGTGATTTATAATAAAGTAAATTGCTACAGTGAATTTTTGGTTATAATTATTAATCAGTAGTTTTTATTCTTTACTAATTCAGCTTAGGGAAATGATGCTCGGTGTAAGATATACCAATAGCCAATATCAATTACTTCATGAAATCAAATTTGAAAGTTATAGGATTTCAATAGAAGATTTGATACAAATTTTAATTCTCGCTTTTGCAGTTTCATTCAAGTAACAACGATACAAATGTAAGCAATTCAATTCATTTCTCTATGAATAACAACAATGTATTCGTTGTAATCCCATTTATCTATCGGAATACAGTCTGTAATGGAGACTTACACAATTAAAGTGCATTATAATATGACTGGCCTTAGCTCGATGGATATACTTACGTGAGTTCGATTAAAAATGTCGCTCTTGTAGTTAAAGCTTAAATAACAGCAGAATAATTTAAAATTTAAAATAAATATAATAGCAACATTGCATTTATTATGGCAAAAATGTACTGAAATATTTACAACTAATTTAAACAACGAAGTAAACCTTCGTTAGTTAGTTCTGTGACAGCTTGAATCCAATTGATTAATACCTGTACCGTATATGTGTTTTGAATTACTTTAATAGAATTAGCTATCCAGCGGATTGTATGGCGGCAAACGATATTGAGTCTGCAGTGATTATTTTTTTAAATAAAATAGTCGTATTAGGTACTATTTTAGAACCACTACCAGGTAATATTTGCATATTCTAGCATTAAATGTGTTTTATTAATCGAAATATGATAATTAAGCTTAAAAAAGATAATTTATTTGTAACTTTTTTTTAAAACAACGCTCTAGATGATATCAGTATTACCGTAAGAATGCTATACTACGATGAGGGTGAATACCTAAGCAATATTGTAGATTTTAAATTTATCAATACTTTAATAGTTTATGAGTAAAAATATGAGGATTTCATTGACAATACGATGACCATGCAGCTACCCCGCCTGACTATGAACCAAAAGGTTTTAAATATCTACCATCAGAATTGTATACTTGTCTACTTACTGAAAGCGAACAAACCTCTTTCAATATTGGAGCCGTTACTTCGGTAATGAAGAGTAAAAACGTAACATTTTGCAATTAAAGTGGGAATCTTCTTTATTAGATGGTTTAGTTATCTATTTCTATGATTACAGCAAAATCAAAGTTGAAAATTTAATTTTAGCTAGCATATACGATACTTTTTCTAGGTTGGAATTAAATAACTTAGAACAGCTTGCTACTGTATTTAATTAAGTTAATATCCCTAAAATCGGTAGTCGTTAACAAAGACGGTATGAGGAGTATTATTGTTATTACTAAATAAAATATAATAATAATCTCAGCAATTGTGGTGAATAAAATTAACTAAAGTTATCAATTCTGTACCTATCGCCGTAAATTAATACTTTATATTTTACATAATTTCTCAATTTTATGTTATAATCTTATATATATATGGGCGCCTTTACACACGCATTCGATGAATAATAGGATTTTCTATCGTAAGTGTTGAGCTATTTCTTCATCTTTAACGTTGATAATTGATCATTTTATAAATCTATAAAGAAACTTGTAATAAACTAAATACTTTTAGGGTTAAGATGAGAATGCAAAGTTCCTGCCATCAACTTCATAAAGAAATTGCATCTTTGCAAAAAAATAGCGTCAAACGAAAGCGTTACATGACAACAAGCAATCAACCGAAGGTTATTGCTCCGTTATATCATTCTTTTCTAAAAATTTCTCCAGTTGAAGCTTACTGTTTGATTTATAGATAAAAATCGAGAAAGAAGCCTCATGCCTATCCTCAGCCAGCTTAACACAGGATGATTCTGACGCTACCATTGATGGTTTAGGTCGAGCATTATTTATTTTAAGCTTTTTCCAAGATTTCCTAAAATTATGCTTTAAGTTTTTATTTACGCGCATTGCATAATTATAATTCAGAACCAGGTATATTTGAAAGTGAGAAGAAAAATAATAAAGATTTAATACGCTGTTCCTGTGGATGCAATGTGGTAACACATAGACATATTATCTTTAAATAAATATTACTATTGTTAATTCATAGCTACAATGATTCATTCTTAGATTTCATATTCTTACTGCGGTATACACGTATACTCGTATATATCATTATAAAATATAAGAACTCGAAGATGATGATATTTTTATGAACAGAATAGAGTAATATAATTCGTATAAACGCTGATAAGTGTATCCATATTTACTTTATTATAGAATGATGGATTGATGATAATGTGCGATAGTTGTAATACCTGGCAGCATACTCTTTGCTATAAGATATGCAGTACGCGAGACGTTCCTCGAAAACACTTTTGCATAAGATGTTGCTTAGTAAGCTAAAACAAAATTTATATTCGTCTTAAATAGTTAAAATTGGTGATAAAATTTGCTGCAATCAGATAGTATAGCACAATCAATCATGATTTCTTTCAGAAAAAAGCAACTGATAATTTACTCGTATAATAAAACTTGGACTCATATTATATTGTTTTATAGGATAATGCAACACCGTCAACTGATACATCATTGAAAAATTTGACTCCAAAGATTTTACAAGTCATTAGTATACTCTAAACACCGATTAAATTAATAGTAAAGTTTAACAGCCAATATTTTTTATAGATAGTATAATTTTACTTTCAAAATTGCAGCTAACTTGTCTTTGGCGTAGAAGTTTAATTGCTATTTACGAATATCCCTACATTACTTGCGCTGGGCTTGCGAGCAGGCTAGGTGATATACATTTGTCGTTTTCTTAGTACGAATTTTTATTTAAATTAAATCTTTCATGCATTTTAAACTGTGTTTAGGCGTATTTTGTGTGAGATAAAACATAATTTTGTGATTAGCTTATTACGTATATACGCAAATTCTGTGGCATTGTTTACCAATTTTAATATAATCGATATATGTTGCGGCATGATTTTAGGTGCTAACATGTCTGTCACTAGGCAAGTTTTGAAGAGATTGGATAAAAAGGGGCTGGTGGCTTCTCCATTTAGAGGAAGAGAGTATGCAACACGTATATAAAAAAATAGTTAATTAACATAAAAGCTTCGAATAAAAGATAAAAGCCTAAATCTCATGACTTTAAATTTCAGTAAACGAATAAAAATCGTAAATGTGGATAGGGTTTTAAATGAAGTTATGGGTTGCTTTCAGTTAAGGTCAAAAGGAAAGGTAAATCGAAACAATAGGACTATCAAGATTTATAGTTGTTCATATCTATCAGCAAAATTTTAATTCTTGATAGTAATTCAAAATTTAAGATGCTAATCAAATTTTCATCTCTGATAGACTGAAACCTTGGTTAGACAAGTTTTACAGCTCAAATCCAGGAATTAGGTTAACAAAAAAGTGTATACGCTAAGTGAGTACCTAACTAAGATTACTCACTCCTATACGTACATCTAGACTGGGAAATATAACTCGAACAAATGTTTTCTTAAATCATAACGAGACACCTTTAATTAGACTTTATTATATATTTTTTAGAAAGGGACTTGAGTTTGCTCAGGGCGAAAACGAATCAACTTATCCGATGTTACTTAAATTATCTAACCGAAATCAGAGCTTGCGAAGTATAGTACATTTGAAAAGTCACGAATTGCGTATGATTCTTTAAAGTGAAGACTGCTTCTATTGACTAAAAAGATTTTTATTGCGGTGTCCCCATTTTTCGTTCCAGACATTTATTGAGGGCGTCCGTAATAGAAAATAAAATCGTCACTAAATGATTCCGTGATTATAGATTTGGATTAGAAATTAGGTTAACAGAAAACCGTTTCTTTAATTATACTACGTACAGTTGACCAATGGAATAACAATTTCAGTTCTAATATTTAGTAATTCTTATAATTAACTATCAGCGTAATCAAAGTGCGGCAATAGACTCATAATATTCGTAAGTCAAGAGAAGACACATGCTTTATTAGCAAAGGCGACAATTTCCTAAAGTTCAGTACAATAACACGGACCTAAAATACAAATACTGTACTACTAAATATTACACCAGACAAAAAATAGCGTTTTGCAGAGTATGACATTTATATTACATTCAAACAAAAATTAAGCAAGTAACGGGAACTGATAGAATCATGAATGTAACAATGTATGCAATAAATTGATAATCCAAAAACTATCTCATTTTATAATTTTGCTTTGTTGAAAGATTGCACAACCGACCATTGAAGTTAAGTTCAACGGTAAAGTCTAGATCCCGCTGAAAAAAAAATAAAAGTTTACGATTATATGCTATCTACAATGCTATTTTACCACTACATCTATTAGGAACTATTCTTTACCTTGTTACGCTTATTAGATTTGCACGAAAATACGCCATTTATTTCCTCGTTCTTAAGGACGGTTAAATAATCTTCAAAGTAGAACACCGTTTGCTTCCAGTGCGTATACTGACTGTATGGGCCTAACATGAAATGCGAAATGTTAACAATAATTGAATAGAAATTGATATGTAAGTGTACTATTTTATCAAATTATTTAGTTTCTTCGTACGAAGATACCTGTAGAGAATCCGGTTCGCTTATGACATTTTGTAAATTCGATATCAAAAAAGCATGCAAACGCATGAAGATAATCGTTACGTTTACAAACTAGATGAAACTGGGATGAAATATTTAAGTCGTCCGTTGTAATTGTATTCAGATCAACTTCCTAAGAGTTAAATAATTAATAGATGCAGAAGTCAAGACGTGTAAGAAGCTATAAGTAATTATGTCAAGGTTGAGAATATTCTACAAATTACCGTTAGCAGACAGCAATCCGTAACGACAAGTTTTTGATCAACAAAATCTACAAGAGGTTCAGCTAGGGCAACTTTTCGCAGGCAACTCATGTCAAATCCATACACGCTATCCCACCCTAAAATAGAATCAAGGAATTGTAACTCCAACGTGGAATAATGGTAGTGAACTGTCATTAGATAGATTGATTAAAATCTTGTGATACACGTGTGCACGACAACGATTTTGATTTACACTACATATAAAATTATACATCTATATTTTGTATCTAATTATATTACAATTGATCTTCTCTTCTTTGTATTCTCTATCTTCTATACCACATATATACAGTGATGCTTTATCTGGCATCAAAATTCCACCAGGCTTCTACACGTCGGTAAATCACATAACAAACACGAATATATGATTTCAGGTTTTACTACAACGCCTGCCAGTTATTGCTTTTAACGATTGCAAAGTTTTTAATCATGATTATCAAAGCAGGCTTTCAATCGGTTACTTACCAACCACTTATCTCTAGCATACAATACAGTCTCTAACATGCATTCATAGAAAAGGCAATATCCCATCCATTCGCTAACAATGATATCAACTTTATCTACTGGTAATTCGATCTCTTCGACTTTACCCTTGATTAACGTTATAACTGCAATTGAAAGAATGCATTTTTAAAAGATCTGCAAAGAGGTCTTTGCTCGCTAGTGTTCAGTTCTAGACAATTAGTTAAAATTGCGCTATTTTACGAACATGTAAGTAGATAACATACCGTGATCCAGACGATTAGCTTTGACTATCGCCTCAGCTTGCTCAATAATTCCTGAACAATCAATCTATCAGATCATTACCGCAGTGATTTAATTAGATAACATGCATTTTTCTCGCGGTTAAATATAGTTTTAAGTAATCTTTGGCTTAACTTACTCCAATTACTTTAGCGGCGCCTGCTTTAGCAGCAAACATACACAGAATACCGGTCCCACAACCAATGTCCAATACCGTTTTTCCACGAAATAAATGCTTATTCTGATACATGGAATTGCGATAAGTCAAAGTTCTAGTTTCATCCTTTAACATTTCCTATACGTTTATAAATGAAATAAGAATTTAAGACGTTTCGGTCAATTTTTGGAACGTAATACTGTACAGGTTGTTTAAAAATTATATGAAGGACTTAAATTGACATCTGATACAGCGTAAAGTGTAGACTTGCACGGTAACGCGCTTACGAATGACGATTTTTTAGATGAGATTCGGTTTGATGAATTATAGCACCACACAATCTATAGTAGAGTACACTTAAGGTCTAAATTGTAGCATATTTAGGTATTCAATGTGCTATTAACTATGAAACGTAGCAACAGTATAATTTTTATTTAGGTATATTTATCTCATGCGAAATTGAATGCATTCTAACTTAATTATACAGTATCTTCTTGTAGTAATACATTAATTATCAGGATGTGGTAATCTCAGTACTCTTGTTATCAATTTACAGTTAAACAAATATTTAATTGGTAATTGAGATTGAAGACTAAAAATGCTAGATTAATTATCGTAGGAGTTACTTACCTCATGAATTCCTAGCCACAATTAAGAGTAGTGTGTAAGAGAAATATTCATTAGTAGAGCATAAATTAACGTATAATTTCACATTTACAATCATTCAAAACTAACAAATTTTTGCAGGCTACGAAATCATTGGTGCAAAAGCAGCAAAACATTGCATTAGCACTAAATTATCAAACATTTTTTTTCAGGTGTTAATGCAATGCACTGTTCAATTAAAAGTAAAATAATAGCATTATATCAGTCCAGACAACTTAATTTCCTATCAAAGTTTGCCGTATTGATCCTTAGTATTATTATGCATGATGGAAGAATAAATGTAATCCTTCCGTAATTATAATTTGCAGCACGATACTTATTCCATCATTCGGTATTACTACTGGTGCTATCAAAATTTAAGTTATCTTGATAAATCTAAAAAGCGTACATAAATACTGACAAACTGCTATCACTCTCATCTAAAGGCACTTACTTCTTTCATCCTAAATTCACGCGGCAAAACAAATGGCTACTTGCAAAATTATCAAATTCGTGCATGTGCAAATAAAGTACAGTTGAGATTTGCAAATTATTCTCATTATTTCAGCTGAGCAAATTTGTCTAAATTAATACACAATCGACCGATAGCAATGCATAAAATTGGCAGTATCGTAGCAAAGATTATGCCTATGTCAAGGACCCGTTTTGAAAGATGTATACTAATTATAAAGTAAGAGGAATAAACATTTGATCAAGATCTGTCTGTATTACATGTTTTTTCTCATCTAATGAAGCAAATACTTAGCATTTCCTAACGTCAGCATAGCAACGTATGAAGTTTGGCAATATGATATAAGTTTTATATCTTTGGTTCTTAATAATTATAGGGCGGTCATTAACAACTACAGTACAGTACATGGTTTAGCTATAAATTGGTTCAATTTCTAAAAAGAAAAGGTTCCGTTTATTTTACGCTATTTCATGTCAAGCGTAACGACTGCAGTAAGCAAAGACTTGCATGATATAGCCTAGCATTATTAAGGTTAAATATACCGTACAACGTTGAAGCAAAGAATTGAACGCATATACTGCAATGATTGAATCCGTTTGTAATTACCGAAATGAGCATAAGAGTCAAAGTAATAATCCTTGCTGGTCATTTCGTTGAATGATACCGTTTCTGGATTGCTTTCCTGCTAGGATAATTAATCGAGAGTAAATTACAGAGTTAGAGTTAGCCATCCGCACTAGATAATTTCATCCATTGATCTATTCCTATTTCCACTTATGTTGTCGAAGTATTGCATGTCTGTATAAAATTAGTTGATCATGTCCTTACATCCATAACTTCAGCTGCAGTCCGATTAGCCATGCTGTAGCAGCAATTGTATATTGATGAGTTGGAAAAATGGAGTTGGACGGATTATAAATTGATATTTATAACCAATTAGTAACACGTGTGAGCAGAATGTATCATCACAAGATTGCTAATTTTCTGCTGGTATATAAGTTGAGCACCACGAGTTGCGACACTGCAGCTGCTGCGATCCGTATGCGGTAGCTTAGCTACTGCATACGAGAACGTATGCGATATCCTACCATACCGTCACACTGTAGTATCAGTAGTAGCCTAGAAATCTAAGGTACTGTACAGTGTACAGTACCTTAGAATTGTGCACTGTGTACTGTAGAGTGTCCAGTGTACTGTACTGTACAGTGTACTGTACTGTACTATACTGTACAGTAGAGTGTACTGTACAGTGTACAGTGTACAGTATCAGTAGCACAGTACTATAGAAAAATCGACTGTACTGTACTGTTCAGTGTTCATGCTATACAGTATGTTTAGCGCTCATACTATTCGTATAGCAACAACGTAAAATATCCTTTAGCGATAGAAGAGGTAACTTCAAATCTTCAGTGCTTCTATGTGTATATTATTACGTACAATATCCTTTAGCGATAAAAGGGGTAACTTCAAATCTTTAGTGCTTCTATGTGCATATTACTCGTACGCGTATGCCATAGGTTAGTTACTAGTTTATTTACAATTTTACCTCTACTAATGCTAAGATCGATAGGCATACAAACAATGGCAGTATGAAAATCACAAGCATTATATATAAAATATAGTGCAGTGATATGCACTCGCTTATAGTATGCCGCGCAATAACATAAATAATTATGTAATAATTGATATTTGATATGTTTAGAGACGATAGCATTGATTAATTAGCCAAATCACACACATTCTAATTATCCTAAGTAATACTGAATATTATGTTTACGTCTTCCGATTCAATAAAGAAAAACACTAGACTGATTATAAATACAGTAACACAAAGTACAAGAGATCTCGATCGATTGAGAATAGAATTAGCGTATAATTAGAATATAACTGAAAAATAAAATATTGAAAATGTTGAACTAACGCATACATACGGCATCTTACGCAACACTAAACATTATATCTAAGTGTTTCCATCAGTTTTACGCCGTGGTAAATGTGTTAAGAACAGCAGCAAGATCGGCCACGATAGATTACAAACATGATACAATATACTGTACCTAGACGATGATAGCATTGATTTACTTAGCTAATCTACATACATACATTGTGTCCTTCAAGAAATTAAATAATATGTTTTGGTATCAGATAAATGTTACTCATCCTTGGGTTATAAATGAAGGGAAAGCACTCTGAAGCAGCTGCTAACTTCTATTGAGTACAATAAAAGGACAACTAGATATCTTTATTTGAATTTCCAAAATGTTAAGCAGCTCTGCTTATATATTTTTAAAGTTACAGTATAAAGTATAGATGTGGAATAGTAGCACGAATAATACGAGTATATTGTAGAAAGTAACAATGTAGCTCGTACTGTATCAGAAAGAGACATACTGTAATATAATACACATATAGATGTATGACAGCTATCATATGAGTAAGCTCTATATTATTTCTATATTAAGTAGTAAGTTCTAGCAACGTGCCATACTTGATACAGTATACTATTAAACTGTAGTATACTCGTATAATAAGGTACAGTAGAGCAGCGATATTAGTATATAACTATGCATGCAATAATGCAGTTACTTCTTAACTATATAAAGAGAATATATGACTGCAAAAATCTAATTGTTACGCTATAATACATGATCACTCGAAATAGTTCATTCCGTTGGTATAATTATGAAATTTTATATACTTCAACTTTACTTTTGAATGTCTACATTATTGATACCTAATCGTAGGCCGTGTATCTATTTACAGCAAACGCAGGTGCGAATCATTGAATTGTAAACTTTGCAATTTTAGTATTTTACTTCAATATTAAAATCACTGAAGAGTTAATCAGTTCAAATACTAAAATTAAATTGTTTCATTGCTGTGTTAGCTATAAATAGTTTTACTACTCCCAATACAGCGCATAAAATTATCTTGCATGACACATCATCTAATTGGTTTCCAATGATACTTTTATCACAAATTTCTGCGATGCTATTGCTAATCTGACATCATAAAATTTCAATAATAAATGCTACATCGAATCATTCTTAGTTCTAAATATCATATATTATGCTATTAATTCTGAATTAAATTTAATAAAATTTAAGAATGTTTTAGTCTATTATCATTTAAGTGTTATGGCATATATTATTGCAGTAAATGTAGAACTTGTAAATATATAGTGTATCGCGTGTGGGCCTCTACTCTATCAGTATTCCATTTCGGTTGCAGATTTTACCGACTGTTACAGATAATCTAGCATTTGCTATAGCTGATGCCCCAGCTTTTACATCAAATTAAGCAAAAAACCTTTTGATTTGAACGGATTAATAATGCTTCCATTGGGTCGTCACCTTATTAGAATGACGCCGACTGAATAGAATACAATTAGCACGTGGTTAATATTCAAATACCATAACAACAATTGCAATTAATTTGTCATCATCGTTAAAAAATGCTTATTTAATACCTATAGAGTACTATCTATTACTCATCTGCATAATTAGTGCGATTGTCATTATAACAATATGGCATATGGCATGATAGTTATAGAAACGTCAGCATTGATTTAAGCGCTAAGTATTAAAAAGTTGAAAGCAAGGCAAGACCTTGCCATTCACGAACTGATACATATGATTTATTACAAACGATGGCCAGGATAAAAAATCAATGGCTAGCCGATAAATTAGATACAAAAAATTGTATTATTTAATTATCTAAAATTTTAATAAGCTGTAAATTTATTATAGCAAATAAAATAGAAGAATTTTACTAACAATTATCTTGTGCAAAAAATATCGTTATAAAATAACCTTTTCCCTCGTCATGATATGACTAGTTATGTGATCTCATAAAAATGCTCAATATTGGTAATTGAAACATATGTCATTTTCATGAGGATACGTTAGGCTTCACCAATCAAAAATCTTATTGATATATTAACCAATCAGCTTTCAGCTATGTATAAAATTCGCATAAGCTTGATTTTTACTGGGATGAGTTAGCGTCTAGCTGAACATATTTTTTCGTTAGCCATCGATAGAGGAAATCTCAAGGGGGAAACTGCTTCAAGCTAATCGATTATATCCCTTTAGCCTTTTATCTTATTAATAACGCGATAGAAATTTCTAAATTACTTGAAGACTAAGGATAACTTTAGACATGGCCAAATATTCCAATTTCGAAGATAGAGGAGTTGTCTTTGCCCAATACTTTATGTTTTTTTTCAACATAGTCCTATGGGTAAGTAGCATTCTAGATGTTTCAGAAGATATCAATTATAGCTAATCTGATAGAGAAATTTTCATGACTAAGTTGTATTTTATTGTCTAATCTAATATCAAACGGGATAATATTCCGTATGAAAATCACCATTTTATGTTTTATAATCTTGTTTTATCACTGATAAATGAAATTTTTAAACGTTAGAAATTCTATAGTACGTTATCAAATTGCCCATATGTGGATAATCATTTTTACAGACCGCAGTATCGATTATTGGCCTTATTATTATAACTAATTCTAATTGTCGACATTCTTCACAATTTAACGGAAAACCGTTAAAATAGCCTGTGTTACACTAAATGATTTGATTGCAGACGATATATCCGCTTTGCACGATTCATTCCCAAAATAGAATCAATCAGCCCTATACAGATATAAATAGATTATATTTTAAACAGTAACGTGAACTAGTTTCATCAATCATCGTTAATTTTCTGGAATAGCTTATAATAGGTGTTTGCTGGACTAATTTTTTACTAATTATGGTCATGAAAAGTAGCATACTGAATTAATCAAGTCGATCTTAAATATTCTGTTCACATTATAAATCAATTTTATTTTAAAGTATATTTCTTTAGAATATGAAATTATTATAGCCAGTATGTGAAACCGCACTACAATCTGGACTTTCTATTTCGAGATATATTCTACTGAATAAACCTTGCAGGCAAACTTTAGTACAATATTATTACAAAAAATGAATAGTGCAGGATTAAATTAAAACTTGGATGTCTACTAATATTTAATAAATAGCTATAGTAAAATGCCGACTGGCTAGAAAAACTTAATTTTACTACAAGCATCAACTTAGATTCACTTTGACACAAAACAGTTCATCAATGTCTCATCTTAGATAAGAGCTGATAGTTATTGCCCTAATTGCCGGTAAAGATAAGTTAATATTCAAAGACGTGTCTAATATCATGCTGCTTTAGTTGTACAATACCATGTATCCTTTCTAGCTAAGAAGGTCTGAAAGCTAAGTATTAGAAATAGACATAAAAGAGTAAAGGAATCCCTACACAAACTAGCCAATTTTTAGTTAAATTTCAATTATTTCATTTGATTAGCTTGAAGTATCACATAAGATGATCGAATCCTGTGTCGAATACAATAAGCTATAAGTCCTTATAGGGAAATAAAGGCAAATTTTTCCTTTCATAGACACACACTTGCCTCTCTCCCTAAATTTTCACTTTGTAAAAATTAGCATAAAAGATTATCATAAAAAGGTTACCGTTACGATCCATAATTGTGAATGACCACCTCACTAAAGTCTCGTTATGTCAATTTATGATAGTATAATAGTGTAATGAGTCATTTACTTCTATTTCAGGCGGATTAATTAAACAGCAGATGCTCATCCTTATTATTGATACGGAATTTATGTTTAACTCATAGTCGTTAGCTGCATGGTGCAGAAACAATATTTACTATACACAATATAGCAATTTATATACAGCTTTAATCACACCGATAACTTTCATTTTAGAGTATAACTGTAACTATTTCTATGGTTGCAGCTTTAATCATCTTATGGTTATAAAGAAAGAATTACATTTAGTTGACAAAATTTTAAAGAATGATTGTTTGATAAAACATATTTTTAATAGCGTGTTTGCCGTGTAGTCGATATAGTAACATAAAGACGAACTTTTACAACGAGTTTACAACCGCAACACGTTACACGTAATAGACATAATTGCTTAAGGTCATGATAACAACATATTCTTTTTTATATTGGTCATTTCTTCGCTGCAGAATTTCAGCCTTGTAATTTTAACTGTATTACGCTATCATTATATTTCAATAACTCAGAAGTAAATTTATAAAAATGGCGGCTAAAATATCTTAAATCATCTTGGATGAATATATATCTAAGCCACTTCAGACCAATAGCAAAGTCGAATTTTATTTCTATGTATGCTCTTACTGCTGCTCGAAATCAATTATAGTGATTTTCATTAAACTAGTTATCAATTAATTTTTAATAGACCAATATGACCAGTATCAAAATTAAATTCTTTCTAGTAGTTTGAACGTTCTGATCCTTGCGAATTATGTTAGGAAACGACGATTGCTATTTTTTTTTACCGTATAATTTCATCCATCACGGTATATTTTATTTAAGGACTAGCATGGGGACTAAGTGTCTTCAACTTACAATATGCCCCGGAAAAATGCGGTATAACTTTTCTGTTACTACTATTGCACATCTAATTAATTGTAAATTGACATTAATAGCAGTAAAATGTCTGTAAATCGATGATTTAGAATTTATTGCAAAGATCTCTTGCTAATGTTTCTAAAAATTAAAATTAGGCTTTTGTTTTATGATATGAAAAATACCGACTAATCATATATTTACCCTATTTTTACCTAATAGGTTGTAGGTGCAACAATGCTTGGCATGGGGATTTACTATCATATTGCTCATACAGATTATGCGGTTTTAACTAGCGAGTCTTACTTTATTGGTGTTAACTTATTGATTGCAGGCGGCACTCTTTTATTTGCTGCCGGATTCTTGGGTTGTTTCAGTGCTCTATGCGATAATCAAGCCCTTTTAGTTGGAGTAAGTATGCTAATGTAGCTCTAAAAGTATTAGTATTCAGTTTAGCTATGTTATATTGTTCTGGAGTTTAATTGGTTCTTTGTGTTATTCTTTAACCACTGCATTATTGAATATTCTAATTTCGTTTCTAAAGTTCTGATAGTATTTCAATTTCCAAATTTTGCTAAACTCCATCATAAATGGTCATAATTTCAAAATTTACTTAAAATTTTAGAAGAAGTATTCAAATAAGCATTCAATGATATTCTTCTCTGTATTTTTCTTTAAAATTTACTCTGAAACTTTATACTTTCTAGTTTATTTTGGCTCTGATTCTTTTGCTTGGCTTAGAAATTGGTACTGCTATTTATGGCTATGTTGGAACTCCAACTGTAAGTCCGCTATAATCATCTAGAAAATTACTATCTATTAGTTTCTATATCAAAATTATAGCTTTGGAGCGAGACATAAAGTATGATATTATTTATAGATCAGATAATGAGTAGCTGATAAAGGACAATCTCTAATATTGGTTGTGATTGATTTAGTTGGAAGGAATTGCAAAGAAACATATGACACAGGACGTTGAAACTAAATTTAGAACCAATGTAAAGGTCCAGAAGGCCATGAATAACTTACAAAAGACCGTAAGTCACTTAAATATGAAATGATTACGAATTAGAATACATTTAAGTCTCGTATGATTATGATTTGATAATAATCACTGACACACAAAATGAGCCTTTAATAAATGTTAACTTAGCTTTATTTTTATGTATTATGGAGCAATAAGAGTAGTCTTAAAATTTTTTATTCTATATAACCTGTAAGATGGTGTATAAGTTTTAGATGATTATGAAGATAATTAAGTTAATTACCACTATTAATAGCATATTAACGATATAATAATTGGAGTATCATAAAAAAGCCATCTTAGCAATCTTGCATTCTTCCGTTGCTTTCATTTAATATTTTATAATATAGTAAATTAGCTTAAGATTGATGTAACAGTATTTGAGTTAAAGTAATGGCATAATAGTGATTGTAATTTGTAATATTAAGATTGTTTTTTTCTGTTTTAACAGCGAAAATGCTGTGGTGTTGACACCTATAAAGATTACGCTAAATCATCTTGGGCTTTGGCTAAATTTAACAATTCAGAAAGTGATCTGAAAGGTAACTTTCCTGTACCCGATTCTTGCTGTAATACAAGCATTGTTGGCGAAGATCTCCCGCGATGCCAAAAAGAATACGCTAATGGCAAGAACGTCTCATATATTTATGCAGATGTAAGTAAAATATCTAACTATAGTTACGCAATTACAAAAATATATTACATTCGATGACAGTGCTATGCTTGCTATACAAGGGTGCTTATAGCGTAAAATATTACTTACTACATAGTACTAAATCTGATTGACGCGCTTATTAATTATTGCTTCCATAATCATCTTATTTATGCAAAAATAATTTGAATCTTAATTGAGATGGTTATCATAAATTTTTATATTACTGGATTTTCTTATTCCCGTAATTTATAAATAATACCGAACTTCATAACTTTAATTAGATCCGTATCATTTTCATCTAAGAATATCTAAATTTTTTTTATAGGGTTGCTATCCACGTTATCGAGATGATATCGTGCAGTATATGTTCTCTTTAGGTGCTGTTGGTGTTTCAATGACGCTTTTGCAGGTACGGTACTAGATTTTATTGGATAATTTCATTTTACAAGATATCTATTATTTTAGGCTGTTACAATTATCCCGTAACAATGCATGTATCTTATTGCTACAGTACATGATCCTACAATATAATGACTTAGTGTATGATCTAATGTGAATAGTATGGATTAAGGATATTATTGTATGAAGAATGACATTGGATTAAAAGTTCCTTACAATTAGCTTAACAATTTACCTCGAGAGAGTAATTGTCATAGACTGCTGGTCTATATTGTAGTAAAATCAGAGATTGCTACTTGTTAAAAAGCGGTTTAGAAATGTTTAATCCATTAATGCAGTTTTTAGATTCTACATGATATATAGTATCAAGAATACTTCGTATTAATAAAGCAGTTACATCTTTAAAATTATTTACTTTTATTTAGAAGGATAAATTGTAGTAGATTGTAGTTAAAACCAATTTAGACATCATGTCGTTGCAATAGGATTGAGTTAATTTTATGATTACAAATAGGAGTTTAGTATACAGTTAAAGGTAATGTAAATTTACTTTAATTTTTAAGACTTTAATTGACCAGTTAGCAATGCCGTTAAATTAGGATAAAGAAGAAGTAGTCGTCGAAAGATTAGATGTAATAATATCATCTAGATCTTTATATGATAATAAAAACTTATAGTTAATAGACATTTAAAAGTAAGGCAAAATTTTAGTTCTCACTCATCTATTGGAGTAACATTCAGCTAAAAAACGAATTGTAGTCGATTTCTTCATCATTTAATAATCCAGATTGGTAATTGCTTCAGGAAAGCATATTATTACTATGATTTTCATTATCAGACCTGTAGCATTTCGAGTCTCATAAAAAATGAATAAATGAGATTAAAAACAGAGCTTCGTCTATCATAGGCAGAACTATAAACTGTAATTTAAAGTAATTCCTAGATTTATAAAGTTATATATTTTATAGATCTGTTATAAAATTATACGGATATAAGGCTTGCAAACAAAATTTTTTTAAGATAGGACATATAAAAGTTCTGTCTTCTATAAACTTTGGAAAAAATTGAATGTTAATTTTTTTTGTATCATCTCTATTTCTACTAGATCATGGGCATCATGCTATCATTCATATTGTGCTGCAGTTTGAACGGATCACAAGGATATGGCCCACTACCACTCAAGAGAGATCCATATGATTATTAGTAGTAGACTGATAATGTGGAGGGTAGCTGGATCATAATAAATTTCTATTTGTTTCTTTGAATTTGTTTAAACCAATATGACGCCAGAAATTGATCATCTCGCACTCTTGCATTTCTTAACCCTCATGTTTAAGGTTTTATTGTTTTTTCAAAACATCTTCTACAGTAATGAAATTAATTTTAATGATAGTCACAAATGTCCATGAATTTAGTCTTAGCATGATAGTTGATTTAGGTATAAAATATTGTAATTTGATCTTGCAATATCACAAGGATGGCAAATATTTCGTACTGCCTATAGATTGTAGGTTCAAGTTAGCTAAGCAAATAGGATTAGGAAAGATATAAAGAATGTTATCGCTGCTGATAATGATTGTATAGAATCTTGCAATTATCATCAGATGGATACTTAATGGGTGATAATTAATAATTTTATCCTTGATTTATATATCTATTCCCTACCTTATTCTCCTAACTTTGACGACACTTTCTTACTTACTCTAACCTTACAATCATTTCGTTTTCATTTAATTAACTGATAAAATGAATGAATTTACCGGCTTGAATATCTTCACTTAAATAATAATGGCTGTTCCTATATAGTTTTGCATATAAGTAAGAGAAAATTTCAATCATTTCAACTCAACATAAAAATAATGTTACGCTTGTCTATAATGCAATGGTGCATTTAATTTAGTTTGATTTGAATTCTCAATTTATGTCATCCATAACAGTAGAATTACCTATACTTTATCACATTGTAAAACTGTTGAAGTTAGTTCTGATCCTTGTTTTACAATCATTTTTATTACAATTATGCTGATGAAATAATGACCTTTTTCGCGCCGTAAGAGCAGAAATTATTTCAAGATATAGTTATAGCTTCTGTTATCATTATAATCAATAGCTAGATGCGTACTATAATCAATTAATAAATTGATAAAATAAGTGTTAGCAAAATAGTTATTATTCCCTTAGTGATATTGATCATTCATCTATTAGGCTGGAAATAGATAACTATGTTGCTGGATTAAGAATTTCATTCTTATATAACAACATTTCGCATTATTTTTTGAAGTCATTACGATTACATAAAACTAGTTAGTTGATGGCATCATTGAGTTTGCTGATTATGTCAAAACTAGTGGTCAGCTTTGCTAAATCTAGCTAGACCTACCCTGTATGTTTATGGTAGTTGCTTAGGCATTTGTACTAGTGCATCATTATGGAGATTTAAGTAATGGCTATTATTAATTATGTAAAATCGCTAGAGGGAAATGATTAAATTGAAAGCTTGATTGTATTACGCATTGGCCGAATAATAACATAAAAAATGGGCATCGATTAGATAAATGATTTGGTTCTTTCTATTTGTTGGGCTATCAGCTTTAATTAAATACCTTTTAAAAGTAGCAATTTATTTAAAATAGCTGCATTATTAAATAAAGGAGTGCGTGATAAATCAATTTTAGACTACTGTTATTTTAATTCCTGTGGGTAGGCCTTAGGATTGATATTATTCCATTAAAATGTCAGAAAGTATATGATAGTCTCTCATTAAATGAAATAGAAAAATGTCCGTTATAGTACGCATTTAACAGAAATATTGAATCGCATAGTTCAAATAAGATGATTATATTCTATTTATTCACTCATCATCCTTTGTCCAACGGAATTAACGTGAATATTTTGTGATTTTCTCTTCCTTTCCTTCTCACAAAGGATATTGATCGTAAAATCCACTAGATGGTCAATAGATTACTACAAAAATAGCATGGTATAGGATTTCACGTACAGTAATGTGGATACGGTGTGTCAGTAATCTTTTCATATATAACTCTTGTGATCCTGTAATAGCAGGAACTTTTTTTGAGGAATTTTAAGAGTAAATAGTCGATATCGCAATAGCTTTGGAATGTTCAAGTTGTCCCGATATTATATGCTGTGGATCGTCCACACGTTATAGAACTCAATGCTTAAAAATCTGCATCAAGAACTATTCAATATCCTTTATTTGAGCTCTATTTATTAAATATTTACTTCTATATTCGGCATATATGTACGATATTTATGGAATTTGTTGGGAAGTACATGAAATCTGTCATCATAATTAGACTATGATCAATTTTCTGTCTATCGCACTTTCTTACAAAGATATTCTGTAATAATTACATAATAAACATTATTTGTAATTGATATTTCTGACGTTATCCCTAATTCCCTAATTCAATTCAGCATCATATAATAAGCAAACCCCCTTTATTGAAACACAATAAATATTATTCTTGCCAATTGGGTGCATACATATATACATAACTATTTTATAGAAACTTGCGTATTTGCCTATATAGTTAGACTATAATATAATCTTTTACAACATCCAATATTACTGACATACGGAATTAAAATTATATTTTTGTAATAAATATAAGGCGAATATATTTTAAGTCAACTTTAAAGTAAAATATTTACAGAATCGTAATTTCGAAGAAGTATTTAAAATAATTTCAATTTATCAATAGGAAGTAGGAAGTTCAAACGTTAGCTGAAAATGTGCAGAAAATAGAATAAATCCTTTCAGGACTTATTATAATTTTCAATTCTGATATGGAAATTGCTGCTGCTTTGTGAATAGACGTCATTCCACTCATTGCTCTCTCTTGAGTAGTTTAAATATTTCATCACGAAGTAAGTTTTTAAAAATTCTGCATTCCTATATATTAAAAAGCTACAGTAGATACGGAAAAACAATTGCTCATTAAAACAGAATTTGAATATATTACATGTCGTTTCTTTTCGTAAAGTAATTCTATGAGTGGCTAATACTTTTAGCTGTTATCGCCGAAACTTGTACGGTGATTCCGTATTGATTATTTCGGATCGATAACCACTATTCGATGATGAAGCTCTGGATATTGGAGGCAATTGAACTAAATGCGAAAAATTCAAGTTGGAATATTTTTGCCGAAATATTATAAAGTTGAAAAAACTACCCTTTAAGGGAAACGAGAAGGTCTTATTCCCAATTTTCTTACCATTTTCAGTAGAATATCTTCTATAAGAATTATTGTCATGTGGCGGATAATTTCCTCGATTTTCATTAGAAGGGTTCTAAAATGCAAAATGTATTATACAGGTAAATTTTGAAGTAGATTAGAAAAATACGTTTACATATGTAAGATAGTAGCGTTTACAGCATAGTTTAACCAATATTGGCATACTTCACAAATAGGGGTTTTTTCTAATTTTAATTATAATAATATCCACACTACAGAAAGAGTTACATATGTATTGATTTGATTTCTGTAAGATAATTACACGAAAATAATTTTATTGTGTTACATTCAAAAGCAGAGATTTTAAAAATTTTTCATCAACATGAGAGATTTGTCTTTGAGTAACACGAGAGCTGTATCTCACGATGTTGTCTTAAGGAATGAGCACAACAATAAATTATCATTCCAACTTACGATTAACTGAACGGTTTTCCCTGATATCACATGTGCATTCAGTTGTGGTAGGCTATGTACTTGTCTTGCTATTTTATAGTTTACATTACGTAAATTTTCCTTCCTTTTGGATCTATAACTATTAGGTGATGTATCATTATCCGATAAGTTGCTTTGAAGTTCACTTTGATTTTTGATCCATGATGTGGTGTAATCTTCTTTTCGCTGTGGATGCTGAGGTGGCGATAGTTCCCATGCTGCTGTGGGCTTGCCAACTGTTCATACAACATAATAATAATAAATATAGCTATTAAGAATATAAGCAATTCGCTTTAAGATTTGAAACTGAGATAGCAATTTTTCCATTATTACTGTAGTTTTTCTAGTGAAAATATAGTGATGTAGTATACCTTGTGTGTAATTTAACTTATTAGTATTATCCGGTTTTTTAGTTGTTTTAACATTTTTCCATGAAGAAGTTTCATCTAATTTTTTAAATTGTTCGTAGCGACGTTGTGGGTCGGTAATTTTCTTTTTCTGTTTGAATCGACGAGCCCTTTTTTTCATTAGCTCAGCGGTCATATAATTCGAAAATCCCCTTAAAATAAATAGATTGTATTAATCAGTTGTTGAGCTATCAATAAAATAACTACATTAAAGAAGCTCAATCAAACTGGCTTAAATTTCTGAATATTTTATTCCTATTACCATTCATTAACAATTTCTTCACTTTTACTGGCAGGATACTGTTGACTAGAAGGTACTTCAGAAGTTTGATCATCGTCGTATAATGTTTCATTGCCCGCATCGTCGAGCTGTGGTTTATAAATATTATCAACAGGAACTTCTTCCTGATAAGGATATTGCCTCAGGTTGGTATCTAGTTGACTTTGGTTAAGCGATTCTTCTAGTTGCCATACTGGTTTCGGAATACTTTCGTAACTTTTTGGTAAAGCATTGGTGCTCGCATCAGGATCTATATTTCTATTAAATGTTCGGAATGAAAAGATGCTTTTTAAAATGCCAGAAAATAATATTTTCTCAACCCTAACCATATCCAACTGTATACTAATCTCTCAATAGAAATGATCTCTTTTACCGTAGGTTTGCGGCATTAGCATCACTGTCTTCATCTAGTTTCCAATCTTGATTAAAATAGTCCTAGTAGGTTGTAATAGATTAATACAGAATAGTCATTGAATTATTATGATTTTGTATTTTATCATTGCATAGTTTTTTTATGATATTAAGGATTAATGTATTTATTGAGATCAAAACGTAACGCCTATTGGAATGATTTATACTATTTTAAGATGTTAATAGGAGATTAGCTTCTCCTTATGATTCTATGAGTATCAGTAATGTTTTCGTAGTCGAAATATTTATGTCAAAGTTTACCTCCTTAACATCGAATTGCGATAGATCTATTTCATCAAAATTAAAATCATCATCTAAGTCACGAATGTCTTTAGCTTCTACTAGCGCAGCTTTTATGCGCTTTCTTGTCCTATAGCCACGATAAAAGGACTGGAAAAGAAATTATAATATTTGAGCCTTAGTTCAGAAGACACTGGAAGATACTGTAAGTTGGAATGGTAAATTGATCACCACGTACCGGTAACTATTACTACAGCTAACTGCTGTTTAATTTATTACCTGTATTTCAATTACTGCTTTTTCCTCTCTATTTGAATGAGAAGTTGATGGTAGTGTTGAATATATCTTCTTGCTAGCCTTTCGAGTTCGATAGCCTCGCCATAAAGACTGAATCTTTATAGCAGCACTATTTTGCCTAGATAAACTAGTTGCTGTCGCTAAATTTTTGGCCTAGTACAGATATACAAGCGAGTAGATCAGACAATTGTGTTAAGATATCTACTTGTACCAATCAATCATTTAACCTGGCTAAATTGTTGGTATTGAGTTGCATCTAAGGATTGTGATAAATTGAGAAAGTCTTCACTGTGATTAAGAACAAGCAAAAAGTAATTTAAGTTAAGAAGATTAGTGCAATCGATTAGCTGTTATTTAATAAATGGATAGTTTTGGAAAGCCTTTGCTTTACAATTATTTAAGAAACCTGCAGTATGCCTGCTAACAAGTGATATTTAAAATCGAATAATAGATTAACTACTAGGCATAATAATATTAATATTTATATTTGATTGCTAATGTGATAAAGCTTTACTAATGTAACAGAAACACTTTTGATTTGTTAGATGTTAATAAATATAAGTTAAAGATTTAATACTGCAGGTTATTACTATATGAATAAACTTGATTATTAAGGTTATTTGGCGTAAGTTGTTTTAATGTAGCATACATAGAAAGTGAGAATTTACAATTAGATAATAAATTGGTCAAATTCTCTCTAATCTCAGGGTGATCAGTTACGGTTTCAATGTATCCATATAGTTGCGTACCGGTTAATTACTTAAAGATGCCATGCTAAAATGTAACTTAACTATTTGAAGAAACCGTCATGCATAATAAGCTACAACGTATTAATTTCGTCTTATACCCGCAGCAAATGATACTTACTCAATGATTTCATGGTCTGTATTCAATTCAATAGAATAGCTTAACTGCTGTTGTAAAAATTGTTGAGAAGCAAATAGCATTCTTTGAAAATAATTTTCCTAATGAAAGAAGGAGAACAGAATTTAATGAGGTCACCTTTTAGATGCCGATCAATAATTAGAATTTATAAATCTTTCTAACCTTAACCCAGAGTAAGGTTTTAGGATTGTTATTTCTTTGTACAGCCCGAAGCTTTCTGTATCAAAGGGAAATAGGATAAAAATGAGCGTATGGACTTAAGAGCTAGACAAAATCAGTACGTGCGAGCATCATAATATTGAATAGTCTGTATGTTAAGATTACTGAAGTTTTCTTTCATAAGATATTCGTAAACCAGGAATAACTTGAATTTGCCGTTGTATCATCGTAATAAAAGGATGTTCATTTACATCTGTATGCAAATTCAAATTTTTCTCTTCTACGCTAATGTCGTTCAGTTCTTGCATATAAGGTATGGCTTTAGTCACTACTGCCTGGAAATTAGGCTCTTCTACCACAGGATTACCATTTAAACGTAGGCATTTTAGTCTTGTTAATTGGCTTACGCATGGAAGAATTGCATCGAAACCTTACAGATGATTAAATACAATTGAATAATTGGTTTTAGTAGGATATTTATGGCATATGGTCATAATATTAAAATTATCGTAGAATAATAGATGCTGAATAATTGATAAAATTGAATCTTACAAGATCGCAACATTTACAAATGACTTACTATCGAAGCAGTTGTCACTGACATCTAATTTTTGGATGGACACAAAGTGTTTTAAACATGGTTCGAGATTTGATAGACTGAAATAATTAACCATATATAATTCTCAATTAGGTCAACTTATTAAATTAACTTAATTGAAGAAGCGATTCGATAATACTATATGTTCACTTTAATTTGTACAGGAACATTATTATGTATTACCTATTTTCTGAAATATTCAAATTTTCTAAAGATGGTAACCATGACTGACTGAAATTCTCCAATGAGGCGATACAATTGGATTTTAGATTTATTTCGACAAGTAAGGATTGATTTGTTAATTCAGGTAGCTATAACAAAATGATAAAATAGGAACATTATGAATGGTAGCAATTTATTATATATTTCATTATATCAAGTTGAACGACTGAGTTAATCAAATGACTAGTGCAATGACAGTTTCGTAGTAACTAAGGAATTAAGAAATATCTCTTACCAGTTGGATACTATTATTGGTAAAGCTGATGGAATGAAGTAGATGGCATCTCTTCAATTCATCAAGATACGTTACATCATTAAAATTGCATGATATAACTTGTAAATTGATTAGGTTCTGAATTCCCTGTAAAATTATATATCAGAATATAATACAATAACCCACCGTAAATATTCTATCTTTGATTGTATTAATTACATATATATAGTATTTTCATGTGCCCTGTAGGCCATATAATCTGGAAAATAGCAACAACTTTGATTTTAGGACAAATCTATAGCGATATTGCATGCCTGCATGCAGATTTCTAAATACGGATGAGTACGATTAAGCTGGTAGAGTCTAATTAATAGTTTTACAAGCTTCATAGTAAGCATAATTTAAGTAATAAGTAGTAAATGGTATCAAAAAGTTAGGTACAGTGTTGCATCGATTGTAATGTTTATATATTGATTTGACTAGATACAGATATAAATGAGTAGTAAATGAGAATGGATTAGAGTCGAAATTGAACCGTGAACAGCCGTATATTAAATTTAATTATTATATCTACTGTCGGTGTCTGCCAATGCTACAAATTGCTCGCATAAGATTGCTAAATGTGGTAGATTAATGTCAGGTCGAAATGTAGACTTTTAGATAGAATTTTGTAAAGTGTTACAGAATTCATAGATGGGTGGTAAGTTACAGATGCTAGAATGATGCTAGAGGAATTAATAATGATAAGGGCAATAAAAATAATAATTTTGTTTTATGTCTCTAGACCAATAAGATTCTCTGGTGTAATTTTTAATTATGAACATATAATATAAAATATGAGCTTACTTTAATCGTTACAAGAAGATTATTATCCAAGTTAATTTCTTGTAGTGCGGTACAATTTGTAATTTCACCTAAAAGTAAGGATACTTCGTATTATTATACAAATCAATAATATAAGTGGAGTAGTTACGAACGAAATCGGATTAGCTCTTCTTATTAAATGTAAAAATGTAAGTTAACAACACTCCAAGCTTGAAAACAGTCTATCATCTAAGCAATTCTTGACTTACAAGTACGTATACCTACTGTTCCGTATGTAAGCACAAGAATGATAGCTTATATTTATTTACAAGGCAAATAAATCTACTGTTCTTTCAATGATCAATATTTAATTTCTATCCTTTTACCTAGGCGTGTCAATCTATTTTTACTAAAATCAACCACTTTTAACGATGTACAACCGTCTAATCCATGAACCGTCGTTAATTTGTTATTAGCTGCATTAAGCTCCATTAAAGTTGATAATCCTTGCAGGTCAAGATATTCCACATCATTATCCTATAATGAATTTAATCCAATGATCAGGTCTATACTTCATAGTAGACTTATAAACAATGAAATCTTTGAGAACTGGAAAAAATAAATAAAGTAATTGGCTTACGCTAATTTTGATATACTGTAGTTTACGACACTGGTTAATGCCATCCAGAGCTTTTAGGTTACAATGTGTTAGTGATAGCCAGCACAATGATTGATATTGGCCGATGGACGATGTACTATAAGATGTTGGACAGCTATTTATAGTTATGATGGAAACTGAATCGATTGAAGATGTAGACGATGCCGCTAATAGTTGCGACTCAGGAAATGGCAGAAGCTTAGATAGAGCCGTTGGCTTTCTAGATTAAAAGTATAAAAATGAGGCATTAATAAAGAGCCGAAATGGTAAATCTAAAGAAACAAAATTGCAATTTTAAATTATTTTTATATTTTGGAATTAATTTATGTAGAAAATAGTATAGAAAATAGTTAGGATATCACTAAACGAAATAATACATCAATTATAGGTAATCGTAGTTAGAATAGGGATATAATCAGTTATATGTGATCAATTTAACAAGAATATGTTAAGTGGACTATTATAATTACTAACTTAAACATAGGAAACAGTTTTCATTAGTTTCGATGCTTAAATTGTGATGATTCGTATGAACCGGTCAAGTATCGTTAAGATCAAAGTAATTATTTCTACATACGTGGTTTCGATAATGAGATTATTCAATATAGATACAGCCGTTAAAATGGAGTAAACGGATTCTTGCATTGAGGAATAATTTAAATCATAGAATGTATTTGCATGATCACTACTATAATCTTATGATTGTAAATCAATATTATGAGTCTAATTAGGTACGAATCTTAATGGATGAATTTATGATTTTTTGCGACAAGAAGATTGGGATAATTCAAGTGTATATAGAGGCTAGATCGATAACCAAATACTCTATATCAGTTGAAAAACATCTTTGCACTCTTGGAAATGGTTTAAATTTAGTCTAACAATTTCACAATTTACTAGCACCAGAAAGTTTAAAATTCTCTCGAGCTATCAGTAGTATTTGGAAGGTTTTTTGCGGTACTTAGATCTACTAATCAAGATGATGATAGAGTTCAATTTCTGAGGATAATCTATTGTGAATAGCAACCTTGAGAGGGGTTAATTTCATAACAATAATTAATACCTCTTTTTCTTTGTAGCACTTTGTACGCTAGCTTGCTCTTTTTCATCTTCTACACTTCGAAGATTTAGCCATTTCTGGTAGTAGCTATTCAGCCATTCGGGTAATGACTTAATTTCATGACTGGGTAGCTGAACATTGGATAAATAGTTATTGTAGCTTGATAGTTCGGATTTAACTGCTTCGGGATTGGTGGCAGCATCCATGTCTGAATCTTGAAATTTCAACATTTCTTGCTTTAGTTGTTTTAATTGATGTTCTTTTTTTGCAATTTCTTCTTCACCTTGATGAATTAAAATTTCTAGTTGTGATGATTGCTCTTTCTTTAATTCTAATACTGTTTGAGCAGATTCTGATTGTGATTGACAGATTAATTCTGGATGATGTGCATTTGCCACTTTCAGCGAAGCGTTTTCAGATGGGATTGGAGTTTTTACTAGCTGAGGTCTATCATACTTTTCTTGTTCTTTTTGTTTAATAGCTTTTTCTCGTTGTATTCGCTTTAATTCTTCTTTGCGTTTTCTTTCATCTTCCTCTCTCCGTTTTCTGTCTTCTTCTCGATGCCTTTTTTCTTCTTCTTCTTTTCGCTTTCTCTCTTCCTCATTGCGTCTTTCTTCTTCTTTTCGCATTCTCTCTTCCTCATTGCGTCTTTCTTCTTCTTTTCGCTTTCTCTCTTCCTCTTTACGTCTTGCTGCTTCTTCTTTTCGCTTTCGCTCCTCCTCTTCTAGACGCCTTCTGTTTTCCTCTTCCTGGCGTTTTCTTTCTTCTTCTCTTTTTACCCTCTCTTCTTCTTCTCGACGAATTTTTTCTTGTTCTTCTCTTATTTTTCTTTTTTCCTCTAATTTTCTTAGGCGCTCTTCTTCTTTCTTTAATTTTTCTTCAGCTAGCCTTTTCCTTTCCAGTTCAGCTTTTTTCTTTCTTTCTTCTTCTTCTCGTTGTTTTCTCAATTCATCTTGTCGACGCTTTTCTTCCTTGGCTTTTAATCTTTGTATCTCAGCTTGCTTTTCCATTTCAATTCTTTTCTGCTCTTCTTCCTATACGAAAGTAGTACATGGGCCTTCGTAAATTATCACTACTATTCCAATCTCCTACCGTAATCCTTACTAAGCTTCTGAAATCAATCTTAATAATACTATCTAATGAAACTTTTACCTGTTTTTTCTTTTTTTCCAATTCTATTCTTAATCTCTCTTCCTCCTAATAAATATAGGATATAGTAAGGGACAAGTGCTTATCAGTATAATATCTTCCATTGGCAAGCTTATTTTGCAAAAGGGATAATATTATCACCTGTTTGCGCTTTATTTCCTCTTCTAATTGTCGTTTTTCCTCTCGTTCTAAGCGTTGAAGTTGTTCTTGTATCTCTTTTAACTTTCTTTTGGCTCTAATCCTAATTTCTTCCCCATAACGCTTACGAATTCTAAATCGTAATATCGCCAGGAATATGATCAGGAAAATTTTGAAAGAATAGTGACGCACTAAGTTAGTTAGCACAGGTAATTATGCAACCCGTTCTTCGCTTTATTAAGTGTGACTTACTTAAAACCTTTAAAATGAGCTTGAATTGTTGAAGCTGCTTTATTCTCGCGAAGATTATGGTATTTCTTAGCTTCAGATTGAGTCTTTTCAAGTACTACTTTTTCTTCCTGTAAGTTTGCTTCTAATTTATTAATTTCTAGCTATAATTGCATGAGATGGATACTTTAATCAATAACATAACTAACGTCAAATTTTAATGTAATAGCTTCATCTATGTTGTCATGTTATTTCATAATCTAAAATTAAGATATTTAACCTCAAGAGCTACTTTCTCATTGTGAATCATTTCTTCTTCTACTTTTACAATTTGTTCGAGTTCAATTTTTAAATTCTAGAAATATGTTTACAAAGAATTTCTATTTAGGATATGCATAAATATGCAAGAAATGTGGTAATAAGCTTTAGCGTTAACCAATAGAAATTATGCATCAATTTCCTTCTATAATATACGAAAATTTGAAATTGCTACAAGGAAACATACAACATATGCATGTAAGTATATCAGAAATAACAATATGTGTTAAGCTGAAGATTTTAAGAACAATACCACGATTGCTGCTTACATTTTGTATTTCATTTAATTTCTTCTTTTCTTTTTCTAATTTAGCAGTGTAAACTTCTCGATTTCTTTCGTTATTTTCAATCTGCTTATCGTGTCTAGCTTTACGGACAGCCATAATATTATCCTGTCTATTCTCAATTTTCTTTCTCCAGACAAGAATTTCCTTCATTTGTTGTTTCATTTGTTTTTTAGCTCGTTTCTCCAACTTTTCGATATCAATTAATTCAATATCTTCCTCTTCAATTTCTGATTCTTCTAGCTCTAAATTTATCATATTTTATTTTATTTTGCTCTCGCATTCAATTGAATTTTATTTTTCAGAATCTGTACTTTCAGAGTCTGTACTTCTATATAGGAAAAGATATGAAAATATGACTGTACCTATTTTATATTTTGATTCCTTTTCATTTGTTGATTCATGGTTGGCTTCATTTTGTGATAGGTCATCTTTTGGATTTTGAATGTTTTTATCGATATTTTCTTGTACTGTAGATCTATCCTTTGTGGTAGTAACTTTCGATTGTATATTCTCTTCGTTGTCATTTTCATCATTCTTATAATTATGATTATTATTATTGTTATCGATATCATCGTCTTCGTCATCGTCTTCATCTTTATCGGTCTGATCTTCTTCTTCCATTCTTGAAATTACCTATAAAAGTAACCAGATTGTAGGGCGTATGTATTTACAGAAATTCTATCCAGGAACGTATTATAATCTGTTTTGTAGTTTGTAAATTAATTACTCACATCTTTTCTTAGACTTAGAATATCTTTGAAATCGATGTTACCATATTTATCGTTAAAGGTTTTAATAAATAAGCGATCATTATCTCCTGCGATACCTGATAGATAAAAGTATTAAGAATATTACACTATTCTGGTTGCTAATTCTAGAATTTATGGGTCATTTTATAAATTAGAGAGATAAGAAATGCATTTAGCAACAAAGTTGAAATCTACTACCGGTACTAAAGTCTTAAATATTTTGTTTTCTTAAATAATATACTATATTTTACAATATAGAGCGTTTTAAATTATGTTAAGATATATCTAGTTTCTACCTTACTTTCTAATGTACAAAAAATATTGGCATCCTGGTTATATTGAGTACTATCTGAGTACTTTTCGTTTATTATTCTACGGCATTAGTCAATGAATCTAGTTTAAATTACGTCATTTTCTTTCACTAATTTTATATGCTATTCGTATTTCTCATACGTGAGGTGGTTTCTTTGAGAGTTGATTCGCATTCTTCAACTTCTTGGCTAAAAATAGTGGTTCTTCTATTGAGATTTTGCCACAGTTTATTAAGGCATTCTTCTGCATCGTCTTTATTATTTTCAGTCTATAGCCCAATTTAAAAGGTGATTAAAATTGATAACAAGTATTTCACAGATTAGATGTTGAATTACGTGTGCATAGAATTTGAGATTAAAATATATTTTTTGTAGAAATTTTATAGAAATTATCGGTACAATGGCGGCACAGATGATAGTGGTGAGGTTAATCAGTTTACTTATAAGATAAATCTTTAAAAGTTAGAGTGTATGTGCTATTGTGAAATATATTTAATTTACATGATAGTTTATAGTATTGTTATTGCAATATACGTATGTCAAAGTAGAAATATCTTTAGAATATATATACATATTTTATATCTTAAAGTTGATGAAAATATGGTAAATTCGTTGGCCCGTCGATATAAGTTAATGGTTGGACGATCTGACCAATATTTTGAAACCTAACTATCAAGCTGATATTAATTTAGAGTGTACTTATGTTTAGCTCATAATCCTACATTATTATTTCTCATGACTTGCTGTGATTAATATGGAGAATGTTGTGGATGTAATACTTATAATTAAGAATTTGATAGAAAGTAGCTACTGTAATTTAATATTGCCTATTTACACGATAACGTAATGACGTCTGATTGAGAATGTACGTTGTATCTATTATAATTATCCTGGAAATAGCAGTATACAATAATTGCGTACAAATTATTCTCGTATCTATCTACCTGCTCAATACTAGATGTGTTTAGTATAACTGATTCTTCGTCTTCTTCTTCTTCTTCTTCTGTTAAATCTAAGTTATCGCCGAGCTGGTCAAGTTCTTTATTGATTTCTTCATTGATCCAGGCATCATCATTGGTTAAGTTACGCTTCATTTGTACATTAGAGTTCATTAGAGATACTTTGAACTTATAATGGCCTTTAATGAAGATATTGCTAAGTCTTATTCTGCATCGTTAATTGCCAACTTGGTACATATTAATCGCATATATAATTAATCGACGTTAACAAGATCGCTTAAATCGTTGTCATAATAACGGTAAAGGTTGCGCATGAGCACAGTTAAAAATCCATGAAGCATACTGTACGTCCATTTGTACTATACACGTACTGCGTACTTGGTGTACAATGTGCATCACTATAGCAACTTGGTAGGCCCGAACGAATTGATCGAACTTTATATACTATATGTATATATATATTTTATTTTCAAATTAAATGAAGGTAGATAGATCGAAATCGGATAATTTACCGCATTAAATTAGTTTTACGCTATATAGGATTGAACGCTGTAAAATATTCTATCCACCCTCGTGATATCAAAGCAGATACTTTACTGAATTAGATTAATTTTACGTTGTATAGGATTGAACGCTGCAAAGTATTCATCAATTCACCATCGTAATATCAAATCTATATCGATGTTGTTTTCATCCTATACTACTACATTGTACAACGGTAAATTGTCCTAGACCGAAATAGATGGTTGATAATGTGTTTATTTATTGACTGTAGACAACTTAATAGCTGCTATACACTGTATACAGTAGACCATAGTACTATGGTAGGGCTTAAGAATCTACATAAGTTTATTTTATTGACTTCAGTTATCCTTTAAGGTAAACGAACTTTTCTTCTACGTTGTATTGTCAACTATTGCACTGATGACCGTTGTCATCAAGATCCATTGCGGCATTGCTCACTATAACAACGTACTGTAATCAGCTACTACAATATGGATATACCGTATGTCATAAAATTAAAGAATAATCGGTTTATACTTGGAGTAAATCAAGGCCTGAGTGACGCCTTTATAAACCTTGAATTTTTGAGCATTTTAAATATTGCTTTCACACATTTACGTATCGTCTCTTTCAATGTAATACAAGAAAATATGCAGGCATTGCATCGTTCTCTGTTATTATCGATAATTAATTTATTGACTTTAACCAATAAGTTTATCGCATATTAACTGCTGTGCTTTGAGTAAAAATTCAATCTGGCCTTGCATGTAAATGAAAGGTAGTGAAATGAATACTGTATTCATTAATTTAAGTAGGCGAATAATAAACCAAAAAAACTGCAATTACATAATTCTTTGGATGCTAAGAAGGCTAGCAACATCTATAGTTCTAGTTATTTATAGAACTTATGTCAGAAATATACAATGCTAATCATACAGATTCAATTCTCATAATTGCTAAATAGTAAATAAAATAATACATCACAAGAATGTGATGTTCAAAGTTATGCTCAAACATTTGTTGAATTTTCGCTATAGCTTATAATAGAAAATTTCCCAACAAGCATCACAATTTAAGTATATTTAATGATATATAAACTCTTTACAATGGGGAACACGCAAATAAATCACCAATTAACCTCTAGCATATAAAAGGTCACCAATGATTGAATTTTTTAAAGAAAATTTAACTTCCTTTGCCTTTTTAGCTACTTCTGCTGCATTCTTTAAGGTGAGTAATAAAAGTCTATTAGCTTCAACAAATCCATATTCATAGTATGGCAAATTATGTTTCTTGCATAGTTCTTTCACCTGCAATATTAAAGATTGGACAGCGAATTTAGGGGACTTACTTAGATTGGCTATATTGATCGTGCGTCATTGTCAATAAAAAATTAATATTGTTTAGTTACCAGTTTACGAGCGTGTCTTAAATTATGTCTTGGAAGCCTGGGGAAAAGATGATGTTCAACTTGGAATTGCAAGCCCCCATGAAACCAATCCAACCATTCTGGACAGTCAACGTTTAGAGTTGTTTTCAACTGACATCAGAAAAAGGGATTGCATTTCAAATTAATGATTGAAGGAAAGATAGAGTAGAATTGACTGATATGACTAAGATAGTACACTGAACATACCTGTGTGATGCAATAGCATTCATCATCTGAGTTGTAAGGAACACCATCGTAAGTTTCCATAGGAAAGTGAGACAAACAAATTTGAACATGAACTAAGCCAGCTACTACATGACTAATTAGTACGTAGGCTATCATAGCTGAAGTACTAGGCAGAAAACCTAATACTTTAATATACCAGCACCAAAATAAGCCAACACTGACTATTTCGGCTTTTCTGCATTGTACATCAACATTACTGAAAAGTAGTAATATCGATTGCAAGTATAAGTTAAATCTAGCAACAGCCATGACAGGATAATAGAAAATATGTTGATTGGAAACCATAAATTTTGCAAAACTATCAAAGGTCATTTGCTTTTTATGATAATTGGAGAATACACCATCAGGAATAACTTTATCAGTTACAGCAAATATAGGTAAATGTTGAATATCAGGATCATGTTGGACAGAATTGGGTACTACATGATGAACGTTGTGAGTACGTTTCCACCACGCTAAACTGACACCACCAAAGAAATTGCCTACAGTTGATCCTATCCAGCCGTCAATGTCTCTGTTATGAGAGATGCTAATATGTCCAGTATCATGGCCAACGAATGCAAGCTGTTGCCAGAACATTCCCAATACTAAAGCCCCAAGCATTTGCCATTTCAACTCAGTGGTGTATATCGTTAAGTACATCGATAGGCAAAATAGAAATGACAACCACAGATATAATTTAGCGTAAAACATATAATGTGTCTTATAGTAACCTTCACGGCGTAGCTTTTCATCAAGGGCTCGATAATCTTTGACAACTTGGTTAGGTTCGTAGCCGGTCAAGATACCAACTTGAAAAGCAGATAACTTTTTAAACGCCCAATCAGGATGAAATCCTCGAAATGCGTCAGTAACGTCATGTCCACCTAAATTCAGGATGGGTAGATTGCCTCCTGGATGGTAAGGGATCCATTTAGTTACGTCGTACACCTTATTATTAATAATTATCCATAAATCGTTCTCGGTGTTGTGCTTTGCAACTTCTTCAATTGTATAAGGAGTGTTGATGTTCTTTTTTCGTGCACGTAAATTACTTTCGTTCACAGCTTCAACAGTTTTTACCACAGTAGTCATGGTATTATCGTATCCTTTATCTGAAAAAGTCAGTATCAAAATTTAGTTAGGATGGGATCATGGGTTATTGGAACTGTTGATTGAATGTAAAACCTTGAGGGACTGTTTTATATTTTAAAAACGATCTTATTCTTATTTATGAAATGATCAAGTTAATCTACGTAATTTAGTGTTGATCGACATATATTGGATAATGTCTTGGACTAGAACAACTCTACCATAACCATCCACCGTTACAGTATTTCATTTAAGCGTAACATCCCTTTCTATACTGTACTATTATACATGACATGATCATCCACTGTGTTGTAGTCGTACCGCATTCATTAATGGTGTACAAGGTGAATTCACTACTGCTATTGCTTTAGATATAAGTTATTCTCTTAATGCGCTCCAATTGCCATCCTATAGCGGTAGTACGCGTATAGTATAATTAATTAATCATTTTGAACGATGTAAAATTGAAATTTATTTACTGTTCCCTGTCAAGGATTGCGTTACTCGTATCCATGACGTATACGGGTGATGATGATCTTGTATAAGATTGCTGGTATTCACAGCAGCCATAAGTCCAGATATCCATTGCAATAGTAATTGAATGCATATAGAATATTAAGTTAAAATAAACATAAACCATTTTGCTACGCTGTCGGCAATGGAAACTACGAATTGTAATGAGAGTGGGTGGATTTCACCTCGATACTATACCTACTCGTCTAGTACTGTATGCAGTAGTCGATGATTGCACTACCTTGTCGATAGTGGGAGGATGTGGGCATTTTTTTTTGAACTGTACTTGATCGTTGTACTACGGTAAATTTCTTTAATGATGGACTACAATTACGGGCAAAAAGTCAATGTCCATTTTTGACTAAGTATTTGGAGAATATTGTTACTAGCAAACAGAAGGTTGAGATTTTCTTCTCGGACTTTTTTCAATAGTTGATATTGAAGCAGTCACTTTCCACTGGATTCAGTGCTTTTCAATCATTTTAGAGCTGCAAATAGTATCTTCCATTTTATTGGCAGTCATGACATAGGGTCTTAAGAATGGCCGATAGTAAAGTCATGTTAGTTAGGAAAAGTCTTGAAAATACTCACCTTTGGATGAAACGAATCGGTAGAAGTAATTCAAAGCCAAGTTATGATCCCAATTGCAAATGGAGACTTGGTCGAGTATGCTTTGATGGCGATTCTGCGTGACTAGCGATCGGACGCATGCGTTTTAAATTCCCTAATGGTTCATAGCGTTGACTGGTAGTGCTGTACTGTTGGTCATTTGGCTATCCTATGCCTAGTACAAGAGCGAGACGGCTATATAGTATTATGAGTAAAGCAATAAAATATCACCATGGCAGGGGGTGATGAGCTATCCATGGTCCGATGGTGGGTGGTGTGATCGTTTTGCGTCCGATACAATCATGGTAACGTGACCTTGGTCGTGACGATGACGGGGGTGTTGTGCGCCTGCTCTCGACCACAACAGATCAACCCGTGGTACGGTTCAGTTCCTCGCTTGACCTTTTGAAATGACACTCCTGGGTGGGGTCAAGAATACGGTGGTCAACCACGGGCGCTCGTGCTGATGTCATGTCCCGTTGTACTGTACTGTACAGTACATATGATAGGGTGGTCATGCTTTACTATTGCCCTATACTGTATAAGCAGTATGACTGATTTCAGTACCTACTGTACAGTACTGTACTGTCTGAACCACATTCCTAGTGTAAACTGTAGACTGTAGACTATAGACTGTAGACTGTAGAATGTCGATGAAAGACGACCCAGATAGTCAGGTGCACACTCGCATAGTACTGGTGATGAAAACGCCCATAGTGGCAAAAAAAAAGAAAGCCTGTCTATCTCCAAAACATTATGGGCTTGAATACAAGCATTGGGAGATGACTGCTAAACTGATTCCAGTATTGGCTAGCCTTGCGTAATACACAAGATACCTTGTAGGCTGCAAGGTGAGTACTATCACGTCTCTAACGATGACGATAGCCTAGAGACACCACAGGGTAAACCACACCAACGGACACACACAGTTCAACCCTGGTTGAACGCACCCATGGATGGGCATAGAGTCAACACACTGTGTGTCATCATGGTGTCATACCCCGGTAGCGTGTGTCTATGGCAGTCATTCTTCGGACCCAAGTGGTACTAGTACCGCAAGCAGGCCATCCGTAGTCAAGGCCAACGTGGCGTGGCTTCGTTAATCATCATCATCTTGCAGCTAGATAGAGTTTGCAAATCTAAATTTTGGACTTTGACTGATCGAATGCGTTCCATTATTACTAGATTCACTTGGCCATTTGGATACCGTTCTATCTCCACTCTGTTCTCCATGCCTATAACCATGCATAACACAGCCGGTCTCATAGGTAGGGATACAAGGATATTTGATTGCAAATAATGATCCATCCTGGCCACAAAACGATACACATACTTGCACTATCATACACGACTCTATCATTTTCCTATCGCAGTATTCATAACATCAAGATCAATATGTCTTATGGCGTAGTTCATACTGTATTTCGTAACATTGGTAGTCCATGGCTGTGTTATGAGCCTGCTGTTATTCCCTACAGTTGCTTTGCATCGAAAGATCGAATGTTATCACTCGTATAATTGACAATATAATTACAATTGGAGATAAATACTACCTACTAACTTGTACAATTGGCAACCATTATCCCTATCCAATTAGTCTCATTGCAACATTCATTTTCCTTATACCATTCTAGTCCTATACACTACTGTAAATAGGGATCGATTCTCATTTTCAATCAGTTGACTGTTTCATGATGGAGACTATTTTGGATACACATTCAATAATAATAATACGTATTATATCACTCGTATAATTTACGTACAGTATATTTAGAATTGGAGATAAATACTACCCTACTAACTTATACAATTGGCAACCATTATCCCTATCCAATTAGTCTTATTGCAACATTCATTTTCCTTATACCATTCTAGTCCTATACACTACTGTAAATAGGGATCGATTCTCATTTTCAATCAGTTGACTGTTTCATGATGGAGACTATTTTGGATACACATTCAATAATAGTAATACGTATGATACCATTCTAGTCCTATGCGCTACTGTAAATATGGATCGATTCTCATTTTCAATCAGTTGACTGTTTAATGATGGAGAATATTTTGGATACACATTCAATCATAGTAATACGTATTAATTATACAAGTATACAAGTATAAAATGAATTGCAATGCACGTATACTTGTATAGGCGCGTAATCATTGAATTGATTGATTGCTTGATTACTTGGACAGTATTGACAGTATACTGACTGCATCTTTCTCCTGCATTGATTCCATTCCATCTGTACTCTGATTAATACCATATTCAATCTGTCTTACATCTATAGTGATTGGTAACGAAATATTAAAAGGGGAGATACAAGATACCAATACAAATTTCTTATGTAAGAGATTATGGTCGTTGGGTATGAAAGTCAAGAAGGTATGTATTTTGGATACTAGTCATGTTGCTGATTACCAATTTTACTGTATAGAAAATAATGGATATCAAAAAATTTTGAAAATTTTTGACTCAATAACAGAATAATAACTCAAAGAATGGAAATGATTGCATTCTGTTACCCCTTATTACTGTACACGAAAACACTGGAAATTTATTTGTTTAAATGTGTACTCTCTGAACTTGATTATACAATACACTACACTATTGCATACTTGTGCCATGTTTTTGAACTCCCTACACAGTACTCATCCTTTTCGAACTATATTCCATATTTATATATTATTATTTATGCACATGCTTACGAAGTAACTTAAAATTTTAGTACTAGACTAGTTCAACCCGCTCGCTTCCGAAGCGAGCATCTACCATTCCATAATCCTTCGCTGAAACGAACGCTTGCAAGAATTATAATGTGTGCATTTTCTCTCCATTTATACTGAATCTTGTATACGTACTTGACAATTTCCTCTGAAAACACAACTATTCATTTAGACGGCTTCTGAGTTTGCGGACAAACACAAACATCCGACAGCATTATATTTTATTTATGTAGACTACTGTATATAGCGATAGACCCTACTGTATTGAGCTGGTATGGATGGTAAACGTCCAAGTTCTGCCGAGCTATGTCGGCACAAGTTATACGCGTACTAATGATAGACTTTACAAATTCGTGTTAAGTCAAGTCAATAGGAGGAACCGACGTCAGCTTCTCTTACATCCCCAGAAAGTGGATGATATCTTGATAGTAATTAATTTTTATAATATTGTATCATTGTTTGCTTTGCTACGGTACTCAAGATATCGCTACCACAGCTGTTACTGAGTTTTTTATACAGTATTTGCACCTGGATAAATTGATAACGTTCATCACTTGTGTAGTAGAAATCGTAACTGATCGTTTACCATTATTCATCTACTATATTTGCTAGGTCTCCATTGTTGCTGATGATGTTGAAGAAATTAAGAAAGAAATTCAACACTTTTCCTACAAGTATGATTACGTCTTCACTTCTGGTGGCATAGGACCAACATTTGATGACGTTACTATGGAAGGTAATTTACTTGCTACGTAACGACTATTTCAAAAATGATACACAATAATATTTATTAATTATTAAACAACAATCGCGAATGGATTGATCATAGAGGTAACAGGAGTTTACTTCAATAACATTAGATAAAGAAGTAATGCAATGTGCTTTCCATTTAAACGCAGTAATTTATTTCTCATCAATATTCCTCACAAACAATAGAGTTGAACTTGCTAATCTAGGTTGAGTACATGGTAATAACATGCAATGTATTCTCCTTAGAGTACTATCATTGACAGCAACTTGACTTTACAATTAACGCAATTTGCATTACTAGCACTTGCAATTCTTATTCCAAAGCTCTCCTTCAAGGGTAGCACAATAAGACTTTTTAGAGGTCATTTCTAAAATGAATAATTCGCTTCAACTTAATAATACGTGTCATGACTTCATTCTTTAATCTAGCTGTAGCTGCAGCATTTGAAGATGAACTGCAACCTAAGCCTGACTTAATTAAAAAGTTAAAGTTGTATTACAATACCGAGAACTTAACTGAAGCTCAAATCAGATTAGCTACGGTTTGTTAACTTCATCCTATATTTCAACGTATATTAGATTGGAATGTCTAATTTCAGCATAGACTTTCTAATTAACGAATCTTTATCAATTACAATTACAATTTGTTATAAAGATTCCATCCAGATGTCAAATAAAATATTCAAAGAGTGGAAAGTTATTATTACCTTTATATAACATACAAAATGTATTTATACTGCCTGGCGTTCCAATTTTTCTAAAGAGTCTTTTCAAAATATTTGAGGTATTAATTATGATGAACATGAAATGATTCAACTACTAATATAGAATGTAGTAGCTCTGTCTAATTAATTATTTTTATCTCTACTTGGTCGCAATTCCTAAAAATAAATTAGTTCAGATTTGGTATAACTTTTGCTTGTACGTATTCTATTGTTTTGTAATAGGACGAATATGGTTCTAAGATTAAGCAATTTTATAAAAAAGTAATATACCTAAATGTTAACGAACTGGAGATTGCCGAAAGATTCAATGAAATTAGCCGTAAATACAGTGGGCGAGTTGATCTTGGTTCTTACCCGGTCTTTAATAATAACCAATATAAGGTTAAGATTACTATTGAAGCTAGTGATGAAAACGATTTAAAAGAGGTAAGCTTTACATTTATAATCCAGACTACTACATCCTTAATCGAATAAAGTAATTACGCGTAGAATGCGTAAAAATAGTCGTAATCAATTCATGAATATATACAAGTAAAGAAATAACTTTATTACGTCTATATTTAGGCTTATGATTGTTTGCTTGCATCGTTGGAGAAAGGTATTACCGATGCATACGATATTTAATACTTTTACTGATTGCCAAGAACTGGCATTCTCATTAAAGAATTATTTTCCGTTTTAGAAAGTATAGTAAATCTTGATGAAGAAAGTAGTAACAGCGGTGAGGCAAAGCCTAAGTTAGTAAGCAAACTCTTGTTATTATACTGTAATGTCGTTTCAATTTGTCGTATAATGGTATGATTCAGTGAATATTTAAATAAATTTTTCAATAGACCCCTAAACTATAAAGAATTTTTAAACGAGGTTCAGAATGAAGAGCATCCTAATAGTAAAAGAATTCAAGAAGCTTTCCAAATAGTGGATAGGGCACTAGAACAATATGGGTAATGTGAGATTTGACGTACGCAATTTATGCGAAATGATATACTTTGCCATTGGTTTGATGCGATATATTCAACTATAAATGGGCTTTTTTTCTCTATTTTAATAATACAGCTTAAATAACATAGCGATTGCTTTTAATGGTGGTAAAGATTGTACTGTGATACTCCATATATTTTACTGCTTTGTAAAAAGGTTGGTAAGAATGTAGAATTTTTTGCGCATAGGGTTTAACTATTATTAAATAATATTTTGCTTGATGATTCGTAGGTAATTTTCGAATTTGCGTAGTATAGTAAAATCCTCTGTTATTATAGCAACTTGTAGCATATTTATTTGTATCTATTTCTTGCTTAGTTTCATTAATTCATTTAATAATTATAATTAGTCGATTTCCTGAACAAATACCCAAAATTAAAGCAATTTATACGAAATCTGAAGATATCTTTACTGAAATGGATCAGTTCGTTTCCAAATGCGTAGACAGGTGATGATTTTATGGTACTTGATTAGATCGGTTTTTAGGGTTATTTCTTTCATGCTGACATCTAGCAATATAATATAGTATATCACTATGGAATTAATTGTTACTATTTGCTATTTTAATGCCTAAACATCGTATTAGTGATAGCTACAATAATCGTGATTAAATAAATTTCTATTGGATCAATTTTAGATATAATCTGGATATAACAACAATTAGTTCTGATATGAAGTCAGCGTTGGAGGAATATTCTATCGTATGTTACCAAGCTATTTTATACATATCGTAATTTTTACGCTTTCAAATTAAAAAGGAGTATTTGTATTACAATGCCTGATTTAATTAATTACTGAAACATAGAGAGAACCTACCGTAAAAGCTGTAATTATGGGTACACGAAGAGCTGATCCTTATTCAAGTAATGAGATGAAAGTTGATTAATTTGTGTTTATTGACCAACTTGAACATATTTCATACAAGTAAAGCAAAGTAACCTTTGTACACTTATTGGTAATATGTTATATTATTCGTTTAGATCAATTGACCCCATTTTGTATGACAGATGGAGACTGGCCTGAATATCTCAGAGTTCATCCTATACTAGTTCGTGAATAATAGCGTTTTTCTGTTATATCGTTGATAGTTTCTGTCTGTGGTTTCCTATATTTTAACTGCTACTAAGATATATTTATTAATTTTAATAACAAAAGGATTGGTCATACTCTGAAATTTGGCAATTCTTACGGCACAGTTCTATTCCTTACTGTTCATTATACGATTTAGGATACACATCGCTTGGTGGAATTCATAATACAAAACCTAATTCATCACTAAGGCGAACTAGAGATGAAATAGAAACATTCATAAAAGAGGGTACGCTCGAAGCTGAGCCGCTGTTGCAGTTTGATGGATATTATTATTTGCCAGCTTATTTCTTAACTGAAGAGCAACTTGAAAGAGCTGGACGCTCATAAATGCTACCTCGCATTCACTTCTTACTTTATTCGCTTTGAAAAAATCGATGAATATTATAAAAAAGTGAGAAAGTTAAGATAAACTAATGAATTTTGTGTTAAAGAAGCATGATTCCATCGCCTATCGTTATTCATCGATCCACTGTTATCTACATATGTTTATTCAAAGAACAGGAAATCTTCAGAATGTACACAGATAGATAATTACCATTTTGCTTTTTAATCAATATTTTAAAATAAAATACATGAAAGTCTGTTCATGTTCGTTTATAAAGGCACTAATTGCAAGACAATAACTTTATTTTTTGTATTAAATGCTATTTTATCTCTCTTGAAATTATAATGTCTCTCATTCGACCTCAAAATCATAATATCGTAGTATTCTATATGAAATCTAAACTGAGTTTATTAAATATCATGCATAGGTTATAAATTATAATTAATTATTTGCCCATGATGACTTAATCTTCACTTTATGAAAACATTCATTAAACGATAAATATTACGTATCTTACTTGATTCAAAGTTTGAAAATCTTTATTGCTTAATCGACTCTTAAAATGATTGTTATGAAAGAAAATGCAAATAAGTGAAACAAAATTAAATTTATTCAATTTTAGTACGTTCAATAGCCTTAAAGAACGCTAAGGAACAAGACAAATAGTTACTCCTCCTTATTATGGCAGTAGGCTGCAGTTGAAATTTAAATTAAATAGAAATAATTTTAACTAGTGCTGTCCCTAGTCTTGCTGGGTAATAAGATCAGAAGTGACAATAAGCTGCACACAGGGTATAGATTGACTTAACAAATTCATACCATCGTTTAGTAGAAATATTTCTTCAATGCAATAAGATAGACTACCGAAAGACTTGCTAATAATCTATGATTCTTTGCCAATTGTTGTTTAGCGAATTTTAAACGTAGTACGAGTAGATCAATGTAAAACTTTGAAAAGTTTGATGCTATGTCTATTCCTACAATCGAAAGACAAAGTAGTCTACCCTTCAAAACAAAATATACATTTTACTGCTGTATCGACTTAATCAATACCTATAATACATAATCAGGAATTGATATTCATTTACGCAACGTTGTAAGTACAGAACGATTTAAATCTTATTTTAATTATTTTTTTTATACGCATTATACGCTGTATAATACAGTTCGTACGAATTTTTAAAATGCTAACAATCAATAATTAATTGTAATTATTTAAGAAATAATTTGAACGATACATCAAGCGGCTATTTTTAAAGAATCATTTTGGGACTAAAATCTATTTAGCGAAAGTTGTAAATTTTTTATTACAAAATTAAAGCAATAAAATTTAGACGGTAGATACTCGTTCCGATAAAACGTCGTCCATTTGATAATCTCCTTCTAGTATTGACGCCATTAACAGTGATTTGTTGCGGTTATTCATTACTTTTGTTCCCTCTCCGCAGCATGTAAAATTCCGACATTCACCGTGATTAGTACATGCATAGTTACATTCTTTAATCGGTGAAGAGTCCTGATCCATCTATTTCATAGATAATAAACTTTTTAGTAATAATGATACAAGTTTGTATTACGTGGGTTGCTACGTACAAAAATCTTCAAAATGAAAAATATTATAATCGAGACGTACGAACACTTAGCCGATATTATTAATAAAATAGCATACAATTACCTCTTCAAATTCTGGTTGAATAGTTGTCGAATGAATACCGAGCTCGTGAAAAAAATTCTTTAGATCACGTGCCATACTAACATAATCTAGAGGAGTACGACATTTGATATGGCAAGACGCGATTATTCTGTTGCCAGCTAACTGCCAGACGTGAAATTCATGAATGCTAAGGACACCATTAATCTAAGAAAGATGAATAAGATTGATGAGAGATTTTTTTATCAAAATTATAGTTTTTATTAAAAGTTAAATCTAACCGTATCCAATAATCTTTCTTGAACTTCTTCCACGTTAATGTGTGTTGGCACCGTTTGCAGTAATATCAGAGAGGATTCCTTAACTATTAATAGGAATAAGAGGTTATTTATAGGACATTGTTACTGGCGGTACTACCATTCCAAGAATTCTATAAGTAGCATAACACTTACGAAGGGGAATAGTAGTTTTCATTATAATAATCACCATAAGAATGCTACAAAATTAAAATATCGAAAATATAAATTAAAAAATGCACGACAGTTAAGGTATAGAGGTATTTTTCCGGCTTCTTGTACCTCATTCCTGGATCAATGTAAATCACCCAATTCTCTTCGATAAAATAAATCATCAATCCACTGATGACAACAATCACGGATCCCAAAGTATCACCCAAAACGTGTAAATATACTCCTCTCATATTCATTTGGGTACTACTTTCTATTAATCAATTATACATACACAAATATTACTTAATGATATTAACAATTTTACGCTTATTTCTGCAATTGGAAATATAATGAATACCTAAATTCTAACACTAACAATAGCTGAATGCTGCACTTTAGAATATTGTCGACTTACGGAGTTGAGTAGCTTTCTTGTTGTTATCTTCACCAGACGTTACACTGCCATTTTCTAATTTTTGAGTACGGTTGCTATTTGCATGGCTATGACCATGTGAGCCACCACCGCCACCGTGACTGTGGCCATGACCACCGTGACCTATTATAGATTAAATTGCAAATTTAGTACTGCCATATAAAGATATGTTCACCTATTTATACAACTAGTATTGTTCGGCATATTATGCATCCAAATTATATAATTTACTATAACCAAAGGTGATAACAACGTTACTTCAGTAGTTACGCTTGACTTTAATGAACAATGAAAGTTTAATGATTAACATTTAGTACATTAACTTAGACTTGGGTGTAAAATGTTACAGTACATGTGCTATCATTTAAATTTCACAAAATAGTCTGGGGGCATGATTGTAACGTTTAAAATAATCGACAAGTCTTAACCTCGAAATAGGAATAATCCAACTAGATTCAAGAAAAGGCCACCACTACCAACGCCAACAATTAAGATAGCATTTTCAATTTTTTCTGGTTCAATAATTCGCTTCAAAGATTCAACCAAGATTGAGAAGCATAAAGCCAGTAAAAATACGGCATTTACCAGCGCTCCCAACACTTCGGCTCGAGCCCAACCAAATGTATTCTTATCAGAACGCCGTTTTGAGATCTAATTTATAAAGTAGTATTAGTGTAGTATTGGCGAGAGAAATATCCTGATATCATACATATGATATTATAGTAGTATATAACTACTGACTGCCAAGCAAATCATGAAGAGGTACATAAATCCATTAACAGCAAACAGGATTTAAGATTTATAGTAGGACTATTACTTCAGCAACTAAATATATTTTTCTTTATGCTACTAAATCAGGTAATTCATGCGAAGGAATGCATAATATAGTATAAATGCTGTACCGTTTATGCATATTGTAGTTAATGAATAAGATCCTGTAGTTACTTATACGGTTTTTAGTATGCAGTAGTTTGGCCTCCATAATGAATTACTAAATCGCACACATTCTGTAAAGTGCGATTAGCAATAATAGGAATTGAGAAGTTAATAGCTCGCATGTAAGATAATGTACTGTGTGAAAGTTAGATGCACAGTAGATACGCGTTACTATATTTCTATCTGTTACTTTGAATTGTCTTTTGAGTAAATTATGTGAAGCCTACCGTTGGTTCTTCAGGATTGTAAAGACTAGTAGCTACTGTTCTAGCGATAAGCAAAGTACAGCATACTGTCCATACAAATACAACTTTTAGGTTTACATTTATTGAATTATAAGTGAAAGTAAAGGAGAATTCCGGGTAGATTGTAAGAGTGGCTAAAAAGCTGTAATTGAAACAGCGTTAAAATACTGTAGTAAGTGGTTGTGAAAATATAGCTAATCAATACTGCTACAGTGTATTGTCGCGGATTTTGCTAGGTAAATGATAAGACGCCTGTAAAATTGTGATCTAAGTATCTTTAAAATAATGCCGTACTAAATTGTTGTGAAGATAATTAATAACACTCCTGCAGTATACGGTCACAGGGGAAACAAGGTAATGAAGAACTATTACATGTTAATTGTATAATAATTTTTATTATTTACTGTTCGTACTGTAGACGCAAGAAAGTATCGCGCTGTATTTATCTTTATAGTTAGCAGTTTTCGAAATTGGATAAGGCGCTATCTAGATAAGATTAGTACCAGGTATTAAAAGTTACAAACGCAAAAGCTTGCACTTTTTTAGGACTTACCCGGACCGCGAACAATCCGACAAATAAGGCTACTACATCAGACAGCATATGGAAAGAATCTGCCACTAATGCCATCGATTTTGTAATGTAACCAACGATTATTTCAGCCAAGAAAAAGGTAGATGTTAAAACCATCATAACAAGTAGACGGCACGATTTGCTATTAAATTTATTTCCCATTTTTTTGCTTTGTTATTAAGACCAAGTAGATTATTCGATAAGATGTAAAACCTAAAAATATATTTTGTACATCCATGAGAATTAAAATATGCAGTAGATTGAAACCGGAGCACAAAGTTGAAGTTCAATCATTGCAATAACAGTTAAAAAAGTTTTTAAATTCAAGTATGAACTACCGTAGTGTACTTCCTTGATAATTTTAATTTACGGTTTAAAAGGTGATCTATTAATGCGATAATACTTGATAGATTTCACCAATAGATCTATGATATACAGTAAGAGATTCCTACTTCACTAACCGATTACGATATACTGGCAAATATATCGCACAGCAACTATTACAAAAATTAGCAACACAAGTACGCTGTGCAGTAATTATCATTTTATTAGTTAAAACAGCATGAAGTCAATTGGAGCTGTTCAAAAGTATTATTGCCTTTATTAGTAAGCATGCCAAATGTCTCGTACTACACAATATCGTGTGATCTAAAATGAAGAGATAGGTATGCATGGTAAGGAAGAAAGCAACTGGGAAGTTTGTCGTCTAATGTCAGGAAATAGATAGTTGACAGTTGAAACATATCTGTTTAAACTATCGTCGACATGATCAAGAAATGAAAATATTGTGTCATATCCTGTCAGTGTTCAGATACGATCAATGGGGTTTATTAGTAGCTTTTTAGCTTTGGGATTAGCCTCATCTACTATTGTATACTCATGAACTACTGTATATGAAAGGCGGTGATACTAATATGAATTTTTAAAGTTGATATTCTGTTGAGCTACGCTATGATCACGATACAACGTTGTATTCAAGAGGCATAAGTAAGTAGAAGCTCAGCATAGAACATACAGATGGAAAAAATACAGTAGAACCCTAGTAAGGGCTAACGGATACCCCATGAAAGCATAAAGACATCAAAAATATGGCATTTTGATATGTTTGTCTAGTTTACCGTTTTATACTTCATTGTCATCAGCATCCATCGTTCGGTCTAGTAGCTAGATTGGATTCTACGTTTGGATCAGTTGTACTCTTACTGTTCTCTTATGATAACTAATGCTGATGGATTGTCAATTGCCCGTGTACTTCTGCTTGACTGACTGCTAATTTTGCTTATTCATATCCAACTATGATGAATAATAATCTTTGTTGGTGGTTACCAAACTGGCTGACAATTTAACTGGCGGCATGACTGAGGTAACAATTTTGAATGATGACTCATTGCACTTTGATGAAATAAGATTACTGTAGATGTAGAGTAGAGTACTGCAGAATGCGTCGACAGTAGTGTGCCTATTCTATTTCTTAATGGCATACTGTATCGAAGATAGCATAATATTATAGTAATTACTCATTTTTTTTCTAGAAGTAGTTGTCTGGAAATCATCTTTGATATACAGTAATCTCGAGTACTTGTGGAATCAGTGAATAATAACGAAATGACTGCTACACAAAAAGTTCAATAATTATGGATTACAGAATAAGATGATTTTCCTTTATCCACCCCCAATTTTTCAAAATATTGTAATAAGGTATAGTCAAGCGCTAATAACAATATAATAATTCATACGTAGTATGGTAGGCATTGGGTGCTATGATGGGAAAAAACTAGTTTCTAGTATTCTAGATCAATAACAGCAATACTCGATTCTGGTTCTAGTAAGTTCTTGTTGAATTTTGTCAATGTCTACCTTGTGCTTTACCGCATAGAGCGCAATCAAGATTCGGGTTGAAACCCAACAAGAATTGGAGTAGATCTTGACCATGTTACCTTCAGTAGACACATTAATCATGTATGTATGCGTAGCCGGCATTGAAAAAATGACGTCCATTTACTAGACTACTACGTCGTTGAAAATTCCCTACTGTGCACAGTACTACTCCAAAAAAGGTACAGTTTTTCAATCCGATCTACTAAATATTATGTACAAGTTTGTCTATCATAGTATTACCAAGTAGAATGCCTGCTGAGGAATACGATTGATGAATCATACTCAACTGGATAGTTGTGGCCAAAAACAAGACTCACGCTGAGAATGTAAAGCGAACTTTCCAATGGCGTATATGACTATATTTGAAGACTCTAATCAAAAAGCTTTCTACTTGTCAAATGAGATAATATGCAAAACATAATAACTATTAATGAGCGCTAGAACAGTCAGCCAATGTCATTTCTATTTGATTCATTGCTAGTTGTACGCCGGTTCCAAGTACAGTATAGTAGAAAAGGCAATGGATATTTTCCCACAGGTTACTCTTACCCCATTGTAGACAAGGAGTTTTTGAGTCATTTTTACGTCGCAATAAAATATTACAGTAGTGGCTTTTAAGCATCGCAAAACCTCAATTCTTCTTGCACGGTAGCAACCCGAGATTGACTAATTTTATACGAAGACACAGATAACATGTAAGATTGAATGGAACGGAATTAAAAAAAAAAATCCAATTCTAACTGATCGATTTTATTACTCATCCTATAGAATGATTATAATTGTTTTTCTGTTCTATTAATCAATGTAACTGGGAAGTTGCATCATATCGTCATCAGCTCTAAATAAACGATAATAAACAATTTTATTTGTTTAAATAGTGCTCTATTCAAGTCATGAGGTTCTAATATCGAGGTCAACGACAGCCTATTCAACATTTTATTCTAAAAAGTTATTCATCATGACAGCGATTGAGAAGGAAAGCAATCGAGCGTCGAGAAAGAATGGAAGCGGGGTTTGTTCGATAGAAACCACGATAATGATGGTGATAATCATCATTAATTATAATGGCATGTAGCGCGCTCTCACAACTATGTAAAATACCCCAGAATTGTTGGTGGAGGCCCTTTTTCTGTCTGTAGTATGCTACACTCTAAAGTAGAGGACTATATTTAAGCTCAGATGTTGAATAATCCAAGTTGGGTAGCGCTTGTTCGTTATCGTTACTGTGAAGGCGCTACCTAGTCATGGGGCCTTGCTGTCGATTAGGGCATGGCTTCGTCTGTCAACTGTAGTTGCCGTATGCATGGCATGAACAAGTTTTATTTTCCTCTTTTTACAGTATAGTAGGATAATTTTCCCTGTAAAATAACCTCTCTGACATGATATACACAAGTCAGCAGCGCTTGATATCCTCGAGTAGGAGAATCACTTAAGTGAATGATATTTGTATCCGGAGGATAACCAATCCAAGATACACAAGTTCTAAAAAGGAAGATTTTGGACTGCAGTAGCAATCGCTGGGACTCTCTTCACTTCGAGACAAAAGAATATTCACATTGATGATTATGAAATTGGGAGAACTTGGTGGCCATTTCAGCACTATCTTCCTTTACAACAGTTGTAAAATTCAGAACTCCTATCAAGTAGTTGCGCTATACTGTCAACTACATAGTATTGCTATGCACAAGATGCTATTAGACGCTGCGCTATGTAAACTTCTCTACAAAGTCCAATTTTATTTTTTGTTGTAACTGCTAGGAAAACATTTATTATTCATCTTCGCCGTTCAGATGTGTGTACAGTAGTGAACAAATAAATTTACCATTTCATGAATGCAAATACAAGCGCAATTACAATATCTAATTATTGTATACAAAGGGTCTATTTCTCATCAAGTGATGAGTAGAAGTTTGCTGTATATATATATATCTAGAAGTATTGTCATGAGTAGTCAGTTATTGGATGATCTATGGCCATTTTTTTTTGACGCAAAACGTCATGGTTTGAGTCAAGAGGATACCTTGAACATGCATACTGCAAAGTACTATTGATCAAGTTTCAAAATAAGACTGTGTAGAGGCTAGATACTCTATTGCAATTTGCCCAAAATTTATTGTTCAGAGAGTGAGTCAATTATTAATATAGTATATCACTTTGTTGGAGATTTGTCGACTTGATAGCAATCAATCGTTGCTCGATGCTATTTCACATCCTCTTCCCTTGATAGTACAGTCGTGCAAGACTAATATGGCTCTTGCATACGGTTTAAGCGAAGTAATCTTCCAATTTATTACAGTAGGCTAGCAAAAGTGTACTCGTCCTATCTACGGTTCAAATTCTCACTACATCATTGTTACACAGCGTGACAGTAAACTATACACACAATCATTATGCCAAGGTCGATAAATTGAAACAGAATTAAAGCTACGCCATAAAGGAAAGAGAAAGCATCCACTTGTAGATCCTCCCTTAGCCAAAGCTTTGGATGGTTGAGTTAGCTTTACGTTTAACGTCGTGCACACAGTACTGTACAGCATTTTACTCTTTCATTTTGCTGCTAAGTGGACCATTATCAATTGACGATAGTGTATGTGCAGCACAGTGTTGCATCCTTTTTTTTTTTTGGCCTGAGGCGATCTACGCGTACAGTATTACATTGCTTGGACACCCCATCTATCGATACAGCTAGGTGGTATTGAATTGAAGGCCATACCAGTAAAAGAGAATTGATTGCATTGCATTTGTCATGAATAAAAGGCTTTCCTGATTAGGAGTTTGTAAACTAGGCGTTAAGCCTGGTTGAGCTATTTTATTGCCTGGAACTTCCAAGGTAAACGATGCCTAACATAGTGATAGTATTGAATAGAGTTACTTGCTACCTAATAATAGCAATTGGAAGGATGCATAAAGTGGAACGATTCGGTTGTGCAAGAAATAATGTGGCAATCAAGCTGCTTATAACTCAATATTACATCCAATCCATACTAGACTGTCAGTGTATGACAGACCGCAAGCTCAACTGAGACTAGAGTATTTTGCCTTTGATCAATACATCATAAAACGTATTGCTAAGCATTTCAATCTCTACAGTAGTTGAAGGAAGAGATAAATCAACCTGTTAACCACATCATTTTCCCAGCTAGATAATCTCATAGAGTATGGAAAAATAGAAAAATTTTTCAACTGAGACTAGGCTATTTGTCTTCGATCAATATATATACAGTAGTAAAGCGTATTGCCAAGCGTTTCAATCTCTACAGTCGTTGAAGGAAGAGATAAATCAA